TTCTTACCAAAGTTAGACTCTGCTCAAAAAATCTAGCCTGCTGAAATAGTATGTGTCTCCTTTTGGCTTGGCACCAAACAAATTACTATATGCACTGTGAAGTGAAAGAAAGTAGCCTTACATGATACCTGCATGCATAATGTGATACCTAACATGTAACCTCTCATGGTCTGATCTTTATTACTAGCTTCCAGAACCTTGTAGGTCCCTGAAGGGTAATACCACCTCATTCTTGCAGCTGCAGCACATAAACTCTTCTCTCCCATATGACTGTTTCTTAAGGCCATGCAGCCCAATAATACATGTGCCTATGGGCAGCATTGCCTTGCTGGTAACTTTGAATGAAAGATTCTGCTCTTATGACAAAAAGCAAGCAGTGGATAGTCAGGTTTGTAACTTCTGCATTTTTCTACTAGGTAAGACTGCTGTAAGGAAAAGCAATTTAATTGCTATGGAAAGAGGAAACTGCAAGAATTTTCTAAGGGAAATGTAAAATCACATTATAATTTCTTAAGATCTGTAGAAGCTTCCATTATTGGGTCATGCTATGTCTGATTAGGTAATCTACTTTACCATATCATGAAACACTGAATCATATCAACAAAACCACAAGACATAAACATAAGCAAACAATAATCTTTTTAAAAGCTTTGGCGATACAAAAGTCCAGAGATTTGGAATAAGTCCACCAATGTGAACTGTCGTTGTTAGCAACAGCTTGCAATTACTGTTTGACCATAATGGTCTAATGGAAGATTTTCTTCATCTTCACTCAAATTCTTTTCTATTTTAAATTAGCAGTTATTGCATTTCTGTAACAATGTGTTAGTCTACTGACATGGTATAAACATGCTGTCTTTGGTAGTGGACCTGCCCATGCAGAAGAAATGACTGAGGGATGGTGCTTCAATGAAGTTGACATGTGGCAGAAGAAAACACTCTTTGACTCAGATTAGGGGTATTATTTATTATTATTATTTTGGTTTTATCCTGCTTTATGCTCCCTAGCATTGTTCAGCAAGGGAAAAGCATAAAACGGGAATACAATCTGCCCTATATGAAGTTCAGGAACAAGGTGCCTTTTTTTTTTTTTTTTTTTTTTTCAATACTAATCCACATTTGCCCCTGGAAATTCCCAGGCAAAAAAGGCGTTTATGAGAAATGATCAGATTATTTCTGGCAAAATTGACTAATTGCTCATGAAAATACATCATGCAATTAGCTTTTAAAAAAGGATCCACCCATCCAGTACAAAGAGTTTGTCTAGATAGAAAAGCTAAACCAACATTACCATGAGTTCAAGTTTTTATTCCTGTTTATGCTCGTAGAAGACCTGAGCAATAATTTTTTCTTCAAAAGATGACTGTATTTGGAGTTTAGCTCATGTAATTTCATAACCAACTTTTAAGTAAACGAAAGGAACAAAGCCAAGCCTTCCCTTTTTACTGTTTGACATTACTGCCCAAAAAGCTGACCATGAGTGTCGGGTGGCCGGGCTTCAGATGGGCTGCCCGCTGCTCACGAAGCTCAACCAGTCCGAGCTCAAAGCCCTAAGCCACAAAGGAAATCTTTAAGGAAAAACATAAACCAGTAATGTATATAATCAGCAGTTGCTTGATGTTCAACACTTATACTTTTTGTTCTCCGTCTAATAACGTGCTCCCCATGGTGAGGTGGCAGTCACTGCTCTAATCTGTTCGACCGGTACCAAATTTTTTAAAAAAATTGTTTTCCACTATTTCATCCTGTGATGGTGAAGGTTAAGACATGGGGTGAAGTGCCCGAGAGCTGTGTCAGTGCACTTCCACCAGCTCTCCGCTCTGACCGCTTGGACCGAGCCGGCCGCGGCGGCTGCGGGAGCAGGCATCGCACACCCGGTACCGGGCACCGGCCGCCCCGGGCTGCGGCCGCGGCCCCTCTCGCAGCCGGCCGGCAGGAGGGAGCCCGGTGGCGGTGAGGGCGAACCCGCCCCCACCCCTCGCAGGCGCCGGCCCTCGCCCTCCTCCTCCTCGCTTTCTCCTCCCTCTCCCGGCAGCCGCGGCCCCCTCCCCTCGCTGCCGAGCCCCCACCGCCCTTCTCACCTCTCACGGTCCGGGAAGGGGGCGCGGCTGGGAGGGGGCGGAGAAAGAAAAAAGATCGCAAGGAAGGCCCTCGCGCCCTCTCCCGTCCCCTCCTGTGCCCTCTCCTCCCGCCCCGCCCGGCTGCCGCCAGCCCTCCCGCTCCGTCGGGAGCCGCGGGCACTGGGCGCTCCCGCCCGCCGCTGTCGCGGCCCCGCTCCGGCCCCTCCCTGCGCTCGGGCGGCCCGGAGGGGCGGGGTCATGCAGGGACACGCCTCCTCCCGCGGGCCCCGCCCCCTGCCCCGGGGCGGGAGCGGCGCGTGGCCGCGTGTGGCGGGCCGGGGCCGGGGCCGGGCCGGGGCCGCTTCCCTCACGCTGTGGCGCCCCCGCGGCGCGCGCCCCCTGCCGGCAGGGCAAGGCAAACGGCAGGGGGGGCGCTGTCCGCCTCATCCGGTCCCTGGGAGTCTTTGTCTTTCTTCCAAAAACACAAAGCCGAACATTTCCGTAGCTGCCCGCTGCCCCATTTAAGAGAAATAAACGTGTGGTAATACATACCGCAGCCTTTCACCTGCTCTCAGGAGCCTATACTCGATTCTGCCTCATGTGCAAGCACAGGCAGCCTTTCCTGCCCTCGTCACGCAGTGCCTTACCAGTGACCGCTGCCGTCCAGAGGTTGAATAATTTTCCAAATTAATAGACTGTGTGACAGCCAGATGCACCTCCAACTGCTCAAACTGATTTAAGGGTGCAGGAGACCATTGCTGAGGCATGGTGGTGCAGGTTTGATGCAGTAATAAGATCCACAGCGCTTGCTGCACCTCATTCTGCACGGAAATATGGCCTGCGTGGCTGTGCGCTCCGCCTGTCCGACAGTTCCAACCTGGCTGGCATTAAATGACTGAGCCACTTTTAAGTAACCTTGACAGAAGGATGGGGCTTTCAAAGATGCTAATTGTTCCAGCTGTGTTAAAATTACTAGCTAAGTGGAGGGAAGATTGTCCCCAAGAAAGAAAGCTCATGTTTTGCAGGTCGGTGTGTGGCCAGGCCATACACACACTCACACTCACACACACACACTCACACTCACACTCACACACACTCACTCACACTTGCACATTCTCACACAGAACTTGCCAAAGGTAGCATTGTCTAAAGCTTACGGTGTCCCTGAGGGGTGTGCAGCCAGATCATACATGGGCACTTGAACTCAGAAACAAAAGTAAAATCTGCCATCACAATAGCCCTAAAATAGAGATGCCCCATCGGCTGACTGCAGAGTTCTTGGAAGGCACCTTGTGCTCTGAGTATTGGAAGGCACTCTGATGCTCAGAGTTTCCCACAGGTTAATACTGTATCAGCCTGAGCTTGGGCGGAATCCTGTAGTGCAGTATCTATTCTGACCTTGGACACTACCATCAGTGGTGATAGTGTGTATCAGAAAGAGACAGATACACACTTGAAAAGTCCTCCTGCTGCTTTCCAGTATTTTTTCCATTTCTTCTGGGTAGATAGGATGGGTGAATACCATACAACAATGAAAACAGGAAAAATAAAGTAACTGATACAGAAGATATTTATTGGCAAAAACAAAGTAAGCTAAGTTCCTAATGGATTACATATAATTTGCCTAATGTTTTCCTTTTCAACTCATACCTATGATAATATTGCTTCTATTATACCATGCTCTCAAAAAATCAGAGTTCATTTTGCTTTGATTTCATTGCTTTCATTGCATGAAAGTGCTACATTTAAAATATCATATTAAATTTATATTCACTACAGCTTCATTAGGACTCTTTCTATAGAATGAATACTGTGTTTGCTTCCACTTGCCTTACTCATGTTCTAACTAGATAACAAAAAGAGCATTTTGAGTTTGTAGGACATTTCTTATTTTAATTTCAACAGTATTACTTCATCTGGGTAGTACTCAATATTTAATGGCTTGTGGGAAAAATATGTCAGAAAACATATTTCTGAATTAATGAAATCCTTTATACTGCATTACTCTATATTTGAGTCAAGTTGTTTGTTTTTACATATGCATTATTCAGAGTAGTTTTATTAATAACATTTCCAAAATGTTCTTTGCAGTTTCATCTATAAGAAAAATGTATAGAATATCATGGTGGTTGTCAGAATTAAATACTTCACTTTTAACTGGAAAGTTTAGCTGAAAAATTGTGACTATGATGTATAGAAATAGCAATGACGCTATCCCGTCTTCTTGAGGTGTAAAGAATGGTAAAATGCAAACTGAAGACACTTGACAGATTGGCAACACATCTGTCATCTTTTAAGAATACAGCAGCAATGATAATATGAACAATTCATCCTCAGTTCATTGTACTTAATATATCACTGATTGCCAGGTCAAAAACTTTAGATTGTAATGATCAAATTAATAGTCTATTAGAAAGATTCTCTATTACATTCCACCTAGCCACATGCAAATATATATAAATAAAACAATAAAATCCCCGTAACTGACTCATGTGGTTCTGAATCATTTTTATAATGAGGGTCTGACTCATTTTTAAAAAATCTTCTTGGCCAAAGGAGAACAAAATTCCTTCACAAAGATAATTTTTATATCAAGATAAGATGATTTACTATTTAGCAGGTATATGAAAGTGGTTATTAAGGGGTTTTTAAAGCAAAACTTTCACAAACATATAAAATAGTTGGTTTTTTTTCTTATTGTCATTGTGGTACATGAATTTTATCTTGAGCATATTTGAATGAATCATCTTCATGATGATGAAGGCCATGTAAGAACAGGATGTGGATTTCTGCAAGTTAATGCAGAGAGAAGTAAAAAGGAAAGTCATTATAAGAAAAGGAAATGAATAGATGTTATTTTGCATAGTGTCTGCACTAAGTTAAAAGCTAAACCAGGAAGGAAGTTGCCATCACTATGCTAGATGGGAGTGCTTCGGTGACATGTGCTTGCTTTTGAGAAAACCAGTAGTCTTCAGATTAGGACTAGGGATAATTACCGTGTTAATTTTGTGTTTACCTGAATTTTTCAAAATCCATGAAGGTGAGTGATCAGCTTTTAAAGTAAACTTTTATTTATTCTGAAGTCTGCAATTGAAAAGTCGGCACATGCTTTCCTAAAAGTGATGGTTAGGGTGCTGCACACTTGTGGAATTTGCAAAGAATATGACTCTTTTTGTTATTTTTTTTTACCAACAGAGTTAATTATCTGTGGTAATTTGAAATGAGTTTGTAATTCATTTACATACACTGCAAAATTTTTGGTAACTATTTCCATGCATGTATTTTTCTGGCCTTCATAATGAAGAAAGTAGTGAAAATGCTAATGTTCTTTTATAGCAGGTGCTCATGTCTTCAAAAACAACTTTTTAGAAGTTTTTATACTTAAATGCTATAAAGCTTTGTACAATTACTATCTAGCAATGAGATGCTGTCTGTGAAAGCGATATGTAGTGGTAACCTGACAAAAAGTAGAGCAGAATGGATGTAACTGAGTAAAGCAAATCTTGTAGCATAAATGCCAAATACTTCTTTGTGACCCTAGAGGCTGATACTGAATTTAGGATAATTGCAAACTATGCATCTGTGCAATTTACGTTTTAAAATCTGCATGAGTAAATTAAAATAGTTTTGTCATATCCATTCCTAAGAAAGCTTTTGAATAAGTAAGTATAAAAAGCATTCCTTTAACAAAGAGTGTATTCTCAGACATCATAACATAATTTCTTTATGAAGCATATAATTTTCTGAAATAATTTAGTATCAAAATATCCGGATTAATTTACTTATATATTTTTTCATTAACCATAAAGAATGGACATATCAGTAATTAGAATATAATGTATAGATTGTTATAGTTTATAAATGAACAAACTTGGTAAGCTGTCATAAGCTTTGAATATCATAACTTTTGTAATTCAGTTTAAGATGTTGGAATAATTAATGTTTTACCTCCATGCAGAAGTAAACAAAGTATTTGTAGCACAGATCATCCAAATAAACAATTACAGGACTATTACTAGGAGGAAACATTAACCTTAGTGTCAAACATCCAAGAATAATTACATTTTTCCATGGTAATTTTTCTAGATTGCTCTTATTGGCCATGCTTTAGGCTGCAATAGTGTGATCACTGCAATTCTGTCTTAATCACTGCGTGTCTAAAATAAGATTCTGAAGTATATATGCAGAACAGAATTATAGTTGGAGCAGCACAGATTTATATTTGGAAAATTAGAATTATTGCTGCATTTTGGGTGTTTCAAAAACTAACTTACTGTATAACAGACTGTGTAATGATGTCTGAATTACATTAGAAAGTAAATATGTTGAACAATTTATTCAAAATCTCTAAGGATTTTGGGTCTATGCTTCATCAAAAACCTTCTGTTGAAAACTGGTTTTATTTCAGATTTTGTGACAAACCTAAAATGTACAGATTTTTTTGTAAATGTCTCAAATTGCTGGTTACACCGTGAGACTTCAGCAGACAGAGTTGTTGTAAATCTTTGAGATGTGAAATATAATCACTGGCTCTTCCTCTGTGAGTTCCTAAATGAATGGCAGAAAGCTCCTAATTCCTGGATGTCTTATCCCAGGGGAAGATCCAGCATTTACTTTCATTCTGGAGAGGGAATAAAAATGGAAATTTATCATTAAACAAAAATTTTGGGGGAATCAATTTGCAAAAAAAAAAAAAAAACAAAAAAAAAAAAACAAAAAAACCAAAAAAACAAAACAAAACCCAAAAAAACCAAACAAACAAACAAACAAACAAACAAAAGAAATGTTTGTTTCTTTAATTTTTTTCAAAAGAATACAGTTCAGCATTACCAGAAGTGAAATGTTTCCTTTCTATTTGTAAAGCAACCCACCTGTTTGGTTACAAGCCATTGAACCTTTAAATTACACTGATTTAGAGTAGGATGTTATCCTTTTGGGGTCTGATGCCTTCAATCCCAGTCCTATCCCTTGGGACCTGCTACTTGATGGAGTGTATCTCCTTTAATCTATCAGTTGTGCATTCCTCAACTTGTACTGCAGGTCTTGTATCTCTACAGTATTATGTGGCCACTCCAGCTTCCATAAGCAAGTGATAAAAAATGCAACTGTACACACTGCTGCTCTCACTCAAAACAGAATACTGCAGATCAAATCAAAAAGAGTCAAATCCATGCAAAGTGAAGTATTTGTTATTTTCTTAATGGGGAGCAAGTTTTTAATAAATTTTGATCTTCCCTGTGAATAATTTCATTTTAATGGATTTGGATTTTATATGAAAAACCACCCTGTAAATAGAGGTTTTATAGAAGAATTTAATAATCACAGAACTTCTTAGCATTAAGCATGTGGTTACAGGTCTTTGAATATAAAACAGTTCCCCAGAGTTACTTTGCATGGTTTCATCTCAGCAATCCTTTTTTACTATTCAGGCTGCCTGTTTTCAGATTTCACAAAACCCTTTCCAAATTTCTAGAGTGGTGTTTACATTTGGGAGGGTGCTTCCCAGTTCTGCAGGAAGGAGCAAGGAGTATGCTATGGCTCTCTGTCTGCCACGTAATCCACTGGGAAAGTGCAGTGTTGTTGCAGCCCTTCTTCAAGTGTTCAACAATCTGTATCCCTCCTTAGAAAGGCCACAGTCCTGTGATGTGGGAAAAAAGAAGTTTGTTTATGCTAGATTGTCGTTTGATCTGCTGTCTCAGTAGAGACCTTTCAAGAGGATGGTAAGCACCCTCCCTGACTCAACCACATTCACACCTTTTCCACTCAGATAACATGCCTTTTACACACCTACAGCGTGGCTCACAGGCAGCTCTGGAATCTGTTTAGCCATTTGTGAAGTTCTAAATGGACTTTGCAGTGCTGAACACAGATGTCTGTCACAGTCCAGTCAGCAGATTCCCAAGTCCACGTACAGATTTCTTGGTGAAAAGATATGTTAGGGAATTATGATTAATTGCCCTTGAAAGCTGTAGAAGTGGTTTTAGACTGGTTGCCCAGATGGCATGGCTTGCCATGAGAGCAGAGTAAGCATTCAATTTTTGCTCCTGGCCCATCTCCACAGACAAGTTCTACACAAAATGCCTCTTTCAGGTGGGAGAATTTGATCTCAGAAGCCTGCTCCATGACCTGTTGTGTGAGTCAGATTGTAGGCATTTCAAAGGAAAATTCTGTGTCTTGCCTCAGGGAAAGATCAAGCCCTAAATTTTATCTGATATTCTTCCTTTTTATATCAAAAGGAAGTTTTTGTTACCTGTGTGTTTTACATTTAAATTTATTATGTTTTATAAGGAGTTCATAACTCTCTGATGTTGTGTTAGTAAAGGGAAAATAATTGACTTTGACATTGGAGTTTGGATTTTATTTCTGTATCCTGTCTGGAATCTCTTACTGAATCATTTCTGTGGTCAACCTGTTGCTCTGTGAGCACAGGTGGCCGAGTGCAGCTGAGCACTGAAGCAACTAAAGGCTATATTTTGCTCTCTGTATATAAGGGTTTATGATCACATTGCTCCAATTGCTCATAATAGGAGTTAGATACAAATTTTTCCCTTTATAGAGATGCAAGGGTACTACTAGAACTGGAAACATAGCTATAAAACTGTAGGTTAGTGCAGCATCAGCTTGGGGAAGTGGTTATTCATAAATACATATTTCATGTTGGGGTCACACAAATTTCTTTATTTTTGAGTTTTTGTATCTGAAAAAGTACTTCAAAGTTACTGAAAAAGTGGTTCAAAGTTAACACAAGTAAAAATTTGCATGATAAAGCTCCACTGTAATGTGGAAGACAAATCACACTCATTTATAACTGTGTTTTTTGCTGCTTTCCAGAACTGCATTAATCTACTCTAGCTATAGTACTTTGATACTGAAATTTGACTATGAATACCAAACCCAAAGGTCTTAATAAAATCCATGTTTGTTGACTGAATATAAGAGAACATGAAGAGTATGGCTGGAGCATTCAGCAGCATTTCTATGTATTTTCACTCTGTAGTTTCAATGTCATTTGGAAAGAAGCTTTCATTCTGATTATAGCTACTTCACAACATAAATGCAGTGGAGTGTTGCAACTGCACTGTTCCAGGGCTGACTTCCCTCTCCAAACAAGTTTTCTCTTCTTTTGAAGTAGCATAAATGTGCTTTCTCTTCTTTTGAAGAACAGTCAAATTGGAGCAGCTTTGAAACTGGAATGTGACTAGATACCATCAGAAATTCCAATTACTATTACAAGAGTTTTAATATAATTCAAAAATAAAATCTAGTGTCAAGCTTGTGGGAAGACTCTGTGCTTGCTTTCTCTTACATATGATGCATTTAACATCCCACCATAACCCTCAAGAAAAAAGAAAAAAAAAGTGCATTTTGTCATAAGATGGTTGGAATATCCACTACTTGATCCTTCTAAGCACATACTTGTCCATGTGTCCTATATGATTGTCTGACTAATGTAGCACTCTTTCTTTTACAGCTAACACTGTAATGGTGTCCTGCATGGATACCTGTTCATCAAGTAACACCACTTTTCCACTTTGTACTTTTGACAATTCTTACAAAAGATCAGTGAAACAAAGAAGAGAAACCCAGACCATTTTGCTGAAGGTCATTATAAATAATTCCGATTTCCAAAATATTCCATGTATTTGCCAGTCATCCTGGAGGGAACAACAGTCCCACCCTAAACAGACAGAGTGTGAAACCAAGAGGGATGTGAATGTTGATCATCAAGGATCAGGGTCAATGGCTAAAAAAAGTAAGTAGGATAAGAGAAATACTTAATTTTGAGGTAGCTAATTACAAAATAAAAGCCAAGTTTTTATTTGGTACTTAGAAGAAAATTATACGCTCCTGGTTCTCTATGGTCTTTGCAAATCTATGAATAATGGCGGTTTTTAGCTTTTATTTGCATGGCACATTTATTTTGTGGCAGATTCTCAGTGGCATGCATTCCTGGCTGTCAGTGAAACATGTCAGTAGCAAGTAGTTTCTAAAGTACTTAATTTATTTCTAAGGAGTTGTAGTTTCTGACAATTTTTCAAGCTGAATTTGCTTTTAAATGTCATTATGGAACTCTACACATAGATTGCTGTCATTATGAAGATAGGCTGTATCTGAAGAACTAATTCAGTAGGTAACTATTCTGATGGCAACTATGGAGGAAATAACCATTTTTGTGTTTGTAGTCTACATTATCATCCACTGTGTAGTATCAGAAATGGCCTTACATGTTTTATAGGAAGCAGCACTGACTAAGGAATGGCACAGCACAGGAGAGATAGCAACCCACATATTTTCAGAGCAGTAGCAGCCCATTCCTTCTGTGACATATACACTTGCAAATATCTGGAAATCTTTCGGGAAGAGGATGCCTCTTTCTAATTTTCAGCAACTGGGGCAATAGGCCAAGCCTTGAATATAAGAAATTCAGTTATTTTCCAACTGTATATTTTCCTTATTACAAAACAGCTGTCTTAGCAAGCATGAAAAACAAAAGCTTATATATGGACAATCTCTGTTCTCGGTTATAGCTGTACAACTAACACTTTTAACAATATCTCACCTGTTTCTTGTAAACACAGCACAAGTCTCACATATTCTGTCTGAAGCAAAGCAAGCACCTCCTGCAACTGATAGCAGATAGACAGTGTGCACTTCAAATCTCTATCATCATGTGGGTTCTGCCTGGGTTCTATCCTTCTCATGGCCTCATTTTTGCCTGTTCCCTTTGACAACTGACAAGAAAAGCAACAACAAAAAAAGGTGACAGTAAAGCAAAAAGGGGTTATAACCCAAAAAGGGTTACCTTTGCAGGGAAAATGTATAGATAATCAATGATTTTCAGATCTGTTCAGAGTAACTTTACACAGTATACGTTTATCCATCTTTTTCATAGTCAGTGGTGTAGAAGCCTTTATGTTTTTGCAAATGAGACCGAGAATTCACTGTACTTTTTGAAAGTTGTCTCTTAATCTACCACTTGTGTAACTGTTTTGTTTTAATTTTTATTTCCAAAAGCAAAAGGCTCTCTTGAAGTGAAAACAGAAAGTGTTATTTATTTTTATAAATATATAAATTTCACCATGGTTTCCAAGAAAGAAGTGGAGCATAATATGAACTACCTGGTGGAAATCCACATCAACAATTCTATAGTCGGAGGAAAAAACACAACCAACGAACAACTAAATCATTCTTGTCTCTTGGCAATGATGGAAGACCAAAATGACTGTATAAATATTTCACTGCAACTGAAGTCTTATATGGAATGTAAGTTACAAAAGAGATTCAGAAAGGAAATCAAACAAGAAACAATTAAATATTTCATAAGAAGAGAATACAATTTTGAACACCCCTTATTAAAAAACAATGCATAGTAGACAACAGATGATTTTTATAATGATTTAAAGCAGGTTCAGCTGTGCCCTTTTTTTTCCTAGAAGAAATACAGCAAAGTAAAGATCTGTACATTGTTTCTTGCTTAGCAGCAACAGACTCACACATTGCATGTGACAAAACCTGGAAATATAACTTTCCCTTTCCTGATAATGGCATAACCCTCTTGTCTTGGAGGTAAATTTAAAAATCCCTGTTAACTATGGTGATAAAAGAATCAGGAGATAGGTTTGACCATTCTAATGTTGTACTGCAATAGCATACTATATAGCCTCACTACAGTATGCTTAAAAGATAAATCTTCAGCTGAACTGAGCTTAGTTTCCCCTTCAGTTTTTTTTTTGTTTGTTTGTTTGTTTTTTGTTTTTTTGGTTTTTTTTTTTTTTTTTTGAAGGACAACCTTCAGCTTTTTGTATTTCTCTTTGTGCTGCAAGAATTTTTTGTTTGATTTCCTGACCATGGTCAGGGCTTCCATTCTGTCTATCTATGACACTTGTTATTTGGAAGTTGCTGAATTATTGCATTCACTTGGTTTTGCATGGAAAATATATTTTATGTACTTTTGCTGGAAAAAATATGTTTTTTAGAGTTGGATTAATATATGTTAAATAAGTCCAGAGAAAATCCTAGAGAAGAAAAGGCAGCTCAGGATTGTGTTGGTGGTTTTGTTTTGTTTTGTTTTGTTTTGTTTGGTTGTTTTTGGGGTTTTTTTTGGTTTGGATTTTTTTTTTAATAGGTGTGTCTCGCCATGAGAGGAGCATAATTTGTAACTTGCCCTGCTAACTTGTGTCAATACTATGAGCTAACCACCCTTTGTTAATGCTGATTTACCTGGGTAGCAATAATCTCATATTAGCAATGAAAATTAACAATATGTCTTTTTTTCTCTATTCTTCAAAACAACCAAAGAGGTGCTCAGGGCTTTTACTAAGCGAGGCTGATAATCAAGTCATTACAAGCCACTACAAGATGGGGTTGACTGCCCTGTTTAAAAAGAGCCTAGATTACTGTATAAAAGATATTTTTAGTTCTAAATTAGGAGGAATGAGCCATGGGGCAATTGGCATTTGCCTCACGAGTTCTTGATGGAGAAGATACAAGGGAAGTTGAAGTCTAATTATACTGTTCTAAGTCAGGGAAAGGGAAACAGTTTGGCTACAGTCTGTAATTTGGTTTTTTATGATTTATAGTAACTTAGCTAGTTTTTAAAACAGTTAGTTGACAGTGCTAAGGTATGCATTAACATGCAGCTGCCAAAGAAATTTGAAAGGCCATTCAAACAACCAGAGGGGAAAGTTCTCCACATCATTTCTTTGTTGAATACAGTCCTGACTTGTACTAGTTATTGAACTAAATCCCTGTGGAATGTGGGTGCACTTCTGTAGCAGCTGTTGCCCAAAAGGGCAGCCTACCTCCTGTATTCAGTCCCATCTGATTTTCCCTCAAGGCAACTTTAAATTAACTCCCCAAAGGGCTCCTGTTAGTGGCATTTCTTCACTTTTTTATAAGAAAATTTCTATATGTAGAATCTTGCCTTCTCTCATATATGAAGATAGATCAGAAGGTTAAGAATGCCAGTAGAGGCCAATATTGGACAGTGGACCACTCCCTTCCATGCTCTATGCAGACAGAGGGGACATATATTACCCTTGTTCTACCTTAAATACAAATGTTCATCTTTGAAGCATTTTCATTGGCTGAGTTGAAAATTTTTCATTCACTCAGTCATCTGTATCTATTTCAGCCATGGGGAGATATATAGATATAGAAATAGATAGAGATATAGATATAAAAATACAGGCAAAAATTAAGATAAATTCTAGACAGGAAACCTAACATCAAAAGGCTGAAAGGAAAAGGCATAACCACTTTTTTGTTGGTTTGTTTGTTGCTTTGTTTTGTTTTGTTTTTATCTGTGGGGGTAGGCACAATCCAAAAACCTACCAAGATGGAATGTTCTGCTTTTCTCTGCTGCCAGTGATTTGCTGCTTAATTTTCTCTCTTGTACATTTTATGGACAGATCCAATGTGTATGACGAAGATCATTTGGCTCACTCTGATTCCAGTAGTTTTTATATTTACTGTTTCAATCGTCGTCTACAAAATAGTCCAAGAAAATAAACGGAATTGTAAGTAACGAAAAGTTAATCTGCATGAATCTAAATTTCTATGCAAGTAAGAATATATTAATTTATAATACTGTATTACTGCTATATTACTGTAGCTCAGACACTGATATTTTGATTGCCAAATGGTAAAAGCTTCTTAGAGACTCACTAAAGCACTCAGAGATGATTGATAGCATTACCTCTCACATCTTTGGTGGATGCAAAAATTGTAGATGCAAATCCAAGCTTGTTGATGACAAATTAAAGGTGAGGGCTTTGATAGATGATTGGTAGTGATATGAACTTCTGGTTTCACATGGATTTCAGTAGATGAAACAATTACTGTTAAACTTGGTGGAAGGTTTTAAGCAGAAATGCCAATGACCAGTATAAGTGAATTGAAATACCCTTTCCTTCCTGAAGGAGATTCATTTAGGTGACAGTCAGAAAAAATTACAGGATAGATATGAGGAGATATACCCTCATCTGTCTGTCCTAAAAACCAGCTGTTCAAGTTCATTGGTGCTGTAATCCCTTGCAGGGCAACCAAGGTGCTCCTTCTTAAGCCGAGAGCTGAATTAAGCCCAGATAACATTTCATCTCTTTGCTATTACTTCAGCAAAGAAAACATTGCTTTGATTTCTGAACCATCACTATTGACTACTCAAAGTGATTAGAACTTTGCTATGAGAGAACTTGCCGTTAGTTCAGAGATTGAAACAATTGTTTCTAGAATATTCCTTCAGCCATGACAGGCTCTTCTCTTGGGATACAGGCTGAAATCAGATTTACAATATTTTCTCTAGCAATTTACAATGAATAAAACAAGAATAAAATTGTAGGAGTACCCTGAGTTTGAGACTTTCAAGCAATCAAGATAAAGTCCTCTGCACAAAAACAGTGCTGAAAATTGAACACTTGTCAGCTGCTGGTCCTTGTTTCTCTTCCAAAGTCAGAGGTAGGTTGTACCAGGAGCACATTACCTATCATCATTGTGAAAAGAGTATTACTTAAGCTGTTACCTGAGGGAATAACTCTCAGGTGCTGTTACCTGCGGGAATAACTCTCAGGTGCTTTTCACAGCAGTTTCCAGAGATGTTCTGCTTGTGTCAGCCCTGAGCAGGCAGAATGCCTCCAGACAACCAGCATTTAGTTGCTATTGCCAGGCAGGTTTGTGTTCCCCCTGTAGCTCAGAGGTGCTGAAAGGAGACCCTGGTCACAGGGGTAGTAAAACAAATAATAAGACATATCCATTCCCCTGATCATCCTTACTGTATGCACAGAAGGAGCAATAGAAGTCTAGCTTTAATCATAACTGAACAAAAAGAAAAATAGTGCCCACGCACAAAATATTTCTGCAATTTTTTTGCATAATGTAAATACTTTATGCGTATGTTTTTAATGAATAAGCAAAATAATTGCTTGAGATGTCAAGTCAAACCCTCCCCATCCCAATGAAAGAAACTCCTTACCAGATTACGTTGCTTAAAGTACACAATATTTTACTTGCTTTACTTTACTTATTGCTAGAACCAATTTCTGAGACCTATTTCATGTATATAAAACCTCACTAAGTGTAAATTAGGACTTTATAAGTGGGCTATTAAGTGCTCTAATTTAAAGGACTTTTATTTGTAGTTTGAAAACTACTTATAAATGTCACGTCTCTGATTTTCTATGCTTTGAGTCATAGCATTCTATTTTTAATGTAGAACTGTAAGGAGTGATGATTAATGATTTAGTACCTTTATTCTTAATCATCACTTTTTTATTACAGTCAAGTTTTCAGAATCATTGTGAACACAAACAAGGAGGAAGGGATGCCTTTTGAGGATTCTAATTACTGACTAGCTTCAAAGATATATTTTCTGCTGCTTAAGGAAAAGTGGGTTTATGAGTTAAATTTATAATATACAACGTTATAACCAACACAATTATGTTACTGATAAAAAGACAAGTGCATAAAAAATAAAACTTGAGGTTTATGAGTACATGTTAAGATGCCACATTTCATTGCAAGTCTATACACTATTTTTGTCAGTGGTGCTCAAAGAATAGAGCAGAACTATTAGCTATGTTCCTAAAACATCTGTTCTGAATTTTTCCAGCCATAATTCAGTTAGAAGTTTTTCTCTTCATTTCTGAGCAACACTGAAAGTTGTTAAGAAATGTGGAATTACTCATTTCCTCTTGAGACCTTGCAAGATATTCTGCTAGGTAGACTCTGAGATTCTCTGAATCATTAAGCTATTTTCATGAGTGCATAAAATAAAATATCCAAATAAACTTGGTGGAGGTTGCAATTGATCTATAACAAAGGCCCTAAACTGGAAATTAATTGTTTTGCCTTTTCCCTTCTGCTCTTGTCTCACAAACACTTCCAGAGCCTCTTTTGACATTAACTGTTATGCTTGGAGCTGTAGTGCTTTAGATCTCCAGTGGCTAGCCATAAAAAAAATCATGACCTAAATAATTTTAACTAATGAATTTCTTAGTGTTCTCAAAGGAAAAAGATAAAAATAAATTATGTTACATAGAATTGGAGTGAGTCTGTCACCAGAAGCTGGCTGAGCCCTGGACTGCAGTCATTGCTGAGCAGGGCTAACCACAACAGCTGCACGACCACTTGCAAAAAACCCACTGTGAGCACAGGATTTAGAGAGCAGCAGAAGGATGGAAAGACTGAGAGTTTATGAACTGGGTGCTGAGGAAGAGCCAGAGGTGCCCAATCCAGCTCTAGCTTTGTCAGGGGTGTGGATCTTGCTGTCAGACTGTGCTTTCCAAGATGAACACCCCACACTAGCAAGGAATCTGTCAGCTTCCTAGGATGCCCGTACACTCCATCCTTGCTACTTCACTGTCAGCAGTGAGAGTCCAAACCTGTACTGAAATATGCACTTTTCTTCATATCCTTCCAAAATTTGTTCAAGGTACACAGTTTAGAGAAAGGCAAGGAATAATTTGAAAGGGACAAATCTCAATGAAATTTCTACAAAATGTCATTCAGGAAAATACAAATCATCTGGTGCTTGGTTTTCCTCATCACCTTATTCCAACACCTTCCTGATTTTTTGAACACTTTCCAAGGTGTTCAACAGTTTAATAATAAGGGGTTTACAAGCTTTCCTTTTAGTCAGGGCTGATGCTAACATAAGACATTTTCTTTAAAGCAGATTATAAACAAAGAGTAGCAACATCAGTTTCTATTGTTCTAAGAAGAAAGAGTTCCAGACATGCAAGAAGAACTGTATCTGCTACTAAAATTCATCCTTTTCCTGGTAAGTATATAAAAGTGAAACAAAATTTAACAAATCTTGAAGCATGAGGAGGTCAAGAAGGACCTTTTAAGACTTTCCTGTCAAGAGATGCTTCAGGTTTGTTTCAGCGTTACCATGGTCCTACACAAATTTGATCTGGCTTATGTTAAGGAAACATTTTTTTGTTTTAAAGAAATAAATCTGACAACAAAACTATAAGGAGACTTATATACATAATGTGGAAATGCTTCTCCCAGTCTTCCCAGAGTGTTGTATTAATGACTTTGAACTTTTTAATTTTTGGTCATATTGTGTGCCAGTTTTGAGGTTTGTCACCTGAGTGCTTTGTGTGTGTGAAAAGTATACAGAGATGTACACATGTGTATGTATGCTCTATGTGTTTGTCATTCTTGATAAAATTTGCTACCAAAGCATGGAATGAATGGCTGCAGCAGGACTCAATAAATGGTTTTGCTGGCACTTCATAGCCTATTTCTAGGGTCAAATTCCCACAAAATGCAATTTTTGAGTTTCAGATAGGTAAAAAATTGTGGTCTTTGGACACTGTGGTATGCTTACCACAGATAAATTAAACAGTATGGCTAAACTCAAAGTTTGGATTCTAGAAAATTGGATTTGGCATCAAATACCTGTGTGAGTGCCAATTACCAGGTGTTGCTGTGTTACTGACATTGCTCAAAGAGTGAAATGTTTTAATAAATTTCATGGATTCTGGCTTTGTGAAGGGAGCTATATTTTTAAAAAGATTAACATGAACATATAGAATAATAGCTCTGAATGGCAAGCTAACCTCCCTTCAAAACTATAAAAATACAAAGCTAGCAAATGAAAAAAATGGTTTTAAATATGACTTAAGGCTTAAGTACTTTGCTTTTTGTCTTGTTAGTTCTTTGGGAGTAAGAGGAAACTCAATAATTTATGTCTACAACTCAGTATTTCATGGCATTTCAATTTTACCTAGAAAGGAGAGAATAGCTTCTTGTCTGTCTGAACTCCCCTGTGAGTACAATTTATGCTTCTTGCTCTTAAAGCACTGGCTACCTCTGAGATATATTTATGAGCTCATTATTTTCTTTCTGCAGGGAAGGAATTACTTTTCTGACATCTATTGTCTTGAGTAGCTTCACTAATATCATACGTGTTTAATCACATGTTCAGAATGGCATTTTTAATGTTGTATATCCAAGGCATTTTTGATGATGGGGTCTTATGGAAATTCAAATATGGTTTTACTAGATTTTACTGGAGAGAATAGGAATCCTTATTGGTCTGTCATTCTCACTTTTAAGTGCCTGCCGCTACAATCGATCCATGTAACCAAGGAAAATGCTTAGTTGCATGAACTGCTGTAACGGGGTTTATTTTAATATAAAATTCCTCGGTTTCATACACCATAATTTCAGTCAATCCAATCAATTCCATAGTTTATACCAATTTAATTTAAAATACAATCAAATCCATATGAAGAGTTTATTCTTTGCACAGTTACTAAGCTTAGAATTTGTTACCATGATAATGGACTACAAATAGCTACAGATTACTTTGTTGACAGCCCTTGACAATATTTTCCCTATAATTAGAGCATAGCTTGCAATCTTGAAAGAAACCATTGAGATCCACTGAAGACAATACAATCACCCTGGAAAAACAGTAATGAGTACTTGAGAGGATGTGACAGTACATCTTATAGATGAAAAGATGGATAAGTATTCCTAAAAGGTTATTTGAAGGAAAGAAATTATAATGGAAGAAAAAGACGGAAGCCTATACTTTGTGAATGAGAGTGAATTCTTAGGAGGCTTAGTAAATGACTGGCTTAATGTCACTGTGGTCCTACAAAAAAGTAATTTACAGCATGGATATTAGTTTTCTGAAACTCTTAGTGGCTTTATATCCATGAGTCATTGTCATTAAGTCCGATGACCAGAGGAAAGGGGGAAAAATGTACAGAATGTTCTTTAGGGAAGGATTAAATTTACAACCTTCCAAATTCACAGTACTGCAAGGGATTAAGCACATATAGTGAGGAGAGGGGAGCTTAATAGCATTCTAGTCATAAATGTTGATTAAAGGTTGTGTGGGCTGTAAAGTTAAAAAAGAATGCACTAGACCATGGGTTGCACAAAACATTTTGTGTATTTTCTAGACTTTGGAGCTGGTCCTGCCATTGCATTTATGTATAATAACTGTCCCTTGAATGGTGTGAAATGACAAAAAGGAGTTTCCCTTAAAGGCATCCACAAGACAAGGGAAAGAAGAGAGGGTACTTTTTTTAGTGCAAGGAGTATGCTTTAAGTGGCTGATCTGTATTTCCGGACATAGAGAATTTTCATCAAATAGAACTTGATAGTAATAACACATGGAAAAGAATCCATTAAAGCCACTTCCTTGCTTTGCGTTTACTACAGAGAATCTTAGTGAGATTCCCACACATGAGAATTTTATTGCAAGAATTTCTTTGAAGAGCTTTCTTAAATTGAAGAGGCAGTAGAAGAGGTTTTAGAACAGCTTAATAAATTAATAATGGCAATTAGAAGGACTAGAATGTATTCCCCACAGAGTTTTAAAAGAGCTCAGAAGCTGCTGAATTGCCGTTTGCAGCTTACTGCTTAAATCAGTCACCAATGCAGATTAAAGGAAGAAAGTTATACTTACCCTGCTGTTATTCCTCTTCCTTAGCCCATTTTCCCTAAACCACTTTGGTACCTCTTCCATTACTAGTAACTGACTAAGTGTAGTTATTCTCATGTAGCTGTATCCTAAAAAAAAAGATAATCCTGGGCACATGGTGCAAAATTACTTGTTGGGACCTGGCCAGTGTGTGTGAACTGTATGCTACATTATTAAAAAATAAAAAAAAGAAAAAGCAAGAAGAAGATGTTGAGGAATGAGATTGCATAAATCAGGGCATTTAATAACTAAGCTGAATCTGCCTAGTAGGGTTTGGAATATTCATTAACATAATTAGATGGGTTATAATTAAGTGGGAATTTATATTACTGGAATCTTATCACCATAAACTCCCATTCAGACTTAATTTTCCTAGAGTGAGAACAACATTCCTTGTTTATTTTGATTCTATTTTGAATGTGGCATAAGATGCGTTAGAAGAAAAGGATTGCTCTCATTCCTGTGCTAGAACTGGACAATAGGAATCATATTGTTAAAATCATCATGTTGTTGCTCTACAGTCTGTGTGGGCAGCCTTAGTTCAAGCATAATACCTTGTTCTACATTGCTCAAACAGTATATTCATTTTTAGTGATATTCCATTGGCTCATGGAGTCACAGTTTGGTTCCTTACATGCTTAGGATACAAATACAAGATTCCTTGACTCAATTGTCTGGCTCACAGTAATGCAAAGTTAGTTCTGATGGATGGTAGTTTTATAACTCATCATGAAAGAAGAGCATTGCAGGGTCACGGTGACAACCAGGATTCAGAGAATAAAACCTCAGCTTTCCTGGCTTGCTGTTGCTTCCTGGACTGTTTGGGGTTTGTGACATCCATACTATTTGATACAAGTGGGCTTGACAGCTGTAATTTACACAGAAGAAACAACAAGACAAATTCCCTCTCATTTGAATTCCTGTATTGTTTTCTGTGCTATCCTATTAAAATAATAGTTCCTTTCCCACAAGATTAGAGGAAATAGGGGAAATCCTTCCATATCTCTTATGTGTTGCTAGAGCTTCAGGTTAGTTGACATGTTGGAAATAGAAGCAAATGCTGGCTCAGCAGTGTCAGGGTTGGCATCCCAGCGAGTTCAGACTTACTCCTCCTTGTATTCTGCAATACGTTTTCTTTTTGGCAAAGAGAACAGGCAAGACACATGTTATACAGCAGCAAATAGATGCAAAGAAAGAGAAATTTGTTTAATCTTAGCTAATTGAAACATCACCTATTTGGTGGTCCCTCTCAGTTCCTGACATAGCTGAACAATTATCTTTCCCTCTGCAGCTTACATGAATAATGCTGGCAAAAGCAAAGCTTCTCATAGTATTCAATATTTCACACAGACTCAAATATGTTAAATTTAACATAACCAAGGATGGTTACGTTAAACATAACAAGAAAATTGTGAAGCCTTATTACCACTTTGGAGCTTTTAAAATTTTTTTCATATAAAAAGAAGGATAAAATCTATAGGATGCAGTTAACTTTAGGGAGCTTTTTATAGCCCCTGAATGCTTTTCATAGAGCACCGATGCACGAAATCTTTTCTCTGCTCAGTTTGCATGCATGCAGAGCACTGTTACACAAAGGCACCGAAGGGGATATCAGCCTATATTTCCATTCTCTCCAGATTCATCCTGAGGGTCAAACGAGATCCATTGTTATTTTTTAAAAAAACTTTTTAATTTTTTGACTTTGCTTTTCATACTCAGCTGCTTGAGTGCCAAGATACAAACTCCAATTTTAATTGCATTTGTAAAGAGAGAAGCCCAAATGATGTAGTCAGTGGAGAATGAACATAGCTAGATATAAGTGGCACAGTTTATCCTCTTGTTGTTAGCTCAGAAGAAACCTATCTGTAGTTTACAGAAGTAATGGATAGTCAGGGACAGGATGGACCTAGAGTCAAAATATTATTTGTGTTCTACAACAGTTCTTTGAAAAATGCATTGGATAAACAACTCTGTGTGCATTTGCCTGACAGTGCTATCACTGCATTTCCTTATCTGTATTCCACTGAGACACTGTATCAGGATCTGTGTGCTGAAGGCATCACCTCACCCCTTCCTGCTTCTGAGGTGTATGCTGTCACCTTTGTTGACAACTGGGTGATACCCAGTAGCTCTCCCTGTGTGTATGACAAATGAGTTGAGGCCACACAATGTGTGCCTGTGACAATCTGTGCTGCTCTTACGTGAAAATGAGTCAGGAATTTCACACTCTAAATTTCCATTGTTTCTGCTTAACTGGCTAAATGTATTTTGGGGGACATGTTTGTATTTTGGGGGACATTTACATAACCTCAAATTTGCATGCTTTTGGATTTTCACTACAATTTATTCAAAAATTTATTTCACACAAATTTATTTGCCTACCTTCAAGCTGCTTCCCTAATAGACTTAGAATCAGCACATTGTAATCCTAAAAGTATTAAGAGGAAGTTAAATACCAAACATGATTAGTATTTTCAGTACTGTCCATCTCTGTCTTGTGTTCAGATAGGTCTCAGTTATTTTTCAAACTTGTATATGCAAGTCCAACACTCTGCAGATATGTTTGCTGTTAATAATATGGATAAAAATTATTTTAACTTTCAATAGTGAAAACCAGCAAACAACAGGTTCCACTTCCTGCACAGACCACAAAGATACTGCCTGTAATTCCTGAACAAGAGCACTGTCATGTGGATCAACTCTAGAAGGTAAGTAAACATCTTATAACCCTGATTAGTCTGGTTTGCCTCATATATTTAGGACTAATAGTGTGGATATCTGAACAAAATAAATTATTACCACTTCTAACCAAGAGAATAAGATGAAAAACTGGATAATGTGTATTGTGAGAACTAGGTGGCATGAAAAGAGAATCGGTTTTACTTCTGCTACCAAAAGTGATCTATAATCATATGTGTTAGCCTAATAAATTCTGTGTGTCCCTGCAGACCTTGGTGCAAATTCTGACACCTTTTTTCTGGTGCAAAATATTGTGTCTTAAACTTTAGCACTGTGCTGACATTTGTTTCCTACAAGGGCAGAGAAAAAAGCAATTTGCAAATGATCTCTGAAGAAAATTCCATATTTGAAATGAATAGCTTTTCAGATTTTTGGTTGCTCTGTGAGACAATATATGAGACCCAGGACACTTTGGGCTTAATTTCTCCCTTTCCTTAATCTCTGTGTGAATGACTGAAAGAAAAAGATTAGGTGTCTTGAGAAAGCCCAAAAGCCTTGTTCAGTTCTGTACAGAAGCAGGCTTGCTTTTCCAGATAGTCTTCCTGTCAGAGAGACAGCTGGCAGTGAGGTGAAATCCAGATGTGATATAATGCTGAATACATTGTAAATTGTAATGTTACATGACATTGTGTGGAAATATTAAATAATCGGGCCGCAGAAACTTAGCTCTAGATCTTGTCTTTCATCATGTTTTGTTTTGAATACATTTCTTAAAGGAATACTCTCTCAGAGCTGAATACTCTCTCAGAACAAAATACTCTGTGAAAATAATAAAAACTTTCTGCTTTAGTTTTGCTTTACTTCCTGCAAAAACCCCCTTCTTCTCACTTCATCTGATAAGGTCAGATCCACGTCATTACCACACTGTCTGTGGGTGCCTCAGTTCCAGGAAAGCTTGCTAGCTTGTAGCGCTTGTGGTAACTGAGGCTGGGGAAGGAAATTGTGATCTGCTTTTTGCACGAGTGCTGGGTTTGTCTCTGTGAAGTCTCTAGAATGTGAAGTCTGTAGAATGCTGCTAAAGACTCGTTCGCTCAACGGGGAGAAGCTGTGTTACAAGTACTGCACATGAAAGCTGAGTACTGAGGCTGGAAAAATGCAAAAATAATCAAATTCCCAGAATTGCCAAAGACAGCTCTAGACTACATCAGCTTGATGAAGCGTGGGTTTTTCTCTGAAGTAGGAGGTGGGGTGGAGATGAGAAGTATGTACCAGGGAGCTTCTTGATCAAACCCATCATCTTTGTATCACTGACAGTGCTCCCCTGAAGAGTGTGCATTTCAGACCACTGATACAAGTGCCTCAAATAAGGAAGGGTTTTAGGCAGAGCTAGCGTCCTGAGAGAGCTCCACTGAGGATACTGCTAACATCTGCCCTTCCCTGCCTCAAACCTGGCTTCTGTCTGTTGGTAAGAGTTACTTCAATGCCTGCCCTGAATCAGACAGGCAAGATGAGTTATACTTTTCCTCATCTTCAGCCAGCTGGAGCTGCACTCAGAGAAATCATTAACCACAGCACGGAGTGTTTGATTTCTCTGTCAGGAAACTACCTACACAGCAGCTGTGGTAGGTGTAACAGCAGTTGTGAGGAGGAGGAAATGTAAAAGCAAGGATAACTATGATCACGATCATTGTAGCTAATGAGCTGGAGAACCTGCTGTTAAGGGCCACCTCAGCAGTGGCCCTTAACACAGCACACTGAAAGATGAAAGGCAGAAAAACATTGATTTTAGCCGTGGGAATGGTCTGGAGAGATCTATTTGCCTATTCTTTGCTTTTTGCTCCAATCTGCAACGGTGAAGTATTGCTCTTATTAGTAGATTGAGAAAGATATCAATAATCAATTACGCCTTGCAATTTTCCACTGTTTTTCTTTTTATAACAAGAAAAATACATTTCTTTTTATAAATGTCTTTCTTAAGTCTTTCGATTTTAGACAGTACTGTTGATTATAATATGTAAATATATTGATAAACATATGACTGTACACGTGTTGCCATGTTTATCAATATACTTAGATCCAATTGTGTAGTACATCTATCTGTCTATCTATCTATCTATCTATCTATCTGCATCTATCTATTCTGTGTGTGCACACAGAAATGCACCCAAATGCTTCGTTATTCACTATTGTACTGACAGCTAATTCAGGTAATAAAAAATGTGCCAACTTCTGCACTTGCCTTTGCCAAAGGTGAATCTTTTCAGCATAGATCACTCAATGTCTCTGTATTTTCTTGGTAACTATTACAACTACACTCGAGTACCATAGGTAAGAATCCTCTGTTTCTGCCATCTTTCATTAAACTATGATATCAGCAACTGTGCTGGAAAACAATGAATGAACCATGTCTCTCAGGTGTTGAAACACACTTTACATATGTTGTGGTTTAGGAATGGTATTTTCCAGTTAAGTAGTCCCGCTAAAACCACACTGCAGCTTGCTTCCCCTCTCCTCCCCTCCAATTGGAAGCACAAAAGGCAAAGATTATGGCTTGAGATACGAACAATTTAGTGGAAACAGCAATGAGATAAGAAAATAATAACAAAAGGTATAGGCAAGGAAACAATTTACATGGAAAGCCTGGGACAATACTGACTGGCTCTTCTCTACCACTTTTCTTCCCACTGGAAGGAACACCCTTCTCCTTGGAAACAAGAATCCTGTATCCCTGCTCCTGGCAATGACCTGAGGTAGTACAGAAAAATCTCCTAGCCATGCCCACACAGCTCCAGGCTCATCCCCTCACAGCTACTGCAAAATATTCACTGTGTCCTGGCCAGACCCCAGGACAATGTATGACAACTGTGAATGTATTTCCTTAGTGCTGTGAGAAGATTGCGATATTAATTACCCTAATTTTGTTTAGATTGGAAGCTTGAGCATTTTATTCAAGGCATATATTTGCATTCAAGGCAAATATTTGCATTCAGAGGCAATGCTGTTCAGGTAAGAGCATGCCAGAATAAGGCTGTGGAGGCATGACTTCTCTGTCTCTCCTAATGATACCTCCTTACTAATTTGCATGGTTATAAGAAAGAACTGTTTATCCTCAGCTAAAAGAGAGATTGCATAGTGTTTTTAATGAAGCTTAACTTGCATCAAGTGGTACTTTAAGAACTCTACTTCCATAAACTATTATTTTCAGCAGCTGTAAAATGCTGTGTGATGTATATCTGGTTTGAGAAACCATGAGGACTAGCACTTCTGAATGTGCTTGATTCCGTGGCCGTTCCCTAAACAGTGGGGGCAAAGAATAATTGAAGTAAGAAATTAAACTGGGCAAGTAAGAGCCAAATCACCATACTCATGTGTAAGATGAAGGTGTTGGAGCACTCAGAAATATGGTTTTGTTGATGGTTATGTGAAATCATTGTTGAGTAGGGAAGGTTTTGGCTAAACTTTCCCTTGGAGGCTAAAGAAGCCTGGCTCAAGGAGTGACTTTGTGAGTCCTGCCCCTGTGACAATCTCTCTTTCCCTGGTGGGGCCATGTGGAGTCTGGGCAGACTGTACAGGGCTCACTAGTCTCTCTCACACCAAAGCTGCACTTCAGTCTTAGAGTGGTTGGGGCAGAGTAAAAGGCACGTGTAGCATGAAGAGAAACTGTGAGCCCTCTCCTGCAGTACCGCTGTCCTCTGCCTGTTTAAGGGAAAGGAGCACTGTATTCTCTGAATCAAAGGCAGCATTAATAGATTTCATGAATGGTTAGGGATAGAACAGTGTTCTATTTTGGGAAAATAGGGACAGATAGAGTCATGACAGTTCTTGGATGAAGTGCAGCCATTTTATGAGGAAAGAAAGAAAGAAAGAAAGAAAGAAAGAAAGAAAGAAAGAAAGAAAGAAAGAAAGAAAGAAAGAAAGAAAGAAAGAAAGACGCAGTGTCTTAAAGCCAACTGTTGTGGACTTTTTGTTTTCCTTGAAAGTGCCCAGTGTTACACTCTGAGCTCATGCTAGATCAAATTCATAGAAACTGGTCACTGTTACCCAGACATTTTATTTACTGCATTAATCTCTTTGACAATCCATGCCTCAAGGACAAGATAAAAGAATCTTGGTGTCCTGCATCCTATTAATTCTTATAATAAAACTAGTAGATGCATCAAAGACTGCATAAAACTATGAAAGCTCCACATCAGAAACTGCCAATGATTTTTAGTACACTGCCTTTTGCCATCTGCCTTTGTAAAGGGCTTTGAGATCCTTGAACACCTAAGGTGCTTCATGTGTCTGTAGCTCCTTCTGAATGAAAGTGTAGCTGCACAGTTGAATAAGACAAGTTGGTGTCCAGTGAATATAGAAATTAAGGCACAATCTTATCTTCAGGTGAAATGGAATATAAAACTAGAACATAAGGGACAACACACGGTGTATGGCTAAAAAGATGAAAACCTCTGTCAAAAAAAATTGTAAAATACAAGAATTTGATGGGTCCCTTTCCTCTCTTACAATGAGAAGCATGTGGGCATGAAACCCCCTATGGGTGCAAGGGTTGGCACAAGAGATCAACAAGTGTATGAGAGGCTGTGTCTTACCCAGCAACATTCAGATTATCATCACCATCATTGTTTTCTAATGAAACACTCCCATAGGAAATTAGAAATTTGACTGTGCATATCCCAGTCTAATGCCAGGAAATTTCAGTGCAGGTATACCTGGGGTATTACCTGGGCTTTGGCTCATGCTGCTGCTGCCTTGTGAAGAGGTCTTTAAATGCCATCATTGCTGAACTTAGTAGCACAAACAGAAAGTGCAACTAAAAATATTCTTTGCCTGTTTTCCTTATGTGATTGTGGCTTTACAAAAATGTTTTCACTCTCTCTCTCATCTGTCTTCAAGCAAGGCACCCACACAAACAACAGAAGATAGGAATTATGCAGAGAAAACAGTAAAACTCATAAGATATTCTAGCAAAGGCATGTAACGAGCGAGCTCAGGAGTGAGAGGAAGATTACAGTTAAGATGCTGTCATGCAGGTATTTGTGAAGAACAGTAGGTGTGATTTTAAATTGCTGGGATCCTTCCAATTATCCTTTTGACAGTTTTTCTGAAAAGCATAATTTCAGTGCTCTGAAGTGATAGTACTGTTGTTAAAGTCATCATAAAATTTGGTGTGAAGCTGCTGAAGGGAGAAGTTCCCACTAGTACTGACCTACCGGCTTTGAGGGTTGGCCATTTCTGTAAGACTTCATTTTTTACACTGTAATTCCTATTGATAACTGTGATTCTATGATTTACACCCTCAGGCAGCTTTAAATTGTTTTCAGAACGGTATGCACTCAATTAGGTATTTATTTTTTAAATGTCATGAAAGGTAATTCCTCCTGTTTCTGCTTCCGTAAGAGATTCTAGTCTTAATTACACATTAAAATGACAGCTCCTCTCAGCACAGAAAAGCTCACAGAATCAGATTGCTGAGCACATTCCAGGGTACTTGGCACAATTACTGGTCCTGCACTAAATGCATGCCAGGCTGTGTTTCTCTCCAAAGGAGACACTAAGGGTTTCCAAGGGAAGCACTCCTGCTTGCTGGCAGAGCTGGACTAGAAGGGGCACTGTGCAGGCCATTTAAACCTACTGCTCCATTAGCTGGCATCAATTTTTGATGCAGTCTATCCTGCCTACACTTGCCATTTTCTAGCTCACTCCAGCAGCTGCTGCCTCCAGTATGATTTCACAGCCAAGGAACACTTCTGAACCCAGTTCCTGCCATGTAAAAGAAAATGTGGACAGATGTTGTAATCAGGCCTGCAGCTATGGGAACTACCAGAATGGGTGACAAGCTATATTTGCTTTTTCACTCAATGTGCAAGTTAGAAGTACAGAAATCCTGTACTTCCACTCCACCTCCCTCTTCTCCCTCAGCATTTCATAGTTCCCTAAAAAGACAAGCTTGACTGGAATCTGGGAGCTCTGGGAGCTGCAATCCAAATTCAAAAGTGTCATTGATGGTTAGTGAGAAGCAGTTCAGTTGTGAATATGGGAAAAGCTGCTTTCATTTTATTATTTCCAATTTTGTCCTGCCATATAGCAGTATAGAATGGGAAATGCAGTTGGGAACAGAAGAGCACTTCAGCTAGGTGGATGTGGTGAATGTTTCTGACTCTGCTCACCCTTCCATTGCCAGCTTCCCTGAAGTGGGTGAGGCCTGATGTGCCTTGATCAAGTTCCTGTATCACACTCTCGTGGGGCAGGCACCTCAGCCACTTCTCAGCTGCCAGGTATCAGTCTCAATCTGATGTGCTTCACCTGTTTTGTCCGCCTTTTAGTTACAATGTTGTTTTCTTTGGTAATAAAGAGGAGAATTCATTATTGTGAAAGGCAAAATGATGACATTTGAGATATACTAGAGGACATTTACCCTCCTCTTTTTTTTTTCTCTGATACTATTTTCTTTAGTTTCAGGTATCACCCTATGAAATACCAGCACTTCTGGATGAAAGAAGACACATCATACACCACAGAAGAAAGCATTCCCATTTCCATCTTGGGGGGCTATGTTATCCATCTTTTAATGGGAAATGACAATTATGCATTTTAGTTGACAAGTTCAATTTTTTCCATCATAATTACTTTGTATTAAGAAAATATGAAAGATGAACATGCATGTTTTGCTGCAAAAACAACTTTGATAGCAGAGTATGGGTTTCACATCTATTTTCTGTTCATTCAGGATTCATACTTAATTATATGGTTGTGAGGTAATCCTTGTGATAATTACATATTTTTATCAGGGCAGAAGTTTATTTTATATATTCCATATGATAAGAAGTCTGTATAAAGCTAGGAATTATCCTCTACTTTCAGGAAATGAGCACAATTTTCAAACTACTTAATGCAATACATGACTAAGATGCCTAAAAAATACAGTTTCTGGCTGTTGAGAAGGGTGGCCAAAGTATTACAGAGGGAAAGAATTCTGTAGCAAGAATGTTAGTTTCTGCAGTAAACCAGGAAGACCATGATAATTTGTGCAATATCTTAGTGGATAAAGAAAAAAAAGTGGAAAAATACTAATTTGGCTTCAAATCACGGAATCGTTAATATAGATTTTTAATAACTCATTAAGACATTAAATGGGTTTGTACTTTTTGAGAAATTGCATTTCTGTCTTTTGTTCTAGCTTGGATCATTAGCATTCCAACCCATTATCTCTTGGAACTTTTCCTTACTACTGCTTGGAACATTTACTACTGCTCCTCTGGGTGCAGTGGAGCTGTTTGGGCTGAGCAGGGTCCCAGACTCCTTTGGTGCTAACAAATGATTTATGGGTACAGCTTAGCTATCAGTTACTAGGCAGAGACAGAAACTGCCAGGACTTCAGGCTCCCTTGTGCTAAATCCATCAGGATGAACAGATTGTAAACTGCCCATTGCAAACAGCAGGCAGCAATTTAGCATCCAGTTAATACTTCATTACCTCTATTCCTTACATTTATTCCTTACATTTATTCAGGAGGGAAGCCTTTCCCTCCTGAAGCTTTCTGAAATTGAATTTTCCAGTCTACACTGAGCAGTTCAGATTTAATAGGAATAGTTGTGAATATTAGCTTCTGAATGATTTGAGGGCGTATGGATTTTTTTTTTTTGTATTTTGTTAGATAAGTCTGAAACATTTGTTTCTATTGTTTTTTGTTTGACCATCTTATTAAAAATTAAGAGAAAAATACTTTCTTGATTTGGGGGCTTTTTGTTGTTTGTGGTAATAAGAAAGCTTCTCAGAAGCAGAGTTTTTCAGAAGTAGAGTTTTTAATAAGCTTTTCGGAAGAAGAGTTTTTAGTACAGTCTATAAAGTAAACCTCTCACAATTTGCTTCTTGGTTGTTTTTTCTTCTTATCATAGAGAGCAACTTACAGACAAAGAGACATATTTGTCTCAATTCACTACAGAGTTGCTAAGGCCGTTTTGGTCGGTGTTTAAATGCTTCAAGTGATCACTTTTCTCCTTCAGTAGAGATCTTGATAGGGGCAGCCCTGCTTCTTGTGACCCCAACTTAATTTTCATTCTCCTATAACTCAATTATGTTCTTATTCTTGTTGCCTATAACCTACCTCTTTTCCTTAGACAAATAAACTGTGGTTTGCTATTTTATTACCCAGTTATCCCACAGCTCTCCAAGTGTTTGGTTTTACTACCCTGGAAGGATCCATCTTCTAAGTTACCTTTAAGAGCACCATAAACAAAACCCAAAAGGTTCTTTCAAGCTTTTCTTGTCTGCTGAGTAAAGCTTACCTTGTCTTCTAACTATGATCCAAACTACAGGAAATAATGGAAGAAAGGGAGGACATTGGTGAGGATGGTAACAAAAAATGTGATCCTGAAGTAATTCTGGTTGAGAAGGATTTCAGGTGGTCACTGGTCCAACCTCCTTACACTTGAGGACGGACTGAAAACAACTGGTTTAGTCTTGCCATTTTTTCCTGAAGTTTGGTTTCTCTCCTTCCACATCCTTGTAACTCCTTGTCCTCATCTTTGGCTTTGTCAGAACTGAACATGTCAGGAGAGAAAGAATGTCCTGGAGCAGCCTCTCAAGCACAATATGATGGGCAGGAGGGAAGAGCCTCAGAAATCAGGAAGGGAAAAGAGACATGAAGGTGGACAAGGGCTGTGTGTGTGAACAGAACTGGTGGGGAAGGTGGAACTGATGGAGCAGAGAACTTGCAAAATGGACATGGGACTGAACTGGCAAAAGGAACTGGAGGGAAGGCAGAGACCATCTTAAATGCCAGCACCAGTAAGCTGCTGATACAGCCTGACATCTCAAATGGACGGAAGAGCAGGGCTGCATTTCCCCAAATTTATTAAATGGGTTGAGGAGCTTCTTAAGGTGATTAAAAATTACCTGAATTACCTGGCGTTCTGGTAGGTCCTCAGAAGGCTGTAATGGAAGGCTGTGAAGAGGAGATCAAAGTGGGGAGATTGATAAGGAGCTCTTAGCAAACATGTGCTCAGGGACTTTTGCAGGGCAGCCAACAGAGGGAGAATGAGCACTGCAGATCCACCGTGACCAAATTAACTGTTCCTTCCTACTCTTTTCTTTTTCCTATCTTCTTTCTGTTCTTTCCTTTGAGCTTTTCCTCTTTTAATGTTCCACCTCTGACTACCTTTCAGTTCATGCAGATTTTCATTTTACTTCAGAAGTGCATTATTCCTGTTCTTCTGAGCTAATCAGATGTCATCTCTTGTTTATTCTGAAAAATGCTAAAAAAATATTTTTACAGAGGCTTTTCTCTAATCCAACCTCGAAAATTGTTCTTACTTCCAGAGAGCACATTCTTTGTTTTCTCTTTTGAAAATAATTTTCGCATTGCATCTTTTTAATACAGCTGAATTTTTGCCATTTTATTTTAAATTTTTAATTTTAAAACTGTACACTGTCATCAATATGAATGCTGAAGTAGGAGACAGCATGGAAAATGTATAAGTTGCACAATAAAAGTAGCTTCAGCAACAAACCTGAGACAGAATAAAGTGTTTAAAGTCCAGAGGGCTTGCCAGTCCAACTGTAAGAACTCCAAAGTAGGTCAGACTGGCTGATGGCATCATGTTAAGCCTTACTCCGAGACGGTTTTCGAAAGAACTCAGGAAAGTCCTTTTCCATGCTCTACATTCTTCTGAGACTGGCAGAAAGGATGGGGCTGTCATCTGAAATAGAACTGAATGTCTCAAAGATAATCCTATGAGCTGGGTGAATGGCTGTATGATAAAAACACTTCTGTGAATCAGAAAAAAAGGGGGAAACCTGTATTTGTCATTCAAAATACTGTGGTGTTTCAGGCTCCTTGAAATTGTTATGAATCCTGACTGGTGAGTGACACTGGACATTACTGGTCACACACATCATTAAGAAGCCTCCCCACTGGTAATGACTGTGATTTTGTATTATATGACTGAGGCACATTTTGGAGGAAGATATTAACGGCTTCAGTGGGTGATTTAAGCAGCACGACAGAAAGTGGAAGAGACAGTTCTTTTGTTCAGCTGTCTCTAGCAATGGAAGCTGGAGTGTAGGAGGAACTCATGGGGAAGAGATGTTTACACATGAATAGACTATACCCTGAGAAGCAGTAAACAACCTTCAGCTTGCTTTGCTTTGTTTACCCAAAAAAACCCCAAACTCAAGAAAAAAAGAAGTCAGTATCCTTAATATACAGTGAATTACTTCTTTAACAGTCTAATTCCCGCTCGTTCTTCAGGGATGACCTGTAACTGTGGATCATTTGCAAGGCTGTAGGCATGCAGATATTGTTTTAAGTTTCATCCTGACAAATTTCGAACTTAGTGCACAAGCCTGCCTCCTTTGTCACTGCGTAACAGGGTGGATGTGCTCAAAAGTGAATGGAATGCCATGGAAAACACATCTGCTCAAGAAAACATTTTCATAAGTACTTACAACCTAGTAGTTTGCCAAGTGCCAAGGCTCAGTGTACTAACCTGGAAAAGGGTGGTGATGAAAGAAAGAACACTCTCCATTAAAAGTTTAAAGTAACATCTGATTTTGTCAGTCTCCCAATAAAATCATACTCATTATTCCAAAGGTAAATAAAAAAATCAGAAAGTAAATTATTTCACTGAGAATATACTCCCATCACATTATTCTTCAAACCACTCCCTTTTAGTGTACTGTCTCAGTTCAGTATCTCAAATTATTTATTTGACTGGTGGAAAAATACAAATCAGTGTAAACAAAATATTCTGGCTACATCCATACAGAACTTTTTTACTAAAATATTATTTACCCTAAGTTGATTTAAAGGTATGACATTCAGTTTTCCTAGGACAAGATGACTGAATCTAAGATCAGATGGGAGTATCCCTATGCTTGCATATTGCCCTGTTCCCCTTCCTACCTTGTATGGATGTAAATACTTTAGGTCTCCATGTTACTTTTTATAGCTTCTTTTACTTCAGGGTAAGGTATTTTATTCATAAATGCATAATTTAAGCAAGACAATGAAACCTCTAGTAAGGAGTATCTCAGATAAGCAATCTTTGTCTTAAGAATGCTCCTCAGAGATTTCAAACATTATCCCCTGAGGCTTCTGATATTATATTCAGCATGTACAAATGAATTTGAAGACTGTACATCTTCTACTTACCCAGAAAGATATCTCTATGTCTGTTAAATTACAGGGTGCCAGGAAATAGATTTTGTGTAATAAACCTTATTTATATATATATATAAAACACAAAAAGACCTTTCTGTCCACTTATTTGGACTCAAAGAAGTTACCATGTGCAAAGCAGATACATAGTTTCTCTTTTCTATCAAACACAGAAACTGCCTCATGCTCTACTTAATTATTTTTATGATGTATGAACTATGCTTAAATGTATTAAAATGTTAACTGCAAAAAATAGCATTTAAATACAATTAATGAGTATACCAAGAGAGAAAAATACAAAATAACGGAAAGAAACATAATAAATGACAAAAATTCAAGAGAACAGGCTATGTAAAATACTGGAAGGTTCTTCCTGTCTAAGAGGTAAACTAGCCTAAACAAATTCTTAGGTCCAAAACTCAGTATTTTAAACTACAGATAGGGACAAATTAGCATGGTTGCTAGTGTTATGAAATGTCATTCCTATTGTTTGCTTATGCCTTAACTATTGCCTCAGAAAAAAAATTATTGCTTTGACAGATGACCTCCACACCCAGTGCAATTTTTTCATAACTTCTTGCTACAACTTCTGTTTCTGAAGGTAGGTATCAGTAAACCCCGAAGTGTTAACCTGGTAATACATCTGAGAGAAGGCTGTTTAGCAGGTGTTTCAACTGCCAACCAAAAGGGAAATTTTCTATCTCCTGCATATTTAAAATATTACATTTGTCTCCTCTGTTGTTCAACCATTGAAATGAGGAAATAGACCTAAATTAATATAAACTTACGGGTCAGCAAATATAGAGCTATACCTGTAATCTTAACTGGCTCAGAAAATTTATTTTCAGTATAATTCTTTATGCATAACCTCCATAATTTTCACTTAGTAAAGTTAATACCTATTGCTGTACATCTCCTTCAACACAAAGTGTTATGTTAGTGATACATATTAATATGATGTTATTATTTGCTACTGGAAATAATACTTAACAACCTCAACACTTTGATAATTTGTTCATGTTGGCAAAAAATACTGAAACCATTTTATGAAATACAGTTTTTAAACTGCAGTTACAAATCAAACAATATAAATGGTAATTTGAAGTTAAATGTTTTAAGAAACTTTACATTCCAATTTGTTTCATACATTGTTTATAACTGAAAGGGTCAACATTTAGAATCCATATTTAAATCAATGCTAATATCAATAAACATCTGTTTAAATTAATGCAAAGCATGAACTACACTGGAAAAGAAATGACTCACTTTACTAGTTACTTCTAAAGTCTTAAAGTCTGAAAGAAGTTTTAAAATGTTCAGTACTGTGTGTGCAAAACTGCATTTAGTGTCTTCAAAGAACTCTAGTGGCCAACTTCTCTTGTACCAGCTCTTCTCTTGGCATAGCTCAAGACTTTGGGTCTGTGGTTGCTCTCAAGCTGACAGCTCCTGGGCTTTTGAACAACTGGTCTGGATATGGGAAATTTGCAGAACTGGAAGCAGTAACTGGAAAGCATCTTGAATATAAGTAGTACTGTTGCTGCCCTAATGGGGAGAGAAAACATGTGGTTAATCAGTACAGCTGCCATGTACTTCAGGAATGACACTGGACTTTTCTTTTTCCTTTCTTTTTTTTTTTTCCCACATCTGCATCATGCTGTATTAGCATTGTCTTCACACAAGATTTTAGAATCTGCAGATAGCATAGCCTGAATAAATATAGAAAACTCTGACTGCCGCTAAGTTTGAACTCTAAGACAGTTTTGTTGGTAATATGAGTAGAACAAAATGCCACAGTGTTCAGAAGCAGATTTGACTTTTAAACACAAACCAGCTAGTCTTTCCATCAGCTGAACTAATTTTGAATTTGCTGTAGGTGGGAGAAGTGTCACTGAAATTAACAGTTCAAATTATAATGGTTTTAACATGTAGTACTATTTTTGGAATTTCTAGTACTGAACAATACAGCGCCCTGTAATTCTCCATGATCCTAGACTGCATTAATACATATTTGTATACAACTATGGGATTTATGAAGTACAAAACATTGTATTCCACAAATCGAAATATTCCTAGATTTTGCAGTTCCTGGAGCACAGGAAGGTAAGTCAGGACCTACAGCAAATTTACCCTGTAACAAAAGGAACTGCATGGTAGTCTTCACATCTCTATTCAACTTTCCGTAATTTCCCTTAAAGGTATTGTTAATTCAGTGCAAAATTGCCTATTGTAAAGCAATCCTCTCCTTATTTTTAAGGGAATGCAGATATTAAATGCAGAATGACAATTTATGGTCACTACTATATATTTCTTATGTTTTAAGGGAAGTGTGATCTAACAGAGTTAAAAATTTGTGCTGCAGTTCCTATGAGTTTTAGGACTTTAAGAGGATATTACTTAATCTCAACCTCCTCTTGGTAAAACTGAAGTATGTTTTATTCACTGTTTTATTCAATGTGTTTTTCTGAAGAAAAGTAGAACATGGTGTCAAACAAAAGAAATCACTCATGAACATTTTGATGGTCTGACACATGGTTATCCATGTGCTGACCAACACTGTTGCTAGACTGTCAATCTTTGTAAAAATCTAAACGCCTGCAGATGAGAAACACTGTAGCATACCTACAATCCAAATTTTAAAGGAAAGAATATTCTGAAACTGCAACTTGTTGCTGTGCTCTGACCAATACAGCAGCAGAGTTTCAGAGTGGCCAGCCTCACTTCAGTCATACAGCTCTTAAGAATCCTCAGTAAATGCAACCTGACTACAAGAGTGTTTGTGGGAGAGGCTGAACACAAGATTTATGTTCTGGCACTGAACAACCAGAACGATATTGTCATTACTTTTAAAATAGCTTTGCCTTTCAAAATAAATGTGCCTGTCTCATTTAAAATAATTTTATTAGAACATCTTCTAACGTGAAGAGGTGGAGCTTACCTCTAACAGCACACTGTTGATGATGGGGTTAAGAACCTCTGCCTTCATATTGCTCTGTAAACCAGAAAACAGAATGAAAAGCCAGGTCAAGAAATACACTTAACAGAAATATACTGATATCTGAGATGTCGTTTTATGAATTCTGTAGAGGTCTTCTTTCACCTTGATTCTTAGTCAGACTGTTTATCTCAGTATTGCTAGTAACTGTACACCTCAGTACACCTATGTACTTCTATCACAGAGTACAATGAGCTCTGTGTACAATGAAACCTGAGGCCCAGGGTTTTACTTCTTCATTAATTCATGTACCACAGAGTTTCAAATTGCCTACTTTCCTACAGGTGTGAGGTTTATGTAATGACATTGTTTGTCCATCTGTCTATCAGCGACCTTTTCATATCCCACAAAAATGTTAACCCCTTGCTCATTTTCAAGGACACAAAAAGGAAAAAGACATGTCAGAACAAAAACGAAGGTCTTAGAAGTTATGCAAGTATCTGTGGTTAGGACCAAATGAAAGGTCCAGGGTAGCTCCCCTACAGAAGGAAAACCAGGTGAAACTCAGATCCCCAAACTGGAGGCAGCGTATGTGCTGGGCAGTACAGGTTGGCCAGTGGAACAGCTCAGCATGCATGACATTCTTCTCAACCACCAGAGAGGAAGAAAGATGGATACAATGAGTAGTGACACTACTAGAGGTTAAAAAAAAATCAAGATTCATTAGCTCCTCTACTTTTTAAAATGGCAAAAGTTCTTTCCTTTTTTATTCTCACTGCTCTTCACATTGTGGTTCTTTAGAACAACAGTAACCTCCAGCAAGAGCTGTTTTCTTTCAACACTATATTAGGAATAGTGTGGCCAGCAGGAGCAGGGAGGTCACTTCCCCTGTACTGGGCACTGGTGAGGCCACACCGTGAGAGCTGTGTCCAGTTCTGGTCCCTCAGTTTGGGAAGGACGTTGGGACGCTTGAGCGCGTCCAGAGGAGGCAACGAGTCCGGAGAGGGGCTGGGAACACAAACCCTGTGAGGAACGACTGAGGGAGCTGGGGGTGTTTAGCCTGGAGAAAAGGAGATCAGAGGTGACCTTATCACTCTCTGCAACTTCCTGAAAGGTGGTTGTGCTCAGGTGGGGGTTGGTCTCTTTCACCAGGCAGAAACTGACAGAACCAGAGGACACAGCCTTAACCTGCGCCAAGGGAAATATAGGTTGGATGTTAGAAAAAAGTGTTTTACAGAAAAGGTGATAAAGTACTGGAATGGTCTGCCTGGGGAGGTGGTGGAGTCACCATCCCTGGATGTGTTTAAACAGAGAATGGATATAGCACTCAGTGCCACGGTTTAGTTCAGGTGTCAGGGCATGAGCTGGACTCAAGGATCTTGAATGTCTCTTCCAGCCTGGTGATTCTGTGATTCTGTGATTCTCAACACAATACTGATTAATTTAACTGAGGGATTTCCACTTACAGCCTTGTAGCTCTTGTATTACAGATTTATGGAAACATGAAACTTCTTAATTTTAGTTTTGAGAAAGATGGCAGAAACAGTAAGAGATACTTAGAGAAAGTAAGTACATTTTTACATGTAGTTATAGAAAATCCATTACAATATGCACTGTTTAGTGGGCCAGTTCAATCTTTTGTGTGCAATTTATTTTTATATTTTTGTGCATCCATTCATTTCAAGTGTCCCACAGATATATGGTAAAGCACAATCCCAAAATGCAAAATAAGCATTCCCTATTGGAACTAATTGGAAGTTATGTAAATTATTCATAATAAAAGCAAAGAAATAAATCATGTCCTTTACAAATAACTATGAAAAAACATGCTCAGAGATGTGCTGGAAGGAAAACTGGAAACTGGAAAAATTTCCTTTGAATTACATTCCTGTATTCATGGAACAATCAGGAGAACCAAAATTTGCTCTCCTCTGATGTTTACAGAACAATTTAAGCAACAGCACATTTTTTACCTCTGAATCCTGCTACAACACTGAGATGTCAGTCATCCTTGAAGCATCTTGAAAGGCAGGATACTATTTCTAGCAAAGATGTTCACAGATAAATGGATGTTCTTAAACAGAATATCTTCTGATAGAAGACAGAGTGATTTTTTTTTAAATTGGACCAAACAGATCTCTTAATCTCTTAAACCTTTTGAGAAAACTGCAGTGCTAAGCCTGGGGATCTAGTAAAGGCTAAGAAGACAACTTATGAAAACTTCTTAAGGTACTGCAACTACAATCTGTTAATGACTTTTACACAAATGTGTTCAAAAGGGATAGGCCAAGTCAGAGAAGAAATTATCATCAAGCTGTGTAACTTCAAATGTGGGGCCCTTCAATATGAGAAGTGTTGAGGGGTGATCAGGAAAAACAGGAAGTGGTTTCTAGAAAGAGAGATTTCAAAAGGCAGGGAACTGCTGTCATCTGTCAAGGGGTATAAACTTTCCTGCTGTAGAAATGCTCTGTGCTCTTGATCTGAGGAAAGAAGCGGACTCTTTGCTGATATAAAGCCTCTGGACCCATGTAAGAATTTCTGTTTCAAGAGGTGAACTATGTTAAAAAAAAGCCCAAATGCTACAGAAAATGCTGTCATCTTACCCCAGCTGCTGTTACAGAATCAGAAAACTTCTTTGATAAAGATGAAACTTCATTGCACATAGCACTTGTTAAACTGATTTAAAAAAAAAAGAGACAAATATAAAAATACATCCTTGACCTGTTAATAGATGAAAACCCCATGACAAACTTTATCTTGGAAGCAAAGATGTTCTCAAAGCAATTTTGTTTCTATATATTTTTAAAATATTTATGCATAAACTGTTCCTGATAAAGTTTTTATATTCCTTCACTGAAAAATCCCCTGCTGACTACAGCCGCAATATGATGTGGTGTTGTACACACCAGTCTGTTTTGACAGTGCAATGCTTCACTTGTTTCAATTCTAAACTTCTAGTTTAACTATGGTTTTTCTGATGATTGCAGCAACACAATTTCTGGGAATACTGTTGGAAATAAATCAAACTTGAATGAGAACAGTGAGAAGTTTTCTAAGTGAACAATAAAACATCTACTCTGTGCTAAAGGAGAAAGACCACTTGTGGTTAAAATATGAGAGACCAATTCTGTTCTGAGATCTTTCTTTGTTTTCCTAGACATTCCCAAGTGTATCCCATAGGACCAAATCCTGCAAGGTGCACTGTACCTTAGCTCTGATTCTGAAAAATACTTATTAAGTGCTTTGTTTTAGACTGAAGTGTTCCTATGGACTTTGCTATTCTTAGTAGCATTCTTAAGGACAAGCACTTGGTTAAATATTTTACTTACTTAGGAGTCAACTGTTTAAAATATCTTAACATGAAAACTTACTGAAATCAGTAGACTTAATACCTACAGAGAGCTTGAAATTTGAAATGGAGTCCCACTAGACAGACTGGCTTGAAATTCTGGGTATTTCACTACAGTTAACTACAAAGTTGCTAACAAATGTGGTCTATTGTTCAGAACTACAGATTTATTTTTGTGTATTTTTGGCAGATAAACACTAGATAATGAAACTCTCTTGGCAGATAATAGGACTGCATTATACACTCTAAAAGCAAATTCCATGTATGCAGGCACAGCATCTTCTGCAGAGGAACGGGAAATGCAACCTAAGCTGGCATGCACATTTGATTGCTGGAGCAGAAACAAATTTTAGCCAGCATATAGGTAATGTTTTCGTAAACATACATATGTCAAAGAAGACAGGTAGCCTATAGAACCTGATTTCATGAGAAAATATAGCACCAGGATCCCTAAATACAATGCTGTTTGTTGATCCATGCACTTACTGTGCCTTCAAGCTAAATGGAACTTCATGAGTTCAATGTAAGTGTCAAATGCTCATATATGAAGTACATAATACTCACTTTGTCAGTACTTTTGCTTGATCTTGAGCTGTTTTTTCTACTTCCTGCCCATGTAGAATTAATTCTGCTACTTTATGAAGCTGTTCAATACAACGAGCAGTTACCTCAGCCAGACTTTCAATAGACAGCATGTAGATTTCCTTAAATTAAAAATGGGAATAATATAATCAATAATAACAACACTGATAAATATATTTATAGGTATATACATATAAAAGAATTTCAAACATAGGAACGCTTCCTACCCCAACTGGAAATACCAACACATACATGGTGAAGTAAAATCAGCCATAATGTCATCCTCACAAACAGTACTGGAAAATTAAATACCCACAGACTATAAAATACAGACATTCTACCTGCTCTGAAAAATTAGTAAGATCAAGTCTACCATTTACTTGGCTGGGAACTAGGTCAGGCTCTTGGATTTTCTAACATACCACTTTTAAACCTTGCCCTAACAAACAGAAAGATACTTAAACTCCAGAATAAGTCATAATCATAATTATTTTCATATGGAGGCAAAAGTAATGGGTCATCCTTTAGCTGAATCTCTAGAGCAGAAATAGAATATGCGCCCAATAAAAAATTGGCTTTTATCAACCATTATAGAAATCTTTATGTAGCACTGTGGGGTTACAGCTTTCACAAGCTGATGCCAGCTGGTAATCTGCAATCACATAAAAATCTGTAATATATACAGTGTATATATTCTGTCTGCTTCTTTAGACTTTTTTTGTAAGGAAACACAACGGATAATTTCTAATTAGAAATAATCTCACCAAAGATAGCAACCACATTTAATATTGCCATTAACTTGACAGAAAATACTCAATCACAATTAACCTTATCAGAACTGTCTAAATGAATACTTTTAGCCTTAAGAGCTATCTTTCATAAAGAGAATGAACAGTTGTTAGTTGCCTAAACAATATTTCTGTTTTGTCTGTTTATGATTTAAATTGTTGAAATAGTTTGAACATTTTCCCATGTACTGTCACTGAGAGAAGGAGATACTAAGCAACATTGAGATCCAACTTTCAGTGTGCATGTAATGTTTGACATTACACCTCAGAATCCCTCAGCTCACTGTATGTTGAGTATACACATGCATACACACCAAAACACAGATATAAAACCATAAAAACAATGTGATAAAGAACCTGTTACTTTGATATTTACTTATGGAAACAGAATAACAGTAAGAATATTTATGTAATTTAGTTTTCAACTGGGTCTACAGTGAATAGTTGTGTATTATTATTTCTTATTACTTCCATGAATTTAAAAAATAAGGATGACATATAAAGCCAACACACAAAGAAACAATCTTATCACTTAATGAAACTTATCCTCCAAAAGTTATTTTACCTCCACAGTTTTGCCTTTGTCTATTTCGGTTTTATCACTCTCAATTTTATTGGTTTTTTGAGTCTTTTCTTCACCAGGTTCTTCAGGTTTTTCATTTAGCTCCTCTTCTATGTCTGCTGGGGTGGACAAACTAGCTTCTTCCAGCCATTCATGAGCTTTTTTCCTAGCCTGCCAAACAAAGAACCCAACCCCAAAGGTCAGTTTGAGAAGAGACTATGAGATGACATTCCTGAAGATCAATTAACAATACATTTAATTACTTCCTCTTTATACTCAGAAATTTGAATATATCAAACCTCTGAGAGGCATTTAGTCAAGTGTGCATTTAAGAAACTGTAGGGAGAAGCATTTTGGGCTGTATAGAGATGGATTATCCAGGGATAATTCCCCTAAAGGTATAATATTCCTAACCAACATGTACAGCTGGTGTTAATTCCAAAGTTAATATTTCTGCTTTATCATTCAAATGAATTTACAAAATTTTGTAAGAAATTTTTCTTACACAGTTTCCCAAATAAGCAAATAAGAAGTGTGTATAAAAAAGAAAAGAAAAATTTGAAGAGGTAAGAGAGAGGTATTAAATTCTTAAAGGAAAAATAAATATAAAATCACTGTGTCTTGAGCTGCTTTCCCTGACATGCAGATAGATCAAAGCTGAAGAGTCTTGAGGCTTTATACAACTTCAGACTACTGCTGTGCTTAGTAGGAATTTTATGATGTCTCTTTTTGAACATGAAATCAAATTAAAACACATTAAGACCTAAGCCTAAGCTAGTTATCCATAGTCTATCTACGTAGCTAGAGAGATAAACATTCATTGGAGCTTAAGATCAGAAGATGAACCAGCTTTAAAGTACAGTACAAATGTGACTAGTTATGTGACTAGCTCCTAGACATCTCACTTCTGTGGTAGTAGCTCTCTGGCTACAGAGAGCGGCACACAACTCACTTTTAGAGCAAGAAAAATTATTCTGAACCTGACTTTTGCTCCCAGTATGTAAGATCAAATCTGCTGTTCTCATGAGCCCTGTTCTGCTGAAACACCCCTGATTCGAGCCTTCAACACTGGAAAGGGCTCATCCAACTGCACTGCCTTACTCATCTCACTGTCTTACTCATCTTCTGTGAAAGCTTTTCTGTATTCAGCATTTTAGTCTCCATCTACATACTTCGCTTTCTGAGCTGTCTGAAGTGAACTGGGTACTGCTCTGTGTCAGATTTTAGAACAAAGCCCTCCTTCTTTGCCCAAGAAACTGAAGGCAGCTCAGTAACAGGTGCTAACCTTATTTAGCTTGTCAGGAGTAGCAGCAACATGCAATTCAAAGAGCAGTTCTGTGAGCATGCTGACAAACTCTTCTCCTGTATCTGCTGCAAAAATAACAAGACAGTTTTTGTTAGTGTGTTACTGCTATAGTATTTCATATGATCAAATACATCCAGTGCAATAGTTTCACCAAGTATTCCAGCACTCGAAAAACAGGGACAATGACACAAGAAAGGAATGTGTGGAGGTGTGCATGTATATGCACCAAAATTATTGATAACTGGGATATTCAATTGACTGTTCACTGTGGTTACTGTCTTATTTAACCTCACGTATGAAATTTTTGGTGTTAATAGCTTTGAAAACGTAGGCAAAACCACTTTTTCAAATATTCTCCTCATTATTTCATAAACAACTGAAATTAAGCTGGAGTGAAAAATTCATGAAAAGGCTGCACAATCAAAGTGAGAGGAAACATTAGAGGGAAGGGTATGTGTGTGGCCTTCTGCTACTTGTACCAGAAAACAGTCACAGTTGTTTCCGCAGGCTTAGGAGGAAGGAATGTGTTTCACTGATGAGTGGTTTGCTTTTGCAAGGACAAATCTGCAGAACACTTTGATTTGGTCTCTTTTTTTAAGGTGCTCAGTGCCTAGGTTGCAGCCAATTCAAAACCCCTGTAAATGTTTCAAAGAGCAGGATAAGTACTTGTGATTTACTGAAAAAACTAGAACTTCTGACCTTCAGAGAAAACATCACTTTGTGCAAGAAACAAAGCTTCTCCTGGGAGCTGGTTTCAAAGCAAGGAACTACTTTCCACAGAAGTTATGGAACAACAGACATCTCAGGAATCCTCACTCCTAAGCAGGTAATACATTTTCTTGACTTCTATTTCACACAACTCCATAGAGGTATGGGGCTCAAAGAGCAAGTGAGGGGAAAAAGCTAGCACAACACTTTACCACACTAAGACTTTACAATGAGTTTCCTGTGAGAGGGATCAGGCAAGCTGAGTAAGCACTGCCAGAAAGAGCAGTCTGAGAAGAAATTACTCTCCTCTTAGAACATGTGAATGTTAACACGGTTTTTCTAACTTTTCTGAAGGCTAAAGAAATCTTATCTCACCATCTTGCAAAATGTAGGTTTTATGGGCAAAGTAACCCTGAGAAATCAAGAGGATGTGGAAGAAATATCCTTTTATGTTTCTTTGTTTCCAAAACACAGCAATATGGCATTCAGTGGCATAACCCAGTCTTCAGTCAGGTCAAGAGGATTTTTGCTGTTAGCTCTAAGAGGTTTGGTATGGATCTTACAGGCCAGGAGGCATGAACCATGCTGCCTTTAAGCTGGCTTCTTACCCTTCTGTTCTAACCTGTTTGGGGAACTGCTAACATTTCTGACCTGTTTAAGACACCTATTTTGCCCCTAACCAAAGCACCCACCCATTTTATTGTAATTTTGGGAGCTCGGTCCATTCTCTTCAGTGCTGTGCCATGTCACAGTTATGGAAACACTTATGCTGCTCTAACCTCCTTCCCACACTCCATATGCCACATCTTGCCAAGCAATACCTATAAAGCAGCTTTGCTACTATGTTTCAAAGTCACTTTCATTCAAAAATATTCAGGATTCTTAAATTTCTTTATGATACTCAAATCTTCTCCCCCATCTAGCAGGGGGTGGTGCAGAATGCAGTTGAACTTGCTGAATAGAAAATAATTTCTAAGTACTTCAAAACTTTCAGATGATACAATTTCTGTAAGAAAAGCTCAGTTATAAAAAAAGTTATTATTTTCCATTTTTTGTTTTCATTAATGATATAGCAAAATAATTTAATATTTATTTATGTTTGCATAACTTGAACTTCAGTTAAAATACAAATTCAAAATTAAGCACTGATCAGCTTCCAGAACTTTTAGATTATTAATTTTAGTAAGTACCTTATGAAGACTATTAGGATATCAGAAATTACAGTTTGGACTGGATTTTTTTTTAATTACTGGATAAAGAAGTAGCAATTATTCATATGGTTAAGTCTCTGTATTTCTAATTACCTTTTTGCGCCTGCACCACTTCATCATCTAATTCCTTTGGAACAAAAATCTCTTTTATAGCAATTAAATCATTTTTCACAGTCTCCAACTGTTCTCCATCAAGTGTTGCTAAATGTGACTGAATCTGTAAAAAAAAGGATAGTATTACTAAATGCTAATTTAGAGCCTGAATCCAAAATAGACTAAGAAATGGAAACTTCCATTATGTTCAAATCTTGTCTCTAACCTCCCAGCTTAGACATATTTTTAGATCTTGTCAACAGAATTTGTTGAGTATCACAAAAATTACACTAGCCTTGCCAGATCATCAGGTCCCTTCCTTCCTCCAGAACATGAGTTTTGAACTATAAATCTATGGTTTAACTGCAAACTGTTTTGGGATTTCCTGGATGAAGACAGCAGGCAAAAAGAGCACAGGCATAATGGTTAGTTTGAGCACTAATGGGAAGAGATGGAAAAGGTTGCCTTCAAAGTGCAGCCAAAATTATTGACAATCTACCTGTTCTGAAGAATGTATTGGCAGGTCTTTGCATGTCTCAGCTATCTGCAAGTCCCTGCATATCTAATAGGATGGCATACCTAAGAGGGATGGAAACTGATTCTTTGAATCACTGTTTGTACTGCAGTTATATGGTTCAATTCCTTGAGCAGAGCTCTCCTTCTGCCTATGGAAGCCAAGAGAAATGTCCTTACTCCCTTTGATCCGAACTTTTATCTTTATGTTTGTTTCAAGGGGTTTTTTTAAAGCTTGCTGGACAGATATACATTCTGCCTCAGTGCAAGGCTGGACACAGCTGTTACTTCCTTACTGGTGTGTCCTTGTGTCCAGCTCCTGTGCTCAGGGTTAAAGCCAAGATAAAGCCATGGCACTCAAGTCAGGTTGTGAAGAACTACACAAGGCTTTTTCCTCCCTTTCTACAGCACTATCCATTTCAAGGGCTAACTGGGAACTTCCTTTAATGGAAACTTTTAAAATAAAAGCTTAAACACACTTGTCTTCAGTACCTCTTGCACTCCTCCTGTGGCTTTTGGGCTGTTAGAAGTGGTTTCAAGTACTCTTTCTGTATTCTGCATCTGTGTGTATCTGTGCATGGTAAGTGGAACATTTATCTGAGTATTGGACTTGTTGACCCACACAGTCACCATCAATCCTGTTGGACTGAGCAGGACTATGTGTGTGTCTAGGACATAAATGAAGTGCATCAGAAACCTCATGGTAACAACCTGCACATGTCTGGCTTACCCTGTGGTATTTCACAGTAAAATAAAAATATTGTTGACATATGCAATTAACCTGAACTTGTTATCTATCTATCTATCTATCTATCTATCTATCTATCTATCTATCTCATTCCTGTTTAGTGGGTGGGGGGTTTTGACCATTTTTGGTTTCATTTTTTGCTCCCACAAGCAGACCCCTTGAACCTGACATAAGTGGTTTGAAGCTACAGTTTTTCATCTGCATAATAACAAAAAATAAAAACAACACTGACAGTATGCACCTAACTATTATTAATATAAGCTTCTTTTATTCGTGAAAGCAAATAAAATATTTTAAAACATAAAAGATAATAACAAAAAATAAAAACAACATTGACAGTATGCACCTGTTATTAATATAAGCCTCTTTTATTCGTGAAAGCAAATAAAATATTTTAAAACATAAAGTTTCTCTTAAGAAACTTCTCTTAAGAGGCACCCCACAGGACAAAGACTGCCAATTACAATAACAAACAAAAAAGAAAACTTGTTTTTAAGAAATTTATTTGGAAAACTGTTTCAGTACAAAAATATCACCACTAGGAATCTACAAAACTCTATTTGTCCACTCTCAGTAATCTACTGATGTACTAGCAGAGCAAATAAATTGAGACTTGAAATTGAAATACATATTTATCAGCTAGGCCTTATTACCATTACCATCTTCAGAGAGACATCTGTATACTTCCAGTAACAATGTCTTGGTTTAGTTCTATGTAACTTTAAAAACTAACACAATAAGAACTGAGTAAGTAATCTGGAACTAATTTTAATTCACCAGCCTCCATGTGTAGTAGGTCTGGAATTCCTGAACGTCAGTATATGTACCTGATTGCAACCAAAAGATTTCAACCTCCTTGCAAGGAATTCTGCGAGGAATTTGCAAGACATGTGCAGTGTCACAAGCTGTGTATGGCACACTACATATGGTCTTAACAAAAATGCCTGTCAGTTATGAAGCTTGTTTTGAGTTAATCTTGTAGTTATATTTTAGATATATTGAGTTCTAAAACCCAGAGTTAGCCCATAGGATCAATTCAGCTTTCTCTGAACTTGATGGAAAACTTACTGTTCATTCTACATGCATCTGCAGAATAAAATTAATGTAAAGATAAATTTTTTTACCAACCATATTGATTTATGCTGTCTGCATACTGTACCTGAGCTTCACTTTCATTTGACAGGATTTCCAGAGCTTCAAGATGAGACAAACCTTGGAATTCATCAAAAAGTAGTCCATAATGAGCTGTTCTTTCTACTGTAACTTGCTGGGCCCGCCTCTGTTTCTCTTTTTCTTTGGCTTCTCGCAACAGCTGTAAAAATATACATCATTCCACATTTTATTGATAGTACTGTAAGTGTGACAGATTTTATTACTATCTGCTTCTGTGTGTCTAGAAATAGTAATAAAATTTAGGACTATATCACACCTGCTAAAATTTTAGAGATGAAATAGCTAACTTCTTTTTTGATAATTTTATCTGATATAATATTTATATAGCATTCTAAGCAGGGTTTTCCCAATGATAATGGCTAACCACCTCTCTTTAAAATACAATGAACAAAAAATAAAATCTTGCTTATATTTTCAAAAGGAATGTCAGCTACAGATACCATATAATTAATTTCCCCACCCATTATAATGAAAGAGAAAGGACTATTTCATGTGTAGCCCTAAAGAGCCACGCAATCCTTTCTGCAGACCACAAAATGGGAAAAGTATTATTTTCAGGACTTATTCACCAACTTGCATAAATAATGCACCTAGATAAATATTTTCTATAAAATATTCTTAGCAAATACTGAAGTCAGTTTTATCTGACAGCAGGACTGACAAAAGAGATTGATGACTTATACCAAAGGTGGGGCAGAACTACTCTCTATATACTTGGGTATATTTTGGTAGGCTTTTAATACACTTCTATCAGTGTATAAAAAGGATAGAATAGGATAGGATAGGATATCCAACAGGATCTTCTCCTCCTTCCTTCTATTCCTGGACAAAGTGGCCTCTCATGAATTTCTTACAGTAGAGGTGGCAAATATATCTGAACTACATGTTAGGTCACATACAAGTCTCTGAATGCAGGTGAACTCTGAAAAGCCATAGTGCAACCCTTGAGAACTGATTTATGCTGCACTCTGCCTCAGATTCTATGTGCAAATCCATGCATGTCATTAAAGGAGACATTGTCAAAAGCTCACTTTAACCCTGTGGGTCTTAACAAGAGTTAATTGCTTTTGATCTACTATAAAAGTGTACGTCTTTTAACTCTTCCGATAAAGAAAACGAAAAATAAAATATCTCATTAAAAGACAAATACCTTACTCTTCTCTACAAGGAAGTAAACATGCAGTAAATATACTTTCTTTTCAATGTCTATTGCTTTCCCTCCTTTCAGGGTCTGGAGAAGTAAAATAATTTTGTACCGACAGCATTTATACTTCTGTTTTTATTGCATCTCTGAGATTTAAAGCATATGAATCACAACTGTGTACGGATACCATTAAGTTAGATGGACACTGAGATACAACTTTTTACAGGTTTAATTCCTAATGAAACATATGTTATATTCCAGTTTTGCTGATTTCCAAGGAAAACAGTATAGTAATGTTTATGCTGGAAGATATCTATCTACAGCTGTTACCAAAACACCAACAATTTGATTTTGCCTCCAGAGTGTAATGATTTATCACCACATATACTATCTTATTTAAATCAGCAATTGCATATATGATTATGCAGAAAAGACTATTTTACATTTTCTTTTGTGGTTCTATGAAGAAAAATAAAGTAGAGCAACTGTAAAGACTAATATTTATTTCCATAAGCCCAGCCAACATCTACTGCAATAAATAAAGCCTCTCCCTGAGGCATATGAAATTCTGGAAGAAGAATCTGAGCAGTATTTAAATATATCCAACCTGAGATAGTGAGACTGTTCTTGCCATCAGTGTTTTGGTTCTCTTAAATCCAGGATCACTTTCCGCAAGGACATTCATGGTTGTCTTCCCAATATATTCCAAAGCATCTAAGCCTCCAGATAATACACTTTTGCCCTGTACAAAATAATGCATTGTGGTTATTTTCTTCCCAGTTTAGGCTAATATGAACTGTAAAGAGGAGTGTTTTTGTAGACACTGTCTTTGAACATTCAGATCCCTAAATTTCCTATACTTCAACTAAAAAGAGGATTGATGCATTTACTTTGTTCTGAATACGTTTTCCAGAAAAAAAACCAACCAAAAAAACTATACAAATATTTCCAGTGAATTGAACTAATTACACCAGAGGAAATGTAACAATTGTTGTAAATTTAAAAAAAAAAAAAAAATAACTAAAAAGCCTGGAGCACATCTCCTGTGAAAACAGTCTGAGGAAGTTGGGGCTGTTCAGCCTGTAGAAGAGAATGCTCTGAGGAGACCTTCCAGCAGCCTTCCTGTACCTAAACAGGACCTATAGTTAGGCTTGAGAGGGATGCTTTGCAGGGGCAAGCAGTGTTTGAACAAAAGGGAATGGCTTTACTTTGAAAGAGGATAGATTTAGATTGGATATCAGGAAGAAATTCTTCACTATGAGAATGGTGAAACACTGGAACAGGTTGCCCAGAGAGGTGGTGGATGCTCCACTCCTGGAAGTATTAAAGGCCAGGCTGGATCAGGCTTTGAGAAACCTGGTTTAGTGGAAGGTGTCTATGCCCAAGGCAGGGACATAGGAACTAGATGATCTCTATGTTCCCTTCCAATCCTAACTATTCTGTGTCTCTGTCATTCTACTGTATTCCACTTTACCTTTATCCAATGGCATCTGGTTTGTAGGAACTTGTTTTAGACATGAATACATGGAGCCAAGTCCATCATGAACAGAAGACTCTGCCTTACTGTATTTTTAAAATTTTAACACTTATGATGGCTCTGGAACTGCCTATTTAAATACATATGTTTTTCTGTGTCTTCATATTTTTATGTACACTGAAGAAGAAGTTTCACTGGCTAAAGATTTCCATTTTGATCTGGATTACGTCTGTGTCAGATACTCAAGTGCTGATGTAACATGACATCAGCTTCCAAAGTCTCAAGTGGCATTACTGAGACCTTAAGTGACTCTTTTTGTACCACACTGATCACTGTCGTATAGCAGCCTCTCCAGATTGCCTACAAGCACATTTCTCTTACTTGCAAATCTTGCATAATGCTTGTATAATCCTACTGGTGGCCAGCTCTCACAAGCCATATGATGCTCCAGGTTCTGTAGAAACAGTGTTAGGAATAATCTATAGGAATCTCCTTGTGTTCCCAAAATCTTTGATATTAGAGTGACGAGGCAGTCAGAGCGAACTGGATATACAATAAAAAAGAACTGCCATTTCATAAAACTTGCTCAGTGGGAAATTAATCTTCTATGCTTTTACGGCCAATGTTTAAAGTCTTCTTTAACTTCAAGTGAAACACCATACTTAAAGGTATAAAAAGTTGGGGAAGAAGATGATGCAAAAATTGATTTGGAAATGGTATGGTACAGGATTTTGCAAAATCTGAAACTCAAAAAAAGAGAAAAGGATGAAGTTCAACAGAAAAAAATGTAAGGGCAGTAGGAAAGAACTGTGAACAAAAGATTTTGCCTCACTAAGTTTGCAATCAGACCCCCTTCTGGGAAGACTAATATGAAATGAGAGACTAGATAAAGAGGTGAAGGTAAAAGACAGGAATTAAAAATAGAGAGCTTGGTAAAAGCCTTAAAATAAGTAAATGGAGTATTTTCTTATATTATCTGCCTTCAAAAATGGTAACAAGTCCTATCACACTTTCTCTGGAAGGACTTAACTGTAATAATAAAAAATCAGAAGATGGTACAATTATAAAAAAGATGTTCCAAAAATTTGCAGAATTCTACATAGTTTTGGAGAAGACCATATTTTTTTCACTGAAACTGGTGAAAACATAGTAACTGAGTTAGTCCTGTTTGACTTTTTATTTTTTAATTAGACAGTTTAAGTTTATTTTGGAAAAGACTCTAAACAGAATTACAAAAGAACTGTTTTTACAAAGACCTGTAACTTAATAAACGTGACCTACAGTGAAGTTGAACCTAAAAATAATGAAAAATTGCTAGAGCAGAGAGACCAGCTAAAATGACTCACTGTGTTTTGTACAGCACTAGTGATAGCTGACAGCATGCCACGAGATCCAGATGAAGGAGAAGAAGGAATATTCTCAGAAGAGCTTTGGGCCAGAGAATCTTCTGCTTCTAACAAAAGAAAACAAGCAGGTTACAGCATAATTTCAACCCTGCAAGTCAAAATTACAGTAAACTGGTTTATGTGACCAAAATCTTTAAATTTTGTAATTGGAACTAGTTTGACAGAGTCAGAGTTTTGTCCAATTTCAGTAGACTCGAACTTACGAGTAACTGTTGTTTCAGCTGCAGGAGGCTCTGCTGTTTCCAGAGATGCTGAACTTCCACTATGAATTCGTAGGGTTGTTCCTGCTTTTTCCTTTACTGCTGTTATCCCATGACCTGTAGCAGAGGCATATTTTAGGCTATATGATTTGAAAATTTATTATTATCAGTGCATAGTATTCTTATACTTAATGGATTATGACAAACAAAATATATATTAAACATACCTCAATTGCCTCATTTTCTCTAGGTTAATAATTCACCTCTTCTACCATATTCATATTAACTGCATATAAATTATAAACTTGAAATACAACACAAATTATGCTGGATCTGAAAAGTAAAAGTTATTTCAGTGGCACACATAAGTTTAGATCCCTGCTTTTCAAAATGCTAAATATTCTATTACAATCAGTTTAAATGGAAACTGACAGTCCTCCTAAGGCCATAGGGTATCACCTCACATAGTTTTCAGTATTCTAGAACAATTAACCCAAAGTTAATGGATTGTGTATGACTGCAGGGTTGAGGCAAGGAATTTGTTCTTCAGTTCTCTGCAGAGGTGCAATGTATTTAGGGATGCTGACTCCAGACCCCAAAGTTATTTCAGGATTTAAGCTCCTTAGTTTCTCATTTGAAGTAAAATTCTGAAATGTCTCTCCCCAAAGCTACTATTTAAATACACTTTGTAAAGTCTGCTGATGTCAAATAACACAAGCAGAACTATTGCTCCAGTGGCAGGTGATCTGCAACAGAAATGTTACCACCTTTACATGATTCATATGCCGTGAATATGAATATCCTTAGCCCTCTATTAAAATGGTCTACTTTAAATATAAAGTATAAATGTTGAACAGACAGAATGGGACTGCCTTGCTGGTTTTCCACCCAGAGTTTATTGACACTAGCAGATCACAGGGACTCACCAGTAATCCCACTATAGGATTGGGTAGACTGGCTGGTAGTCAGTCAAGGGGAGGCAATATCTTCCAAATCTGTATCAACTGCAGTTGAAAAATGCTGCCCTTAAAAAAGACTAATCTAAAATTGGCTGCCTATTTTGCTTGGATACGTGTACAAGTATGTCCATGGTACACTTCTCTCATTACAAGCAATCCACCTGTTAATCTTGCTTTGCTGGAAGTTTCTGTGTATCAGCTGAGGTGCAACAGGTGAACAACAAACCAGGTGAGCAATATTTCCTTCCAACACAAAATTAAATAGCTTCAGTGACAGGATTTGATTTTTATCTTGTCCTGTACACTGTTAGTGCATCTTGCATGAAACCCATCACTTCTAGCAACAGGAAATCCAGAGTGCTTCAGCTATCTGCCTAACAACTTATGAGAAATGTTAATGACAATGTCATACTTCTTTGGTTAAACTGAACAGTAAATAGATAAATTATTTCATAAAAGGCATTAATACAGATGATCAGACAGATATCTAAGGTGCAAAGTCATGCATAATGATTGTGTTGTCCACAATTTCCCACAACTGTGTGCATTCTATTAGAGAAGTTCAAAGCTGAGCTACATTAATTACAGCAAAATAGCCTATCACTTGCCAATGCTCTGCAGCATTCTGAATAAACATATACATGTGTGTGTGTGTGTGTGTGTGTGTGGTCAGACAAATATGCTTTTGAACATCTGATTCAAGAAAGATGCAGCAAATCTAGTTGGAGTAGGAAAAAGGAAAGCTTAGATTATGAATATTTATAAAGAAATATACTCTAGAAAACATATGTGAAGCATCACCTCTGAAAGATCACATAGAAGAAAACTGCAGTATCTGGAGGTAAACATAAAGAACAGATATGGCCTATGGAACAGACCTGCAGAGACAAGGAATTTCATAGGCTGCAGAAGGTCCCAATGTTTTGCACTGTAACAGCCTAGGCAGATAAATGCTTTTACCTGTCGAAAGAAAATATGACCTTTATCTATTTTATCTCATGTCTTACAAAAAACAGTAGTGCATCCAACTGTGTGGGACATAGCAGGTTATGCACCACAATGTTTAAGTCATCGATGGATAATTTCCTGACTTTTGCAAAGTCAGTTCCAATGCAGATACTGGAGAGCAGTGTACTGCATGGTCTAATCCCAATCTCACATATATTTCAATGAGCTCAATGAAAATATTAGCACAGATAGATTCTGGAGTCATTTACTTAATCCCCATATTCCTGGGACTCAAATCACTGTTAATTGTGCTTTTACACTAATATAATAGATCCTGCAAGTCATATTCCTTTCCATTGCTTCTGCTCACAACTTTTTAAATGTGCAAGAGTTTTACTCTTTTCATTGACTTAATCAACCTGACTTGGTAACAAAACACTATGGTCCTGTAGTCACATAAAAATCCTATAAATATTGAGCAAAAACTTGAATTGTCTGCAAAAGTTACACATTTTCAGATCAATTTCCCACTTTTTTCCTGTGATTTCTTAATAGCCTTGAATTGGTTCCCACAGTTTGGCAGACAAGCTAACACATTTAAGAAGAGAAAGCACACAGTTGCTGTACTGATATTTACTGACCTACAAAAGGCAGTATTTTCGGGGTTGTGGTTAAATGCACTAGAATAATAAGAAAATACTCCAGGTCAGCTAAGGGTGGCTTTGCTGAACTAAGCTATATGGCATGTATGTTTGACTGCAGCAGCAAAACCAGATCAGATCAGAAGACCACAACTGAAGCAAACATACCTGCACAAACAGGGCAGAAATGCCTGTTGCCTTGGAAATGAAAATGATTATTTGTAATGTCAAAAGGCACAGAAATAAAAGAGGTCATGGCAGAGAAGCCTACAATTTAAAGATGCACTCATTTTGTAACACTGGGTGTGCTAATGCAACTGAGCTGACACCTCTGACATCTCCATTTACTCTTCTGTAACAGCAGTCAGAAGAGCTATGCAATAGGCATTGTTAACTGTGAGCTTTTGGAAGAAAGCTCTCTTTTTTTCCTCTGTGTTGCTGCTTTTGTTTCTCTTGCCTCCATGATTCCTTGCCCTTCTATTGGCTAGCAATTGCCACAGAATATTATTGTTCATGTTCCTAGCTGGGATCTTTCATTTAAAAAGGAAGGTTTTGCTAACACCACCTAACAGCATGACCTGCCTTTTGGTTTGCCTGATCTGCTAAGGCCAGATTACAGCACTCACAAATGCTTTAGTCAGATACTTCCCACTTTGCTGCAAGCTGTCTTATCTTTCACCTCCCAGCTTAGTAGCTTTGGATTCCCTGCAGAGCTGAGAGAGGCAAACAGACACCTCTGGAGGGCAGTTCACTGTGTCTGAAACCTAAACCACTCAGTACAGGAATCACTGATTCCTTGTCCATCTAGTACTCACAGGCAATTGGACTCTCTGATTCAGTGGTACACATGGGGAGGAGTTTGAGATTTTGCCCCTGCCTACCACACTGCCTTTGTGCCCTACCATCAGAGCACATCTAATGAAGAACTGATTAAAATTTAGTCTAGTAACACCAGTGAAGACTCATCTAGCTCAAGCTGAAGATGTAGACTGAGGCCTTAAGTGAGCATCTTTCACCCGATGAGAAACTAAGGAACCTGAAACTGCCTGGAAGAGAATCACTCCACTACATGAAGTATAGAGATGTGGACAATCCAGCCATGCTCTGGTTTTGTACACTAAAAAGTGGGACCCCATGGTGCTCCCTTTTAGGCTATCCTATTGGCACTCCATTCACTTCAAACCTTCACAAAATTTCCTGTCAGTTAAAACAAAAAAACCCCAGGCTCTATTCTTATAACAACTATGATACCTTGTCTATAAATCAGAATCACTCCAATTATCTAGTAAATGAGACTAGATTCAGATCTCCTTATTGCAAACATAAAAGGTTTCAATAATAGCAATAAGCATAAAGGCTGTTATACCATTTTATTGGTTCTCAGTCTCTTCTACACTATGAGCCCATGTTAAAAGACAAAGAAAGCAAAAGAGACTGCCAACCCAAATCCACATTCCCTTCTGTCTGTTACTTCCATTCAGCATTCTTAAAAAGGAATAACTGCAAAGGGCTTTGCTGCTACAGCAGCCGAAAAGTGTTATTTACAAAAGAGTTGTGACCATCATGTGATTCCAACCCAAAGTAGTTTTCCCTTAATCAGACAAATTTATGAAATAAAAAGAAAGTCTGAAGAGATCAACTATCCTCTTTATGACCACATAAAGTACAAGCATAACTGAAGTACAAGCGTAACACCCAGCCTTCTTTTTTAATATTGTACTTTATTTTGCAACAGGGCAATAGTATAGAGAATAGAAAAGACATTTACAATATTTGAATACTTTAGTTTCACATTTTCTGCAGCATTGACATTTCTGTTCCACAGAGAAGTCAACTTAAGCTATGTAATGATGGTTATTACACATACCCATGCGCAACAATATCCAAGCTCAAGAACACAAGTGACATTTTGTTCTCTCATCTAAAGTGACATTTTGTTCTGTCATAGTGAGTGACAAAAAGTGCTTTTCAGCATACCAGGGAGAAGTATGGATGTCTGATATTTTCATGTGCCATTCTCATAGTTGAGGAACTAGATGAGAATATACACAAGAACAAAAGAATTAAGATAGCAGAACATTAATTACAAACAATACATTAGAAAGATGCATTATGCAGCCTTACAGGATGAATTTCAGGGATCATGTGAATCAAACAGCTGGGTTATTTTTTTATTACTTTTATTGTGTGAATGTATTGATGGGTGCTAGTCTTAGCAATGGACCTAAAGGTAAAACACCTTCAACTTACACAGACTGAAGCATTTTTACACAGCATGAAAGAGAACAGACTTTTCTTGGAAATGCAGCTCACTGAGCACCATAACTTCAGCACCTTATGAATGCCATAGCTCATTCAAATCACCACAGCGTATGAAAGGCAAGGCTTGCAGAAGGTAGTCACTTTCATTAAGCTAGCAGATAGATTAGTTGGAAGAAAAACCAAAGACTCAAGCTTTAAAGCACAGAAGATGCTTTAAAAATGCAAGTCACAAGCTGCCAGTACAAACTGAAAATATATTTTGTCTCACATAAAGACTTTGCTGTTACAGCTAAGCTAACCTAATGGCTTCTTGGTGCAGTCATGGGAGGTTCTACTCCTCCACGTGTTCCATGCTTGTCCCTTCTGCTTGCCTCAAAACTGGTCTCAAAGAGTCAGTTCAAGGAACTCAAGAGGCAGAAAATGGATTTTTCTCTCCTTATTCTTACATCAGTTTAGCTTCCTAAACTGGATTAGAGGGAACTCAGAGGAACATGAATGCTGGTACAGGGAGAAGGAAGAAACATGCAAGGAAAAGACAGGTGAGAGACTACACATTTCAGTTGCTGCTACCCATTAATTGATTCATTTAGCTGCAATAGTCACCCTCTCGAGCAGGATAGTTTTATCAACACTGCCAAAAGACTGCATTGTGTAATGGCTGATTTACTAAAAAACACAATTGAAAAGAAAGACACTAAAAAGGTGATAATTAGTACAAGTTGTTCCTCCGTATCACAATGAGCCTTCTCCCATCTCATCATTTCAGCAACTATTTCAGTGGTTCTGCTCCACTGTGGTTCCACAAGGAGGAACCAACTTTCTTGCACCTTTTGAGAAAAAAAGTCTCTTCACCTCATTGATGAAGTTGATTTAATAGTTTGCTTAGTGTGACATCTAGTGTCAAGACCCCAAACATGGTTCAGGCAGTGACTGAAACTCCAAAGGCATTAAAAGAAAGACACTAAAAAGGTGATAATTAGTACAAGTTGTTCCTCCGTATCACAATGAGCCTTCTCCCATCTCATCATTTCAGCAACTATTTCAGTGGTTCTGCTCCACTGTGGTTCCACAAGGAGGAACCAACTTTCTTACACCTTTTGAGAAAAAAAAAATCTCTTCACCTCATTGATGAAGTTGATTTAATAGTTTGCTTAGTGTGACATCTAGTGTCAAGACCCCAAACATGGTTCAGGCAGTGACTGAAACTCCAAAGGCATTACAGCTTCTGTTCTGTAGAGGAGTATCACATCTGTCTTGTCGTGGGGACCTCAATTTAAATAATGTCAAAATCAGTTCGAAGACAACAGATATTTTCTTTGGAATAAAAAACTACCACCAAAACAATCCCAGGCTGTATGTGCAGAGTTACTTAAAGGAGGATGAGATACAAATTATATGGAAACTGAGTTATTATTGGGAACTAAAATCAGCAGTCCTAAATAAATTATAGCCATGCATTAAAAATGCTTATGTGTTTGTGAATTCTCTATCAGTGTCTGAAGGACAATGAAACCGAGATCATCAGAACAACATTTTAACTCAGTCTTAAATAGGTAAGAATGCAAGAAAAATTAATTACAGTGAGAAGAATTACTCACTGGAAAAACCTACCCAGGGATATGGTAAAGTCTCCATTGCTGAAGGTTTTCAACATGTGACTGGACAACATGCCAGATAATATCATCTAGATATTATTAGGCATAAAGCCTTTTCCACAAAACCCCTGACTAGATGACTTTTCAAGATACTGTCCAACCCTGGCTGGTCCACGATACTCTTTGTTAAAAGCAGAATGTATTTGTTTAAGCTTTTAAGATGTTATTTACTACATCTCAAACTGTTTGTACTATTTTTTAAAAGTACAGTTTTGAAGAAAAACATAGGGAATAGTAAATATTGGTCATATTTCACCAGACAAGCAGTTGTGTTGTACAATATGACAACAGAACAACAGAAAAATCACAGACTGAATGTGTTGCTGCTAAGTCTTAACTCCAAGAAGGCAGTTTTACTTACAGCATTTGCTACACTGAAGGAATAGCAACTTTACAATGGACTGGTCCATAGCAAAACTATTTTCTGATGTGGGAGATGAAGTGTTGGTTGAACTGATCAGATATTAAATGGAGTAACTTTAAGGAGAATAATAAATATATAACAATAATAAAGCTTACAGAAATTCCCAATGGCTTTATTTTTTTTTCCATATATATCACTAGGGAACTGTCATACTGAAGGAAATATGTGGTCTATACAGAACTATATCCTGTCCATGACAGTGAGAGACAGTAAGTATTTCAGAGGATCAAGCATGAATTTTTATAATAAACAACTAGGAAAGAAGCCCTCTGTATCAGGAATATAAAATATTACCTGGTGCATTGATTTCCTGTAACAAATCTAAGACTAGCTATTTGGTCTTCCAAGTTACCTTGGGTTCACAAAACATGGAAGAACATAAATTTGATTTTTGCTTAATTCAAAGCCTATTTTGTTAAATAAATTCACACAGTAAGACTCAAAATTATAGATACTAACATGGAAACTCAATCTACCCTGATCCCAGGGTCAGGAAGTCTGTCTATGCTGCAGATTCCAGGAAATAGGAAAACGGGGGGAACTGCTGCTTTATATACATCTGGTTTTAAGTGCTTTCCTAGTTCTTGGTCACTGCCAGAACCTAAACAGCAGGTGGGTCTTCAGCATGAAATAGTGCAATCATTCTGATGTTGAATTGAAATTATTCTAAAATTTTCCTTTTCCTTTTCTGCATGTGGATGCTCTTTTTCCAAGGCAACTTGACTTCCAGCTGTGCTCATTTTTAGACAATAATCCTAAAAATATCTATTCATGGTGACCACATGCCTATTCAGAACAGCCATCACACGACCTTATCAAGTCAGACTGCCTACACAACAAACTTGCTCCACACACCCTAGAAACCCATTCTGAATGTAACTAGAAATGTTAATTGTTGTTGTCTGAAAGAAAATGTAGTTATGTACTTCTGATTGTGGATGTTGATGAAAAAAAACAAAAAGGACAAGGAAACTTCCCTCCTCTGAGAAACAGAGAGAAACCATTTACTGCCCATGAAAAAGAGGAGATAAGGAGGAGAATTATTTAGCCTTGTATGGGATCATAAAAGCAGTATCTCTATTGAACTCATTTTTAGTAACTAGCAATTAATTCCTAGGTTCATCTTTTGAAAGTGTTCTGTGGATCCTTTATGAGAACTGACTAGCTAACAGATTGTTTTGTCACAAAACATTTCTGGTTCGTGAGAAATTATTTCCCACTGGTAACCACATATTTCTATGCTTCGCTTTTTGTCAGTGAGTTTTCAAAGAGCAATAGTTAAGTTTTACCTAAAGTCTTCACAAGGACATTTGGTACTGACCTTCTATTGGAAATGAGAGGGAGTACAGGGCCCATGTTTTAATACATTGTTCTACTGTCTGAAATCCAGTGTGACAGTGTGACAGTTTCACTGGGTGGCAAGAAAAGCTGGTAAGATTTACTAGAAGTGAATTCATGTGTAGGCAGGAGTCAAACCTGGCATACAAACCATTAACACGCATGAGCATGAATCTGGGTTGCTTTGACTTGAGAAACCATAAGCCTTTGGCTGATAGAAACTGTACTGGATTATGGATCCTTTCTATGAAGAAGTCACAATCCAGTAAGTCATTAACTTTACAAATAAGCCTAGTACCTTGTCCATCATTTGAATAATTAGGAAGGTCCATCTTCCTCTTTAAAAAATCATGCTTAACAAGCTTATCAAGGCAAAATTGTCTATGAATCCTTAAGATGCAACACTGATCTGTCTAATGACACATGAAAATTATTAATTATTTCCACACATTTTACCAACTGAACACTTACCCACTGTGGCAGAAGCTGATGACAGGAGAGACTTTCCCCAGGTACCCCAAGCTCCCCATCTACTTGCTTTAGATGAGGAGTCTGCAGCCTATAAGAACAAAAATGTTACTCCACTAAAAATCTTGTTCTCAAGAGGCAGGAGGAAACACAAAGAACCTGTCAGGCAACAAAGTCTGGCATTTAATAGATGACGACAGATTGGGTATTATGTGGAGTTCAAACTTCTGTGCACAAAAAAAGCAGAAGCATAGTTCACATCATCTGTTCCTGGAAGAGCTTTAAACTCCAGAGATGTCTTTACAGATGCCCTAATGTTTCTTCAGGTACCAATCCTATAAAGTCATATAAGTTTATTAGTGCTAATATGAGGGAGAGGTAGGAACCTGTCTCCTTCCTGGGTTGGAGGCAGGAGCCAGAGTTGGAGGCTTCTCATCTGAAGTCTCCTCACATGTGTAATTCAGTAGATGTGCACAGGGAACTCCTAATAACTGAATTCAATAAAAACACAGCCAGAGAAGGTACTGCATACCTTTTACACTAATGGGTAGTGTTAAGCCATTATCCATATTCCATATTTACATCATGTTAAGCAACTGTTGTCTCAAGAATGTGTCCAGTAACATATCAGCTCTACACAATGCAAGTTTCATTGCAACCAGACTTGAAAGACCAAATTAAAATCATGCTGGAAAGTCAAATTAAACTATTATTAGTTTTCAAAAGCTTGGCGTTGCAATTTAATTTATCCCTATGTAGGTTTTCCACATAACTTCCTAGGTTTTTGTGAAAAACAGGACGTACATTATGCAAAATTCCATCTTCACAATGCAAGAAGAGGAGGGCTTTCACAGAAAAGAAAGTATTGCTTACTGGATTGCTTTGCTCATGCGGTGTTTCTTCCAATTCAGGCTCTGCATCAAGGCTTACAGTTTCAATGCACTCGGTGGGCATGTCTTCAGCTGTCTCTTCACTGGAAGGCAGGCTGGAAGGCAGGCTTTCAATGAGTTTTTCAGTCAAAGGGCTTTCATCAATGACTATGTCTCCCTCCTTTCTATTACTAACATTCTGAGTGACCTGTCCATGTTGATCTTGTGAAGACTCATGCAAGATCTCATTTTCTATGAGGTGTGGTACTGATTCATGAGGCAATACCTCATTGCTGGGCATCTCCATTACTTCAGGTTTTTCTTCAGATGGGGTGCCATCAGATATATCTTCAGACATTTTCAGTTCTGAATATAAAAAGTAAAGTCTTTTAGGTGCCATAAACATTTGAGTGTTTATTATAAAATACACAGTGTTTACCGTATGCTACTGCTGAAAAACAATACAACCTTGATGTAAGACCTCCTCAGGCATGGAGCCCTGTGGCACATGCATCACACTGGCACTGGTGTCAGGATAATACTGTAAATATTCCACTCACTCTGCAGGATCCCACTCAAATACAAAGGGCAGCATAACTGTTTTCCAAAATATGGTTTAGTGAGAGTGAAAGGATATTAATTTGTCCGGAGAAGTCAAATGTAAGAGTCGCCACATGGTTAATTTCTATATTCACTATCAGGTGCGTATGAAAGACCATTGCAGAACAAAATAATGCAAGCGGCAATAGCAAGCAGCTCCTGCTCTGCCTTTCATCGCTGCCACACACACAGGTTCCTGCAGCCCGCTGACTGACAGAGGGGAGGATAACTCTGTACCTAAAACTGTGGTGACATTCATGTGCTTGAGAAGGGACATAATCTGTGAACATGACAGGCCATGGGCCCTAGAGCCATTTCACAGACACAGCCATAGCATAGAGTCATTGCTCACACTGTTTGTGTATCACTTGTCCCAAAGTCTTGCCCTCTGGGGAATGTAACACTTCTCATCATCTCCTAAAATTCTAGCTGTCTGATTAGCTTCAATTTTGAAGCCAAGGTAAGCTTGTATGAGGTAGTTACTGATATTTTTTTTTCTAAGTTATGAACCAGTTTTCTCTTATTTATTCCTTATCTTCCAATGTAATTTTGGAGGTATTTTCTACCATTGTGCAGTCATCAGGCTGAGGATGCTGATGGGCAAAGACAAAGCCACAGAGTAAGCTCTGCAGCTGATTAAGGAGTGGCATTGCCAGAGTCCAAAAGGGCTGCTGGTCTGTGATTATTAACACTTATTTGTTGGTAACAACAGTTTACTTGGCACTCAGAAGACAATCCTTGACAGAGAGCTTGCGAAATGTTGAATTGCATGGCATAAAAGACTTGCATGGCATAAAAGTCCTCTCTGTAGATGTTGCCTTTTCATTGACTCCCATATTAATTAAACATGGCTCAAAGGTTTGCATCTGTCAGGAAGAATGGAGGTTGTATGAGAGACTAAAGAACGGGGGGAAAAAAGGCAAAAGGTAAAACATAACTAGGATTTAGGAGAAATCTGCCTGAGAAGCATGTATTTAAATTAATATATTTTATTAAAGTCTATAGAACTGGATACATCTAGCTTTAGTAACCTGTTTATCTAATATGAATGTAGACCACTTGTTTAAATAGTTCCAAGAGTAGGGCTTTGGATCAGTGAACAAGAAACGTAAGTAAAAAAGTAAGCACTTGCTACCACTTATATTACTTCAGCTTACAATGTACCTTAATTATCTTCAGAAAACATGAATTCTGAAGTCAGAATCTTTGCCTTTGACAGTTTTCCATTAAAAATACAGCAAATATTATAAAATACTTTATTGTAAGGAAGTATTGTTATTGTAACAGTACTCACTGTGTGATGGGCAGCATCACCTAACGAAAATTTTTGTATTTGTAAATCAAATTCCATCATGACATATGAGGATCCTCTATTAAAACCTGTAAAACCTTTACACACATACTTCATAATTTTGAATGGGCATTAGCTCTGAGTAAGCCCAACATTTTTTAAAGGATCACACAGACGTGCACGTGGAATTTTGCAGTACTGGGTCATTTTTGGGTACCACTCGGGCCACGGTCCCTGCCGTTGTGTGCTGAACCTTCCTTCCAGGAGCATGGCACAAGACAGCAAATTACCAGAACTCACGTCTGCCAGAACTCACGAGCCGTGCTGCACCCGGGGTCAGCGTCATTCAACCTCTCATCCGTGAGACTGTCCTGATCCAAATCAACTCGGACAGCTCCGCCCAAAGGGAATTACTCTACAGGGAGTTCGTGAGGAAGATGCTAAGGCCAGCCCGGCCCGGTGGCGGGAGAGTGCCCGGCCCGCACAGCCCGGCCGCGCTGAGGGGGCCGCCGGCGGCGGCACCTGCCGAGCCTGTCTGAGGAGTTTCATCTCCCCTAGAAAGCACAGTTCGCCTGCCGCCGGGCCCTTTGGGGCACGAATCACCGTCCCCGACTGGGAGGGAGGAATAACTTTTTTGGCGATAGCATCTTGCTCCCCTCTCGCTCAACGCCCACTGTTGCTTCTCCTCCGCTGCGGGCACGGCGAGCGCAGGGGAACCTCCCCTGGCGCCCGCCGGCGGCAGCTCCCCCTGTCCCGCTGCCCTCTGCCCCCTGCCCCAGGCGGGGCAGGAGCAGCCGGGGCGCCGCTCCCGCAAGCCCGCAGCGGCCACAACTTCCCGCTTCTCCTTCTCTTTTTTTCCCTTTTCGAAATTCCCCTCTGGGACAGAGCTGTGTGGCGCAGCCAGTGTCAAAAGCGGCAGAAAATGCAGAAATCGCCGTGCTCCTTACCGCTCAGCAGTGCCCCGACCGGCGCGCCCCCGGCTCCTTCCCCGCCCCGCCACGTCGGCAGCAGCGGGGGGAGGAGGCAGAGCGGGCCAGGCAACCCGGGCCGGCCCCAGGGAGGAGGGAGGGCTGGCTTTTGTCCCTCTCTCTCCTTCCGGCTGTGTGAGGCTGGCGTTTGTTGTAAAGGGGGCCGAGCAGTCGCCGGGCTCCAGGCTTCTGTGACCCAGCGCGGGGAGTTGCCCCGGCCGCCATGCCCTCCCCTCACTGCCGTCGGCGCGGGGCGCGGGGGATGCGGCGGGGCCCGGCGGGACTCTGCTGGAAGCGCCGGCCCGGAGCGTCGGGCGCGGCTGCAGCAGCGCTTCCCTCAGGGCCGGCGGCACCCCCGCGTCCGCGCTGAGGCGGAAAAGGCGTGAATTTGATAGAATCATAGAATGTGCTGAGTTGGAAGGGACCTGTCTGGATCAACGAGTCCAACTCCTGGCCCTGTGCAGAACACCCCAAGAATCACACCACGTCCTGAGAGCGTTGTGTCCAAACGTTTCTTGGACAAGCTTGGTGCTGTGACTGCTTCGCTGGGAAGCCGGTTCGTTGCTCAAAGTGAGCACTTACAGACGCGTGGGATTGGGGAATTGAAGGGAGATGCAGCTTTTCAGATAGCGCTTGGCACCTCCGTTATGGCTGTGCTTACAGGAAATGCCCCTGACAGACGCCGGCGGTGCCTGCACACATTTCCAGTCAGTTGGTGAAACACTTGGTTGAGCAAAGGGGTTTCAGGCTGTTCCCAACAGCCTGTGGTTCCTGTTTCTGTGTAATTCCTCATACCCGTTCCTCTTTTTGCTACCTCATTTTAAGGCGAGGCATGCCCTTTACAGTGGTAAGAGGCAACACAGCCTCGTTTCTCTCATTAGTCTCTCAACGAGAGAAGTTTTGACACAGGAGACAAACCAGCACATTGTGAGCCACTGAGGAGAGCTACTCCAAGAGGTCACAAAAGTTCTCAGAAGCGTGTTTTACAAATACCGATCATGCTACGTGACTTTACCAGGCATAAGTCTCTGAAGTTTCTCATTAAGGCAGTTGGTAGCAGACCAGATGTTTGTAGCCCTACGTAATAAGTTTCTTTTGAAGGTCTTTCAGTGAGAATTTAAGTGTCAGGGAATGCTGGGTAATTTATTAATGTTAGATATATTTATTGAAAATGAAATCTAGAGTGGCCCTAGGGATTTCCCTCTGCTTCTCAATGGAGCTTGTGGAAGTGTAAGAGCAGTATCTCAGGAGGAATCATGGTAGCTGGAGATTAACCTATGACAGATATTTCTGACTGTAATGTGGATCTTCCACTGTCAGTTTTGCAGATGCTTTAGATAACGATGTATGTCATAGAACTGCAAGATGTTATTAATGACATAACACAAAGTTACCACCTAAGGGTAAAATTAACATTATATGTATATGAATGTGGATGTCTGTCTGTTTGGATATAAGGATGCATACATTTTGTAAGTTCCTAAACTACTTTTTTGAATTTAAGACTATTTCCTCTGCTTCCTGAATCATTGAAATATTAAATCACGAATGTGTTATGATATGCTAACCCAGAAAGGTAGGTTATAGCGTGGCAGTTCTGTATTTAGATCTCAGCGATGGTGGAATTTCTAACCAACATTATACAGAAATAAAGAGAGGCTGGTTTATATCTTTGCCAGGACAATAAGCCTGTGTTTGGGCATTCAGTACCAAAGTCACTGCTCTGTTTTAATTTAAAAAAAAAACAAACCAAACTCTACTCAATGTTTCCATGTTCACTGTTTAACCCAATGACAACACTGCTGGAGCAGGAGAGGGATTATTATTCCATTCCCATTAAATGGAAATTAAACTAAGACAAATGGTACTTTCATAAACCAACCTTGATAAGAGTCTGACAACTAAATTGGTATAGCAAAATGGACAAAAAATTACAATAATGCATAGAGACTTAGATCATTATGAAGTTCAGATAGAAAGGCATTTGAATTTCTTATTCAAAATAGATACTTATTTTCGTATTAATTTAATGAAGGTAGATAGTTGGTAAACAGATTAATTTTTCTCATGTTTAATATATTGCAAAGCATAAAACCACAAAGTTCAATAATAATAGGATAGTAGGGATATTACAGTAATGTTGTATGTGAAAAATACATCTGGAGAAAAGCAAATGCCATTTCACAAGCTGTCAGTAGATGGCACAAACATGTATATAAAAATTTGGGTGTTCCTAAGTATTGTTACTCAGTAGGATAGAGTTACAGGAAGTTTGTTTTTGTCTTCCTGAGAACATTTACTGCTTTTTCGGACAGCAGGGATTTCTGGTGAGAAAAGTTTTAATTTTGTTGACTTTGTACTGTTGCTAGTTAGCTGTAATTGTTTTATATTCTGTATCTTATTTGAAAATGAGACTTGTTTTCCATGGCAAGTGTACGATGTTCTTTCAAGTGTATAGGTAAGCAACGATGGTGAAGTTGCTTGTGTTCGGAATATTTGTCCAAAAAAATTGTCCAAGTAGCAGTCTCTTTTTATTAGCACTATACCCGTAGTTAAGGGGGTGCAGAGTGATTGCAGTAGCTTTTCTGCAGTTTTCTACAGTTCAGGAACTGGTTCTAACCTGATCATGTGTTTCATCCTTGTGAAAGGAATGTTTGTAACATTAGTTTTTTGCTATGTTGGTAATGTGTGAAGTGCATGTCTTAATGCAGAACTGTCTTAGCTAAATGTGTTCTCTATATTTCTTATATGGAAGTTTAGTCAGTTTATATCAGTTTTATATTGGAAAAACTCTTAAAACCTCATTTTTTATCTCTCCCCCTGCTCTTTAAACAACAGGACACTTTCTTGATATGCTCTTGGCTTGCCTACCCTCCTGGATTTCTTTTCTTGATTAAGCTTTTTTTATCAAGTCTGAAGACATGAGGATACTTCTGAATTAAAAGTGATATGACTATGAATGATAATTTTTACAGTATTAGCCTCCAAATCACAGGTTATATGTTATAAAAGTTTTTATTTGTGTTGCTTCATATGATATTCTAAAGAAATTTTGTAGGTACTCATAAATAATTTGACTGAATGCTAGGATATATGAAAGAGAAAGAAAATAAAACAGATGTAGAAGAATCCTATCTTTTTTTTCATCTAGTCCATGGATATTGCTGAAATTTTATCCAAAGAAGGAATAATGATTTAAAGGTAGATTTTTTTCAGATTTCTCTTGAAGCTACGTATTTTGGTTAATTATAAACACATTAGTAGAGTTGCCCAAACAATCAGAAGAACAGCACTGAATATGCCCAAATGCCTTTTGAGGGCTGTGATGCATATACTTTTTCCAAATGATAATTTGGAAAAAGGCTGGAAGAGTTTTGCCGTATTACCCCACTATTTCTAGATGATTTCCAAGCTTAGTTTCATGCATTCGTTGCAAAATAACTCAGCAGGCTTTTTTTTTTTTTTTTTAATGGAATGGTTAATGGTGCCATGAATGTAGTCCTTGAAGTTATAAATCAGTCTGTTAGGTGATAGCTACTGTCTCATTGTAGAGTCATTAGAAATATTACACTCACAATTTAAGCCCTTCAATATCAAGGGAAAGTTGAAGGCCAGTGCAGTCATTAAAAAGCACCACGGGAAACCTCAGGCAACATTATGATTTAAAATTAATGGGAGGGAAGGGGAAAGAAGAGGAAATAAAAAGATATTAGAAATCTGGAAAACAACTTTAAATAAGATTTACACATGTAAAATTGTTAACCAAGTTCTCACCAGTTCCTCTTTTAGCGGGGTGGTCTAATGGATTTATGCAATACCTAAAAGAAGATTTAAGACAGTATTCTCAATGGCTGACTTAAACAAAGGGAGGCTGCCTATCCTAAACTCCTACATTCAGAAAGAAAAAGTGACCTCTAATAGGGAAGACCAAAGCAAAGACACAGTTACGATTTTTTCCCTTTAAAATCTGTTTAAATAAACCTCTCTTTCACAGCAGAGATATTTGAGGTCAGTGTCCTTAGACCAGGGCTAGATTTTGTGTACAGAGCTTCTACATCTATTTTTATGTATATTTTTGTGTAGCCTACAAATATTCCCAGTGTGTGTCTGGTGTTCTCTTTATACACTTGTCAAACCAGATGTGACCACCCCACTTTCAGAGTCTAAATTCAGGAAATGCTTAAACTCAGACAAGAAGTGAACCCTTCTGTGGGCTTTCCCAAGGCATAAATATAGATCATTCTACTCCCACCCCCATTTCCCTAGTTAAAAGAGGCACTGATGATCCAGTCTCAGCTATCTAAAGACATTCAGCTTTTGATTCAGGCTCTTGAACCTCCATCCTATGTTTCAGTCCAAGTGTTACTGTCAAAAGTCCATTTTAAAATAATGTCTCTGAGCCCAGTTCACATCACTTAAGAGAGAATCTGAGGAGAGGATGATGTGTTGACACCAATTATTGTATTTTATAATCAGTGTATTACACAGTTTAGGAAGCCTTCATAATGCACTGTATCACAGCAGTAATTCTGTAAGTAAGCAACAAATTTTAGACACCTATGAAATCAGACATGTTTTGTAAAAAACTGACTCATTATTTGTTAATTACACAGTTTTTGCCAAGTAAAAATTTCAGTGGTCTGCTACTAAAGAAGGTATCTCCTGAATGATTGTAGAAAATCATTGCTTTTTGAATCAGACGGAGAAATGAGAAACTGGAACCTTAAAAATATCACTCTGACTGATGGTTCCTGCACAGCTACTTAATAATGCAATGTGGTTTTGCTTGTGTTTCTTTAATTTCTATAGGATTGGAGCAAAGATGGACAGTTAAGAAAAGTATTGAGCACCTGCAAGGAAAGAAAAAACAGTATGACACTAAATACCAGCTTTCTCAGACACGTTTTTCTGTACAAGTGTCTGTTTGCATTAACTTTTGGGGATCATCTCAGCCTGTCTGTAGAAGATGAACTCTTTATGTCTGTTTCTAACAATTTTCCAGAAGATGATTCTAACCAAAAAATCACAAGTCTGCCACTCCAGTATACAAAGAGTCATCAGCCCAGTTGGGTTGTGATACAAAATACTACAGAAAGCCTGTCATTGTCAGAAATCAAACGTAACGATGCAAAAAAGTTGATAGCTTTGTTATCTAATTTCAGACAAGGATCCAGGTTACAAAATCTGACATTGGCAAATGTGTCAGTGGAGTGGAATGATCTAATGGAGATTTTTCAGACTGTATGGCACTCATCCGTTGAATACTTCAATACATACAATGTAACACAACTGTCAAACGTTGAAAGTTATGACTTTGACTACTCAGGTACTTCTATGAAAGCATTGACAATGAAGAAAATGATAATCACGGACATGTACTTCACACAGGATGACCTATACAAAATATTTGCTGACATGAATATTGAAGACATGACAATAGCTGATTCAGAAATGATTCATATGCTTTGTCCTTCATATAAGAGTCCCTTTAGATACCTGAATTTTTTAAAGAATGAATTAACAGATTTTCTTTTTCAAAAATGTGACAACCTACTTCAGCTGGAGACATTAATCTTGCAGAAGAATAAATTTGAGAGCCTTCGCAAAGTGAGCTTCATGACCAGCCGTATGAAATCACTGAAATACCTGGACATGAGCAGCAACCTGCTGCGCCACGATGGAGCTGACGTGCAATGCCAGTGGGCTGAGTCTCTGACAGAGCTGGACCTGTCCTCCAACCAGTTGGTGGATGCTGTGTTTGAGTGCTTGCCAGTCAACATCAAAAAGCTCAGCCTCCAAAACAATCAGATCAGCAATGTCCCCAGGGGGGTGGCGGAGCTGAAATCCTTGGAGGAGCTGAACCTGGCGTCGAACAGGCTGGCCGACCTGCCGGGGTGCAGCGGCTTTACGTCCCTGCAGTTCCTGAACGTCGAGATGAATTCGATCCTCACCCCATCTGCTGACTTCTTCCAGAGCTGCCCAAGGGTCAGGGAGCTGCAGGCCGGGCACAACCCGTTCAAGTGTTCCTGCGAGCTGCAGGCCTTTATCCGCCTGGAGAGGCGGTCAGGTGGGAAGCTGTTTGGCTGGCCGGCGGCGTACGCGTGCGAGTACCCAGAAGGCTTGCGAGGAACGGAGCTCAAGGACTTCCACCTGAGCCTGCTGGCTTGCAACACGACGCTCCTGCTCGTGACGGCTCTGCTGCTGACGCTGCTGCTGGTGGCCGCGGTGGCCTTTGTGTGCATCTACCTGGATGTGCCGTGGTACGTGCGGATGACGTGGCAGTGGACGCAGACGAAGCGCAGAGCTTGGCACAACCCCCCCGGAGATCTGGGGGCCGTTCTGCAATTCCACGCCTTCATTTCCTACAGCGAGCGCGATTCGCTGTGGGTGAAGAACGAGCTGATCCCGAACCTGGAGAAGGGGGAGGGCTGCGTGCAACTGTGCCAGCATGAGAGAAACTTTATCCCCGGCAAGAGCATTGTGGAGAACATCATTAACTGCATTGAGAAGAGCTACAAGTCGATCTTTGTGTTGTCTCCCAACTTTGTGCAGAGTGAGTGGTGTCACTATGAGCTGTACTTTGCCCATCACAAGTTATTCAGTGAGAATTCCAACAGCTTAATCCTCATTTTACTGGAGCCAATCCCTCCGTACCTTATCCCTGCCAGGTATCACAAGCTGAAAGCTCTCATGGCAAAGCGCACCTACATGGAGTGGCCAAAGGAGAGGAGCAAGCGCACCCTATTCTGGGCTAACCTCAGGGCAGCCATTAACATTAACCTGCCAAAAGCTGATGAAAATTTTCATGAGGAAAGAGATTAAGAAACTTTCTAATACAGTTTCATCTGTTTTTTCTCAGTGAAATAATAAATATGATTTGCATTCATTGTAAATGTGTTTAACTTTTTGTTGCACAATCTTGTTTCCAGCTAGTTGTCTGTGTTGCCTCCTAACTGTAGTCAAAATTCAATTCATCTTATTGCAAATCTCTTGGGATAGCAAATTGCAAATGAATTTGAATGTGGATTTTGAAATACGACTTGAAATATTGTAGTGAGTTTTTCTCAGCAGACTAAAATGTGGAGCAGTTAGTATAGTCATGTGGAAGAGTGCTTCAGCTGCTGGATAGTTTGCAGAGCTGCTTTAATCACAAAATTGATACAGCTTTGTCAAAGGAGATCTTTTGCTAAAATTGGTTCATGTGAAAGAAAATTAAGGATCTTGAGAAGGTGCCTGAAGTCCAGAGCTCAAAATGGTTGCTAAATAGTTTTTGCTTGGGTTTGGTGGAAAAAAGGATAGGATCCAGACACAGAAGTTTGTGAACTTGGAACTTGCCAAAAACAAGGTTTGAGCAAGGAAGATAAGTTTTGTTGTTTTTTGTTTTTTTTTTAAGAAAAAAAAGGGTGAGGTACTTAATAAGTTTTTTTTAGTTTTTTTTTGTTTTGTTTTGTTTTGTTTTTTTTTTTTAAGAAAAAAAAGGGTGCGGTACTTCACTTTTTAGCATGGCATTACAACAAGGGAGAAGCAGTGAACTGACAGAGCTCTGATACCCATAAAGTCCCAGTACCATTTTGATGCATTTTTACTACCCTGACCAGAGAGGGTGGGATGCTCTCTTACTGCATCTGCAGTAACAGAGCTGCCTTCATCATATTGTCTATGTTTTGACAAACTCCTGACATCTCTAAATCATGCATTATTCCCTCTAGCTTTCTACTTTTTGTCTTCTTTGCCATATGTCTTACTTTATGCTTATTATTAAAAGAATCTGTCCTTTTCTGCTGAAACAGTATCTCTTGTAGCATGGCTATGACTTGTTGTCAGAAAGTCAATAACCAGTCAGAGCCTGAAAGAATTTCCCAGATCTTGAGACAGCAGGTAATTTAATGGTTTATTCACCGAGTTAGAAAAACTAACCACATTTACAATATTTACTTTCCTTTACAGAAACATAGCAGGCCCCTCTGTCTGTACTTACACTGTTTTAGCTTGAAGAAAGCCTGCCTGGGCTCAGACAAACATTCACAACTGCTGAAGATGATGACAGCAAGCTTCCTCTTTGCCCCAACAAGGGAAGATTTTTTGAAATACAAGAGCTAGATGACCATCAAGCAGGAAGTTTCCCTTCAAAAATGTTTTTCAACATGTAAATGAGAGAAAAGGAATGTTATGATGAAATCCTCATGTAGTATAGAATATTTACATTTTATCTTATTTCTGTCTTCCATTACTAGCAAAAGGTTTTAATTTTGATTCTTCTTTTTGCCTGAGGTCTAAGCAAGCTGAGATTTCTTGACCTGAAGCCTTGAACTGTGAGTGACTGTTTATGACCTGTAAAAAAAAGGTCAAATTTAACACCTTTAGCTCTCTCATCCCACTTAGCCTCAAAATTAATATAACACACCTGCAAATTGCAGACATTTCATTCAGGACTGTGGAAATAAATGTTTTCTGTGCTTCCTTCTTCCCCTCCCACTATTGCTTCAGTGAACTGAAGATGATTAGTTTGTTTTGCCTATCCCTTTCTCACAACCAGGGACAGCTGGATTATGTGGTACCTTGCTTGAAAATTTTCTTCAAAACCTCAGAGTTTTAGGCCAGTAATTCTTGAAACCTCTGCAATACAATTAACATCCCATTGTATGTAACCTTAAGAACTTATCTGGCTTCTGTTGGCTGGAAGACAGGGAAACACTCTGAAAGTCAGAGAGTTTCCAAGAAACCTTCCTGTTACTCATGTGGGAGCCATAGCCATTAGCAGAAATTAAGGAGTGGAAGGTTTCAGCAAGGCAAGCAAGATTTGTTTGCCACTTTGGAAAGAACTTGGAACTATGTGACCTCTGGGAATGTAGCTGATGTTATCATAAGCAGAAGTATATAAATACAACTCTCTGGTATTACAAGTTTCTGGATTCCAAAATCCTTGAATGAATAAATTGGAAAGGGTGGCTTTTAATGAGCATGGGCATCAATTAAAACTTGTACTTTGGAACCATAAGCCCACATACTATTACCTTTTCTTTTTCTATATGTATCAAAAAATTGATTAAACAGCTAAACGTGCAATGAATTATTAGAGCTAATTTCTCTGATTCCACAAGAGAGAATGAGTTTCTCCAGTGTTATTAGAATATTTCAAACAATTATCTCAGTCTCTGTCATACTCTCAACCCTTTCTATAAAACCAGCTTTAATCCATGAAGAAATTTTTCCGTGTTCATGGGGCCATGTGTAGTCTCCCAACACATGAGCCAGTTTATCTGCACAGTTTGGAAAGGGACTAACCTTTTCTCTGCAGCCTGGTGATGTGTGCCTGCATTTGGTACTGCACTAACTGCTGCTGCACTCTAGTTATCGGGAAAAGGGAGTGTGTAAATGTGTTCTGATATCAGATACTGTATCAGAGCAGATTCCTGGCATTTGATTAGTCATCTTGGTGACTAGCAGGAATGCTATTTTTACATACATAAAAATATCAACATACAAAACTGATAACATGGGAGTTAAACACCCTCCGAAACATCAAAAATGTGCAGAATGAAATTCAAGTGCAAAAATGGAAATGTTTTTATGTCTATTTAAGTAGTGTATAGTATAAAGGAAACTGACAGACAGGCAGACTTGACACAATGTGAGTTGCCTGCTGAGAGCTCAGCTCTTCTTTAGCTTTAGGAATGCTACAAAACACCTTCACTGAACTTTAGCTGCAAAGAGTTAGAGGAAGGAAAGGCACTAAAGGGAAAATAATGGAACTCTGGGGGATTCTGCTGAGAGGAGGGTTCAAAACCTCTGTGAAACCCATGTTTTTACGCAAGGCTTTGGTTAGTCTGTTTTTTCTTTTGGAAATACTTGGTGAGATTAACTATGATGCTCATTTGTAGTCACTGTTTTGTCAAAACAGTATTTGTAATTAGTAAGTGAGAAAATTGTGTGTTCTGCAAGGTGGCTCTGCATTACCAGTTTGATTTCCACAGCTTTGATCCTTGTCTATTTATACCAAAGCAAAATTAACTTGAGCATAAATGTGATAGTGTCTGCTCACTTTGACTTGTGGTGGCATTTAGCCGTTTTTCACCTACTTGACATACAGGTGGCAATGACAATTACAGGTAAAGTCCTTGATGTGACCAAACACCAACGTTGCAAACCTTTAATTATTGTATTAACTTTTCATGAGTGCTTTGGTGAGTTCATCTGCTGTGACTGCTTTAACCCCTGTCTTGCACATGTTAAGTTCCCTTCTGAAGTTCTTGTCAGAGAGATTCTTCACACTTTTGGCATGATGCTGATTCTGAATAGCTTTTCATACCTGGCCAGGGGTAGTTGTGGTTCCTCTCTGGGTAAATACTGATGACATACAGGCAGAAGTGTGAAGTGTCTTTTTGTGAACTCTAATAGAACAAACTGCAAAAAACCCCAGCAATGTAAAATTCAGAAATGGAACAAGGTATCTGCATGAACATGTGTGAGCTGACTACGGAAAAGATGGTATGTAGCTGGTACATTTTGAGATGCATGAACAGAAATACATTGCTTTTAGTTTTTGCCTGTCATGAAAAATGACTGAATCAGTAAACTGAAACCAGCCCCAAACAAAACTTCGCTGAAGTGGTTAGTAAAAATAAATTATGCAAGGTTCCTAATGGTTTAACAGAGGTATTCAGGAGTATCAGTTTTATTTTAACTACCTGCAAATTTTTCTTTAGGGCATACTGTTTATTTGAATGTGTTTTAAAGCTTCATAAAGAAAGGTGGTAACAAAATTAAACATACTACAACTAAAAGGTGGTTTTAATAGTTTTGTGTGCACTACAGTCAGTTCTGATGAAAGCTGATGGTGTTTTTGATTTTAACCATGCAGCAAATTTTTTTCTAGGAATTATATTCAAAGCAAAGCTGCCACTGTTTTGGCTAATTGTGGTATCATTGTTCAGTCGACAAGTGCCTTACTCTATTCAGTATCATGGATTGATTAATGCCTACCAATAGAAGCATCTCTTTTAACTTGGAGTCTAGATGGTACCAGCTGGCAAACACTCTTGCTGCTTTACTGAGAAACATTCATGATCCCTGGTCTTATCTTGGGTCAGAGATGTTGATTGTCTCCCAGGCTCATGTTCCTGGTCACAATATTAACTGAATGGCTGCTTTCTTGGATTCCTTCTGTGGATGCAACAGCCTGGTCAGAGGGCGAGAAAATGGGTTTAGTTTTTCACAGTGGACTTGTGAGACTTTTTAGGGAGTCATAGAAATCATGATAACTTGTTAATATAAACAACCTGCAGGTGGTGTTTTTCTACTCTGTTTTTCTGTTCTTCTCAAAGACTGTTTGTGAGAAAGATGTTTTTGCTAGCTAGCCAATCAAGTAGAATGTGTAAAATCTGTCTATAAAAGAGAGGATTTTTCATATTAAATGCGCTTCTTCTGCAAACCAGCCTTCAAGTGAATTTGTGTCATTTCTGGCTCAACGGTGACATCCTTCAGCCCCAGATTGCCCTATATTGTGCCATATTCTTTGTGGCTTCATTACAGCTGTCTTATAGGGAATATTCTCTGTTAATTTTTATAATTTTTTGGAGGAAGCCACAATGTGAGGTATCCTTGATAAGCATTCTAGTGTAAAGGTGATTGGCCTGTAAAGGTTTTTAACTGTGCCATTTTGCCCCTGTTACTAGCTTTTGAGATATAAGCTCATGTCATCCATCATTGTAGTCCACAATTAATGTAGTGGACTACATTAATTGCTCTCCTTGATGAGCAAAAAATTTTGTAAGAGTAGAGCTCTGCAAGAGATCTTGATATGAGCAAAAGGTGGAGTGAGGGTTCTGCTTCCTCTTTTCTGTGTGTGCAAAGAGGAGATGCAGTTGACGGATTTCTAGAACATCTGTGTAACATCAGAAGCAGACTTGAACTTGAACAGTCTTGCCAAGGGAAATATTCTATACTACAGATAGGTTTATTTCCTCTTAAACCAGCTAGTTATGTAAATATTACAGGAGTAAATGTATTTTTAGTCTGAACTGTTAAAAGTTTCCTTTCGTTGTGCTCTTAATACCTGCATTGTAAGGAGGTATCATTAATTCTTAGAATTGTATCTCTTGTTTAAAAAACACCTGGTTTTTTGGCTTCCCGAGGTAGGTAATTATTGAGGAATCAGCATCTCATGTGATATTCCCCATCCTGAAGATTACATATGTCTGTAATTCTATTTTGAGGATGCTAATCAAGTATGCAGAGGACTTTTGCTGGTTCTTCAACTTGAAGATGAATTCCATGCACAAAAGGTGGGTTGTATTTGCTTCATTATTTATAATAATTTTCTCTCTGATATATGTATATCTTGGACTTCATCAAATCTCAGGTGCTGGTGTTTCTTTGATGTTGGAAGATACTCTTACATTTTGAAGTTTCAGTGGAAACATTCATCTGAATTTCAGCAAAGAGGAAAGGGAGAAAAATAATTTGGTATGGCACTTTTAATTCTCAGCCATCTCTAATTTAATACCATTCTAGAACAGGATTGGAGGGGTAACCCTTGCTCCTAACTATTGCTTTTCTAGATATATTTGCTTTACTCTTTGACTGTCGCACTCTGCAGGGCTATAGAGTGTGGCTTGTCCCTTGTTGCAGTGTCTAGCATAGCATGTACAGTAAATTAAAACTCATCTGGTGCTGGGAGATGGACAGAGAATATATTTCTGGCTTTTTCTCCCTTCAGAACATTTCTTGCTTTATTACTGACATCCCTTTTGCCCAGGAGGAAGTTCCTCCAGATAGTTCTAGATCAAACTTTGATTCAAGAGTTAGATTATCAGCCCGGACTCTGAAGAATAGAGCCAACTGCACTTTGAAGGAGCTGGGTCAGATTTCCTGGTCTTGTTTTGTTGTGCAATTGATACTGTACTTTGACCAACCATCCCAGCTTCATTTCTTTTGTGTCCTCAGATACCCTAGCACAACTTTCTGAAGGTGTAATTTGGCCTCTCTATTGGATTCAATAGAGGTAGAAATACTTCAGTGATTTATTCTTTTAATGCTTTTGGTGATGTTAATTAAGAAAGAAATGGGTTGAGTCTGATAGGAAACTTGGATGGGAAGGGTTGAGTTTTTATATCAGTTAGTCAAATTATTAGGGTCTAGCACATATTATAAGCTAGAACTGAAATAAAAGAGTTTTTGGTTTCTATTTAACAAAAGATTACACAGGGACAGAATTTTAAAATTCTGGGGTTTTAGATCTTTTTAGCAGGGAAAAATCCGAATAGAAAATAAAACTGGGGATGTTTGTCTCCTGAAAATGTTTATGAGTTGTTTATGCTCCATGCAGTTGCTGTTCCCAGGGCTTTTCCCCACTTCTTCACCATGTTATCCCAGAGGCACCACTATGAGCCTCTGGGATAACATGGCGAAGCTATGGATGAGTTTGGCCTTGAACTCAGCTGCTACTGCCTCTATGGAACACAGATGAAGCCTTTAGCAGCTTCTCACAGAAACCAGACCTGTAGTCGCCCTGCTACCAAAACCTTGCCATACAAACCAAATAAAATGGACAGTGTAATTCCTCAGAATTCTTGGCTTATTGGAAAAATGGACTCTTATGTCTTTGTGCTATAGCAAGGAGAAAGCTGATAATCTGACCCTGAGAGGGTGCATGGCAATGTCCAGGGTCTATGAGGTGTGAAGAAGAATATCCTTTGAGTGAAGAGGTTGTTTTTGCACCAGTTCCTGTGAAGGTGGTTTTATTGGAGTTTTGTTCCCAAATTTGTGTGAACTTGGGAAGTATAGAAACAACAGATGGATGTTCTCCTTTATTTTGATGTTTGTTCTCCTTTATTCATAAATGCATTGATGTTGGTTTGTACCAGTTTTGTATTTTTTCATGATTGCTGAGAAATTTGTATTTCTTAACATCTGTGTGTTTTTAACACACTAGTGGCATTCCTCCCATTATAAGAGAATTAATTTATATTTGGCTGAGTCAATAATTAAAAAACTAGAATGAGGATGATTGATAAGAACTGAAAACAGGAGTATGTAAAAATATTTTTTTATTACATAGATTTTATATTGAAGTTTATTTTCACAATAAAAAAAGCAGCCTCAACCATTCAACAGCTTCATTCAATTTCATGTATTTTTTTTTTCATAGAGCTGGACTCATCAGTGGGACATATTGAACAGAAAACAAAGACATGCTTCTGTGTTTCTGTAAAAAACATAGATAAAGCTGGATAGCATAATGAGATTCCTCACAAATATCTATATCTTTACTTGTGCCTTTACATTCACACTATGGAATAATATTCAGCCAACTGTAGAAGATGAATTTATTGCAAATTATTCAAACAGTTTGCTAACTAATGTTCCAAAAAACATTCCAGTCTGTACTCAAGTATTAGATTTATCACATAATAGGATCTCTGGACTTAGTACATCAGAATTTATTCATCTTTCGGACCTTCAAGTACTAAATCTTTCTCATAATCTAATTACGGTGCTTGACTTGAGTGTCTTCATTTTTAATGAAAATTTAGAATACTTGGATTTATCTCATAATAACATTTCAAAAGTTTTCTGTCTAACGCTTGCATATCTTAGACATTTAGATCTTTCTTTCAATAAGTTTACTGCCCTGCCCATCTGTCAGGAATTTGGGAACATGTTTCATTTGGAGTACCTTGGATTAAGTGCTACGATGATAAGAATGTCAGACTTCAGGTATATCAAACACTTGCAGCTGCACACTGTCTTCCTGAACTTGGGAAACTTTTCACTGTATGAGCCTCGGAGTCTGACAGTCTTGACTACAAGGAACCTCCACATCGTTTTTGCAGCAAACCAAAACTTCACTTTTTCCCTCCTGTATGATGGAATGAGCACTTCAGAAAACTTAAAAATAGTTAACTTAAGATATACCTTGAGTTATAAAGACTTCCCCTCTCCACCTTTAATGCTTCTGAAGAAAATCAAGACAACAACTCTCACACTTGATGCTGTGGACTTACAATGGGCTATAATCCTGCAAATTTTTCTTCTTATTTGGTATTCACCTGTGGAACATTTGACTGTGAGAAATTTGACTTTTAGGGGACCCCTGGAGGAGCCAACTGAGTATGCCTTTCTACCCTTATTAAGCTCTGTGGAACAATTAATCTCTTTGGATGGCTCCATGAAAGCATTAACTTTGGAGCATGTTCGTAATAAGGTTTATTATTTCAACCAGGAGATTCTATACAGACAGTTTTCAGAGATGAATATTGCCAATTTGACAATAGCTGATGCATATATGCCACACATGCTTTGTCCCAACAGAACAAGCTCATTTCAGTATTTAAATTTTTCTCACAATGCCCTGACAGATGAGTTGTTCCAGAACTGTGGCACTCTCATGGATCTGAAATTACTTATTTTGCAGAAGAATAAATTTGAGAGCCTTCGCAAAGTGAGCTTCATGACCAGCCGTATGAAATCACTGAAATACCTGGACATGAGCAGCAACCTGCTGCGCCACGATGGAGCTGACGTGCAATGCCAGTGGGCTGAGTCTCTGACAGAGCTGGACCTGTCCTCCAACCAGTTGGTGGATGCTGTGTTTGAGTGCTTGCCAGTCAACATCAAAAAGCTCAGCCTCCAAAACAATCAGATCAGCAATGTCCCCAGGGGGGTGGCGGAGCTGAAATCCTTGGAGGAGCTGAACCTGGCGTCGAACAGGCTGGCCGACCTGCCGGGGTGCAGCGGCTTTACGTCCCTGCAGTTCCTGAACGTCGAGATGAATTCGATCCTCACCCCATCTGCTGACTTCTTCCAGAGCTGCCCAAGGGTCAGGGAGCTGCAGGCCGGGCACAACCCGTTCAAGTGTTCCTGCGAGCTGCAGGCCTTTATCCGCCTGGAGAGGCGGTCAGGTGGGAAGCTGTTTGGCTGGCCGGCGGCGTACGCGTGCGAGTACCCAGAAGGCTTGCGAGGAACGGAGCTCAAGGACTTCCACCTGAGCCTGCTGGCTTGCAACACGACGCTCCTGCTCGTGACGGCTCTGCTGCTGACGCTGCTGCTGGTGGCCGCGGTGGCCTTTGTGTGCATCTACCTGGATGTGCCGTGGTACGTGCGGATGACGTGGCAGTGGACGCAGACGAAGCGCAGAGCTTGGCACAACCCCCCCGGAGATCTGGGGGCCGTTCTGCAATTCCACGCCTTCATTTCCTACAGCGAGCGCGATTCGCTGTGGGTGAAGAACGAGCTGATCCCGAACCTGGAGAAGGGGGAGGGCTGCGTGCAACTGTGCCAGCATGAGAGAAACTTTATCCCCGGCAAGAGCATTGTGGAGAACATCATTAACTGCATTGAGAAGAGCTACAAGTCGATCTTTGTGTTGTCTCCCAACTTTGTGCAGAGTGAGTGGTGTCACTATGAGCTGTACTTTGCCCATCACAAGTTATTCAGTGAGAATTCCAACAGCTTAATCCTCATTTTACTGGAGCCAATCCCTCCGTACCTTATCCCTGCCAGGTATCACAAGCTGAAAGCTCTCATGGCAAAGCGCACCTACATGGAGTGGCCAAAGGAGAGGAGCAAGCGCACCCTATTCTGGGCTAACCTCAGGGCAGCCATTAACATTAACCTGCCAATATCCAGTGAAGCAAATGAGTAGGAGAGTGATGTTACACCTATGAGTAATATAAGTATGTGAATAACTGACTTGACTTTTTTGTATTAAACTCTGTTAATATTTTTTTCTGTTTTCTTACAACATTCCCAGTTTGTTGCAAAATGTGACACATATAGAAATTGCTATTGCTTATTCAAACCATCCAGGTAGTCAGAAGTCATCTGTAGTTGCCCATCACCAACAAAGAGAATGACAGAGAAATTTTCATGATTGACATAATTTTTAAGTTGTGTTTATTTTTCACTTTCCCCATTGAAAGCCATATTTGAAAGTAACAAGAATAGTGGTTTATTTGGTGTAATCAGGCTGCCAAGGCATAATTTAATCTTTGTTCTGATGTGAATGCTGTGAGGTTAAGATTGTAAGGATCTTCTTTCTTGGTTTTAATTAAATAACAGAAAGAAGAAAACTCTTGGTTGAATCCCATCCAGTATGCTGGTACAGTAAGTGTTAAGAGTACAGTATCCACACCCTTTTACCTGTTATCCCTTCCTGCAAATCTTTCCCTTCATCACAGAGAGACTTTCATGGGTATGTGCTGAAAAGTTGAATCCATTAATTCTTGTTTGATGTTCTTCCTTTGCTGTATTAAACATTACCAATTGCCTAGAGACAGATACCCGCCAAGTCATGGGTTCATAGAATTTGCTATTCAGTCTTCAAATGCATAGTTAATACCTGTAGTTATTATTTTTTATAGTATTGTAATATTGCTCCTTTCTGTTGTGATTCTATGAAGCTATACTGGGTTGCATGCTTTTTCTCTTTCCTAGTACTTAGAAACTTGATGTTTGGAGGTGAACCCCTTTTATCTCCAGGCTTCCACTGAACTCTGTTAACTTGCTCATTTAATGAGCAGGTGCTGAGGGTCATCACACAGGTGAAAAAAAGAGTAATTTTCCCTAGGAAATAACTTCTCTGCTAAAATCTTTCTGATTAAACTAATGGTGTTTGTTAGTAGGAGAAATAGTAACTTGCTGTGCTTGGATTCAAGAGTCTAATAAGTATCTAATTCTTTATCTGTTATTAAATTCCATGTGTCATTTCAAAGGTGATGTAGAGTTGTGTCATTGTCCTTACAGCTTAATGGAAATGTGAAGTCCTGAGATCACAACTGTGGGCAGCACATGAGGTGATCAAACTGGTAAGAGGATGTGATCCTTAACACTCACTGTGGTGGCTCACCAAGCACAGACCAGGTGTGGTAGATAGATGAAACAATGAAATTGAAGCTGTGGGAGAGCTTCCTGGTGTCCGGAGATGACACTGCTGGCACCCACCCACCAGTTCAGGTTAACTGGATATGATCGCAGTAGGATGCCAGGTGCCTAGCTCCTGAGTTTTGGAAAGAGCTAAAAATCCCTACTAAATCTTAATTGTCGCTCAATTATTTCCACACTCATTAAATCTGTATCTCTCCAATTTAGAGAGGATGTTGTAGGGGACCATGTCAAAGCCTTATCCTGAAATCAAGATTTAGTAGGGATTAGGGATGCTGCTGGATGAGAGGCTGGACAGGACCCAGCCATGGGTACTCCCAGCCCAGAGAGCCAAACGTGTCCTGGGCTGCATCCAGAGCAGCGTGGGCAGCAGGGGAGGGAGGGGATTCTGTCCCTCTGCTCTGCTCTGCTGAGACCCCACCTGCAGGGCTGCAGCAGCTCTGGGGCCCAGCATAAGGAGAATGTGGACCTGCTGGAGTGAGTCCAGAGGAGGCCACAAAGATGATCAGAAGGGCTCTGATCCTATTAGGACAGACTGAGAGAGCTGGGATTGTTCAGCCTGGAGAAGAGAAGGCTCCATGGAGATCTTGTTGAGGCTTTTCAGTAGTTCAATAGGGCTTATAAGAAAGATGAGAACAGACTTTTCAGCAGGACCTGTTGTGGTAAGACAAGGGGTACTGGTTGTAAACTAAAAGAGAGCTGATTTAGGTTGGATATAAGAAATAATTTTTTATAATGAGGGTGGTGAAACACTGGAAAAGATGGCCCAAAGAAGTTGTGGATGTCCCATCCCTGGAAACATTGAAGGTCAGGTTGGGAAGGGCTCTGAGTGATCTGATCCAGTTGAAGATGTCCCTGCCCATTGCAGGGAGTTGGACTAGATGACCTTTAGAAGTCCCTTCCAACCCAAACTATTTTATGATTCTATGATTTTATGATTTTACAATTTTACCTCTCTTGACACTTCTTGACACTTTAAAGTGGGGAATGCTATCGAGAAGTCTTGTGACCCTTCTTCCTGAAAGCCTTCTCCCCCTCCCAGGCCTTACAGCCTAACATGATTAGCAGTCACACTTAGTGCTCATGGGCTAGAAGGCATGCAGTCTATCCTGTTTACTAGACAAGAAAAGAGGAAGTAAAATTTCTTAATTCAGACTTTCCCGTCTCTGTAAATTTAATGCATCAGCAAACTGGGGGTTATGTCCTAAATAGTGTACAGACTGGGCTGTGGAGGAGTCCCTCACCTTTAAGACTGTTCTGAAATGTAAGTTTTAGGTGGGTGTGAAAGAAATAGTTTCTCAGGTCTGCCATGTATATTGTTTTGGAATATTAATGCTGTAAGAGCCCTTTATACTCTATCCATCCCACCTCACAGATCTTTCATGCAGATGCCAAATATTTTGGTTATGTACATACCATACACTACAGCTTCTTAAAATATATTTCTGAGTTTCTTTGATAAAGCAGACTCATTTTGTTATGGTTTGGTGTGTTGGTTGGTTTTCCTTTCTAAGTAAGCATTTGACACTATTTCTCATCAAGCAACATTGTGTTGGCTTAGTTAGTGTTCAGCCAGGCCAGAGTTTAATTTTAAATTTTTAAATAATTTAAAGCATATTTATGACTAAAAATCGCAGTAAAGACACAGAGATCAGTTTTAAATCCTTGAGCAGATTTCTGTGTATGACCGGATTGAACTCAGTGATAGCAAATAAGACAGAGGGAAGAGCTTAATTTCTCAAGAAATTTCTCATTCAAGAAAATGATTATCTTAAATTACAATCTCATGAATTTAAATTGTGCCTTTTTCTCAGACTAAGAGGGACACCCAGTGGTCGATGAAATTATCACTGCTTCCTGAAAATGACCACTCAGTGTACAATGTATGCAATGCTTTTTGACTCATAGTAGAACAGAGATAAATCTTTTCAGCTGGCAGCTGGAGTAGCCTCTTACAGGTGTGCAGGCTCACGAGGACAGGTCAGGATGAGCTCTTCCCATGGCAGCTGCCACGCTGGGGCAGCGGCCGTGACTCCCCCGTGCCATCGGTCCCTCCTGCCTGGATCTTAGAAGTGAACAGCATGATAATGAGCTGTCTCTGGCTTTGGAATGTGCAGTCCTCATTTTCAAGCAGGAGGCCAAGAAATACAAGCCAGTAATTTACTCATATTCTTATTGCTGTTTGCAGGCTTTAATTTTTGTGCCTCATTCTGCTGTACCTGCTTTCCCTTCTGTACATCCCCATGGCATAGCACAGGTGCTCACCAGGCTGATCTGCAGCATCCCAGGCAGCGAGAGAGAGACCAACATCCTGGTGCAAATACTTCAGCAGAAACGGGAAGTGTTAGAGATGCATAGTGAATTCAGCCAGGCCCCCTCTTCTTAGGCATCTGGTAAGGTGTGAAGAAATAAAACCCCATTCTTCATCATCATCATCACTGTTATCTCAGCACAGCCTGCAGGTGTGTCTGGGGGTGTGCAGGACTCGTGCTGATGCGTCAGCAGCCTCTGGCACCCCGCTCTGGGAGAGGCTGTGGGGAGCAGGCCCAGTCAGTCATCTTGTGAGCGATAAAAAAGGCAAACTCACGTGTTTGGGGCTCCACACCTGCCTATGGGCTAATTAGAATGCCCTAATTAGAATGACCTAATTAGAAGCAAGTACAACATTTTTATGAGCTTGCCACTAGACGTGCTGCAGGCCACAGCTCCTGCAGCACAAATCCCTTGTGCTCCTGCCCTGGGCCCCGAGTGGGGCACACAGCGGAGGTGGCCAGGCCAGGCAGAAGGGCCGCCCAAAGGCCCAGAGCCACAGGGCTCTCCTCCAGGCCGGCCTCTGACCCGAGCTCGGCATCACTGCTTTGTCATCCAGCACGTGACAACATGACCACAAACAACATTCTGAGTGTTTTATTAACAAGTGTAATACATATGCACTGTATACTAAATATACTAAATATACTAAATATAGTATGACGACTGTACAGTACAAATTTATGTTCACAGTTTGACATGACAAAATGTCATTACTGAATTCCCATTGGACTACCAAAGTAGAAACAGTGAAAGTACATTAAACATTCACATCTTTAGTAAGAAAAGATTACCAAAATGTCTCCATATTTGCAAGTTATAGTAATGCACGCTAGAAACCTTTAATTAGCCATTCTGTCTTATTAGCTTATAAAATATATTACATTTTATTTAAAAAATTCTGCATAGTTTATAGATGTATCAAAGTAAATAAAAATCCTTGCTATATTTGCAGGTGAGAGATGCTAAGCAAAAAGATTATTTTGACCCTCTAAAGTACATTAGGTGCTAATATCTGTAAAATATAATGAAAAACGGTCTAGCCCTCTTAAGAGATGTAAAATGCTTTGTAAATTATTTTAGGAAGGATTTGTATTTATCATGTTGCTAACTTTGGCAGAGACAGCATATTTGAACAAGATGTGGCATTAGAAGTATCACTGCAGAATGCCACGTGTATATTTAAATAAACCCCACACAATTAAAAACTAGTAATTTATTATAATCAAATAGCTTAAACAGGCACATTTTAGTAAAACAGTATTACCTGTTACACATGGCACAGTGCAATACTGTTACAGAGAAAGGTGGAAGGGGTTTAAATATACTTATTCTCCAGGATTAGGATTTTCTATCTAAACTAGCTTTTCTTTAGGCCATAGATGGAATAACTGGCTTTGCAAAATTTTAAAATATACTCAGTTTAATTGAGTATATTTTAAAATTGCAAGGTATCCCTCAAATCAAAGTTTGCTAAAATGAACCAATGAGCTGGTTAAGATGTAAATTCACACTCAGCTAGAAGTGTATTTGTTTGTGACCTTTTAGACATCCCACAAAGACACCACAGGCACAACTGAAAAATCCTACAAGGAAGGCATTATCATGTAATAATCTCTAATATTTATATTTAATATTTAAATTTCTGTTGTCCTAATTTGCAAGACACATGGATGAAATTTGAAAGTTCTGCTCAATCTCCACTGTATTGGACCCCATCATTAGCATACTTTCAGGAAAAAGGTACATAAGCTAATGAATTAACATCACAAATAACCTAGCCTAAATTATCTGAAGTAACTCTTAGTTACAAAGAAGTTCTGCTTTTAGGGTTCTGATTTAAAAAATATCAAAAAACATACTAATGACAACATTTTAGGCCTCAAAAGAGAAACAGAGCATTAGAAAGAAATGTTCCTTAAACCTCCTGAATTTTATAAATTTGCATTTTTAAGGTAAAAATGGGACCAGTTGCCATTAAGGTGCTTATTTTCTAGTATCTGTTTTTTCCCTCATCAACAGAACAGAGAATTGTTTTCATTGCAGGGTACTAAATGTCTGTAGACTTGTGACTGTTGCCACAGGACTTCCTCCACACAGCCTCTCAACCAGTGACACACCTGGATTTACAAAATTAAAACCTAATGCAAATTCTGCTACCACTGACCAAAAAAATATAAAATAGAAAGTCCACATTCTGGAACAGCTGCTCATTAGTATCAGTCTCTTTCCTACAAGTTTCTCAATGTCACTAACAATCTGGCCTACCAAGAAAGTAAAAAGAACTATTCATGTGCCAGGTGTTTCAGCACCACAGGTGAGCAGATGAGGGAGAGTTACAAGACACAAGGTGCAGCCCTACCAAGGTGGTGAGGATGTATGGAGCTGGAACAGAGCAATTGCTGTCAGAGCATCTTTCTACAGGAAGTACAGACCTCTCCTTCTCTAATTCCACAGGCATGTGGATGTCAGCAAAGCAGCTGGTAAAGTCCTATCACCAAATAAAGGCTCTTTGCACTCACACTCTTGTATCTCCAAGATTGTTTGGCATTGGGCTCCACTGGTTATAGAAGCACAGGCTACCTGCTCCACAAGCTCAAATATACCCACCTGCAGATGGACACTCCACCTGTCTCCTGCAGAGTTCTATGAAACTCCTCCTCCCCTCACACCTCCATTGTTCACTGGGTTTTTCCATAAGAAAGGAAAAGCCTGCTTCAGTATGTTTAACGTATAGGGAATGGCGGTTACCTTACAGAGGGCAAGGAAAGGAAACGCTCTTGTGTGTGAGTGCAGAGAATACATCCTGTTTCCTCGCAGTGCCACAAACTCTGCCAGCTAATACCGACAGAAACCCTCCTTTCAGAGGGCTCCCAGACAGGAACATTTCTAGGGACAACTGCAGGTTGCTTGAATTCAGTTTCTTTTAGCTACAGTTCTGTTTGCTAATGGGCATGATTTTAATGCAGTAGACATGTCCACAGGGAAGCAGCTGTACCTACCATCGAGACTGCCAGAGTCACAAACCAGAGTTAGGAACTGGACGATTTGGTATACGCTTTTATCCAAAACAGATACATGACTCAATTTATCATCAGAAGTACTTCATATCTGATGCCATCTTCTCATAAAAATATTGTGGATCAATAATTTTAAATACTGTAGTGTATACTGTTGTGAGTGGTACTCACAACAATACAGTTCAGAGCATTTTTGACTTAATGATTGCTATTTTCTGAAGTACAACAAAGAGAAAATATTTAGATGAAATGCGGGGGCATGATTGCAGGGGGGATAATCTATATCCCTGAAATGAGGTGCAGTAGGTTTCTATGAGCCATTTAATGCCAAATTGCAGGAGAGTACCATAGAATCACAGAATCATGGAATATGCTGAGTTGGAAGGGACCCATCAAGATCATCGAGTTCAACTCCTGGCCCTGCACAGGACACCCCAAAAGTCACACCATGTGCCTGAGAGCATTATCCAGATGCTTAACTCAAGACAGGCTTGGTGCTGTGACCACTTCCCTGGGAAGCCTGTTCCAGTGCCCAACCACCCTCTGGGGGAAGAACTTCCTGATGGTAAACCCCTGACTCAGCTTCAAGCCGTTCCATCCATACACTTGCACAGAAACCAGACATACAGAGACATACAGAGTCACACAAAGTCTTCCTTTAACAAATCCACTGGGGCATTATGCAACAAAAACAAGGATGTATACTACACTGTAATACAGATGACAGATGATATTGGCTTAGATGCACAGTATTATGTATGGACCAATTCCTGCCCATTTTTCTTCTTGACTGGGGTAAATGATACTATGACTCAATCTTTCTGTAAAGTAATTACACTGTTTAGATTTATTTCCTCAGTATTACTCACTGTTTGGGCAGAGAGGATTTCTAAATCAGGTGTCTTTCTAAAACTGTTGTATGATCCATATTGCAGAAATCAACACAGCTGGGAGAGTCCATTCATTGCATTGTTGAGCATAAAATCCCTTACAGGGCACATAAATAATAGTCTCTGGCAAGGACTAGCATTTTGGATATTCAGTAACATTTACTATTTTATCAGTATACGCTGGGTTGATTATATGAAGAAACCAACAAAAGCTGTTAGTTTAAAAATTCCCTTATTCACAAATGAAATACAATAAACATACTGAATGCAGAAAGGGTTTGCTTAGCATCCCCAGAAGGAAAAAAGAAGTGTTCACATTCTTTAGGTCTGACCCGTGGCAAGGACATAGAAGGGTTAGAGAACATCTGTTACTGACCATACGTAAGCTTTTAATGGTATAAACTCAGAGATCCAGACCAGCTGAATCCAAATTAAAATGCATGTGTAAAAAACAAAAAAGTGTGGCAGGAGTCAGGGACAGAAGACATTCAGACTAGCATGTGGCGTTTCCTGTGAAGAGCAAGATGGTCCGAGCGTGAAAAGCTGCGGTCACAGTCTGGACACTGGAAGGGTTTGATTCCCGTGTGCTTGCGGAAATGCCGCGTCAGTTCATCAGAACGAGCAAACTTCCACGTGCACCCCTCCCAAGTGCATTTGTATGGTTTTTCTCCTGGAAAAGGAAACAAAGAAGTGGAGATTTTAGACATGAACACATCAGTTCTGATCACGTAAGTTCACACGTAAATCTCATAGATTTATTCTACTGCCTTGCCAAATTTCAGTAAGTACTTCACTGCTTACAGAAAAACCCTCCAAACACCCCAAAGCTGAAGAGTACTCTGCGCTAGAAACTGTGTACTGACCAAAAAATTGTTACTTGCCACGACTTATTTTTTCATTGTCTCTCTGTTCCTCTCTCTGCTATATTAGCACTTGTTTTGTATTATGAAATCCAGAAGGATGAAGGTTTAAGCATTTGTTCAAGCTTTTTCAAAACCGGGATCTCATTTTCTAGCTTTCTGGGGGAAAGGACTGTGCTACCATAAAGCACAACAGGCAGAAATCTTGTGATTTCTGAAATTTAATGCAGTGTAAATGACTGGCATCACTGTGGCAAGTACCTCAACTTAAACTCTCTATCATTACTAATATGTCATCCTCCTCCTCTAACACCACTGTATTGCCCAACAGATAAATGGCTGGCTTGATGCACAACAGCCATGAACTGGGCTCCATTTTTCCTAAAGGATTACCCTTGTAAAAACCTTGGATGTATATATATTCATTCAGCATGCAAAGATGAACATTTCTGTGGAGAGCAAAGATGGGGATATGTTTACTGGAACACTCATTCAGATCAAAAGCACCATTGCACCAAGGTGGTTAGCATACCCATAGAGCAGATGTGATTGCATTTAGCATACAGTCCAGACTTCTGAAAATGGGCTACTCCCATAGAAATTACAGTCAAATTTAAGTGATGTCATAGGTGAGCCAGTGCAATTTGAACTGATTTGGTGTTTACAGGGTGTGCGGATTGAGTAAACTGCAAGCAACTGGACACAAAATGAGTGAAGAGCCAGTCAATGTAACACACATCAGCATGCACTGTGAACCTGTTCTGCCTTACATCTCTTATTGTAGTTTTTTTCTACTATGCCCTCTGTCTTTTGCTCAGCCTATAATTATTTTTGCAACAATGCCAGCTACCTTGTGTCATTTTGTTATTTACACATGTGGTCACCTGGCCATTAGCAGAAGTTACAAGCTTAGCCTACTATTTTACCACAGACTTGATGAAAGAGAAGCATAGCTATGTTCAGACCTGTGTGGGTTCTTCGGTGAGCCTTCAGGTGGGAGCTTTTAGTGTAGACTTTGTTGCAGCCTTCATAATCACATCGGTGTATTCTGCGTTTTCGCTGTGTGTCTGGAGATTCCACAGGTAAAGGTCTCTTTCCTGGCTGAACTATAACTGAAGGGTGATTCCTGCAAAGTTAAATTAATGTTAAAATCAAAAACATCTAGCACAGCAAACTCCAGCTAATATGATTCATAACAGAGCCTTTTATTCACTACCCCTCTGTCTCTTGGCAGAAAGAACAACATTACATGCATGTCGAAAAATTCAACAGGGTTTAGCAAACTTTGTGTATTTTAGAAGCAATATTTTTAAATGTTTACTCACTTTGTGGCATGATGTAGCCATTTTTACTACTTCCTAGCTATTTTTTTAAACTTTCAGAAGAAAAACCCTCTTCAGCTATGTGTTTTTCAGTCAAACTCAGATTTCTTAAATCCTGAGTGAACTTTTCTTGTATTTGCTCACTATTTTTTCCCCTTCAAATACAACTAATTTGATTGTAATTGGAAACAGCTATTCCATATTATTAAAGAAATTGTATCTTTAGGGTTTCAAAGCAGAACTCAATCTTTATTGTTCCAGCCACTCCTTTAAAATGTAATTAAGAATTTCCTGTTTGGTGCTGGCAGCAGGGTGCGGCCTCCCTGACGTCAATTCCTAAAAGTAGAGCTTACCCTGTGTGGCACACCCACAGGATGTCTGAAGTTGTCCCTCCACCTTCTTAAACATAAACTTTAGAGGCCCACAGGTACAGTGCAGGTAAGACACATACAAACTATATTCTGCTACAAACAAACTCATAAATGTTCATGCATGTGAAAACATACAGGCTTCTTAAAAGGTGTCTTCGACTGTTGAATGACACCCCTACTGTAGAACTGGGGACAACCTTGACTCTTTCTTCCACATCAATCTTAAAAAACATATGTTTGTAAAAAAGGTATGTGTAGAATATAATGTGCAGATATTAGCATTCCTTGTTGCAAAACCAGCTCCTCCATGCAACAGAAAGGAACTTTCTAGAACTCCTGTCTTTTCTGAGTTAATGTATTTCACATGTTTTTACCAATCAACTTATGTTTTGTTACACTGGGTTCTATTGGTTACTTACTCCAACTTCCTTTAGGGCCTAATTTTCAGAAACATTGAATTCCTACCTCTCTCAGCAAAATAAGGGGCATGTGCTAAAGACAGAAAATCTTGTGCATGGCTTAAGAAGAAAGATTTTTCTATGACCTCACAGCGTAGGATGGGGATAACTGATGTGGGAAAAGTTGAATTATGTTATTGATTCTTGAGAGTTAGAAGCTGGAAACTGGGAATCAAATTTGCTTTCTTGGGTGGTTCTGTGACTGTTGAGTGATGAACTCTTCAAGTACACATTAAGTCTAGCTAAAAATATTATAATGGCAGGAAACCCCAGATGGTGATGTTAGACAGAGACACACACACACTCTTAAATAAGAAGGCAGGCTTCTAGCTTCCAAAGAAACAGCTCTCCAAAGCAATGCTCAGTTTCAATGCAGTTGCACACCTATCTTTTTGGACAAGCTCAGGCTTAGGACAGCAAGCAGACTTTGTTTAAAATCATTATGTTTGGAGGCTAGTCATGGACATGGTAATATCTGGGAAAAGGGAGAAAAAGGATATTGGCCATACACCCTTTGTGATTTAGATTTTCAATCTACAAGTCTGGAAAAAGCACTGAGAATGTCTTCTTCTCCCTTTATGGGACAGAAGGGTGGCAAGACAACAGAATGCTATCAATAATCAGATAGGGTGTGGCAGTTTTAAAAAATGGTTAGGGTGGTGTCAAATTTAGAGGTAAATATTAAGTAAGTGCGAATAATAAAAGCACAGCCCTAATTCTTTCGTTCCCTCTTCTACAACTAGATATAAGTTCATGTATGTCTAGCATTTGTCACTCTTCAATAGGTAAGAGTACCTTCTAAAAATTACTTTAAAACTTCAACAGCTTTTCCTTCTTTACCACAGACCACCCTCTGCTGACAGCATGAGTTAGACTTTGAAACTTGCATGAAAATATGTTAATGAGGCTCCTTATACTATTACTGTTACCTCAAGTTTGATTTTAGAAAAAACTGAACAGTTAAATCGATTATCAGGCATACTAGAAAGTCCAACCATCCCTCCAGAAACGTCACCAACATTATTTTTATAGATAGATAGACAGATAGATATAGATATCCAGATACAGACAGATATACTGCCAAAAGCTAACACTAAAGCAAAATAAGTCACTTACAAGTCTTAAATAAGTCACTTTACTGAGAAAAAAAGATTTCCCATGCCCCTTTAATGTAGCTTAGGTGTCTGAATAGTACACTCTGGGCAACTGGAACCAATGAGTAGTGATAAAAACTTCAATGCCTAACTACAGCTCATAAACCTGTGAGACAACAACATTTTTTTAAAATAGAAGTTGAAGTATCTCGTCTTGTATTTTGTGTGAGTTGTCTATATATATATTTTTTAATGATAAAAAATACAATTTATAAACTTCTTGTTTTGGATACAGCAGAATGTGAACTTGAAAGGGCTGGCTCCAGGAGCAAGAACTAGAGCTCCACAGGACAGCTACGCAGCAATTTAAGCTGTTACAATGCAAGGACAGAATCTCCATGAACATCACACTCTACATGGGCAAGCTTGTAGAGGAAATGCTTAGGAAACATGGACATACAAATGTTTTCTGTAACAAAGCTATCTACACATTATACCACATTTTATATTCTTTGCTCAGTGAATGGGTTTGCTGGGGAAACTACACCCATTGGGAAATAAATAATGCAAATCACTAATGCAGGTGACAAGTCTGCAGAAGTCTCAGCCCTGGAGGAAGGGTGTGGTACCAGCCAGGAACAGCACTTACTGGTTTGCTCTTGTTAAAGAGACTTAACAAAGACAAAAAATAAACTGAACCATTTGATAGTCCTGACCTAGCAGTAGGTAGTTCCAGCTACATAAAGACATGACTCCCTTGTGTGGTAGGTCCATTAGGGAAGGTAAGTTACCCACTAGTAAACAGGCATGTTTACTATTTTATGTAATAAGCATGTATAAGGTGATTTAAAAGAAACAGTATATAGTTTATAAAAGCTAGCTGGCAACCAATTGCAAAGAGCCTGCAGTCTAGGAGGTGCATCCAGACTGTTTGAAGACAAGAAGGGGTGCCGACAAGAAGGCTGTTGTGGAATGTAGCCAGCCCTGGTGCTGTGGTGTGCTTTTGAACCCAATGGCCATGAGCAGGAGGAAGAGGCAGCGTTCTGGAGGAAACACAGGAGACCCCCCATCCATCCTATGCTTTTCTCTCTCTCTGAACCACACTCACACTGGGTTTTGAATGTCTGACTTGAAGCCCTCTTTCCTTTACTCTATGAGGTGAGGTCAAACACAACCACCTCAAGGATGACAGTGAGCAAGAGGGAGTGCAGAAATGGATTCTGAGGTTTTGTACTGTCAGCCCTGCTCAGCTCCCAACTTCAGCTCCTGCCAGAGCCACGCTGGCAGCCTGCCTGCCTGCCCAGAGCACTGCCTGCTGAAGGATGAGCCTGGCTCTGGGTCATTCCATGGCTTTAGTAAGTTGACAGGATTTTCCCCAGAAAAACAGGAAATGGAAGGGTGCCCATGGCTCCTCAGGTACTTTCTTGAGAATTTTTTTATGTTTTCAGTTAAAAGATTTATGCCCCAGACCTAATTTCTTCTTCTAGCCCTTGTCCTTTCTTCTGCAAACAGCACTGTTTCAAAACCCATTAGATCTGTGATCCAGTTCATGCAGGGGCCCCAGTAACAGCTATGTCAGCACAATGAGTTAATACTGGGATGGAAACAAGTGGCTGTGAGGGAAGAAAGCTTCAAAAACTACTTGAGCTGCCAAAAAAAATCACCCACAGAACAATGGCCTCAGGTAAAAATGCAATTTCACTTATATACACAGAACTTGTAAGGCTGAAGAGGTTCTTCCCACCAAGCAGGCAAAATTTTTGAAAAGACAAAGACGTCCTCCAAGCACAGAAAGTCACAATACTCTTTTTAAAGATAGGTATTTCAAGTAACATGAACAGAAATATCAGTATGAACTCTCTTTTAAGTTTCTTTCCATTTTGCTGCTGGTTTTACATAAGTAGGTTATCACTGGTTTATTTGGAGCCCTATTTTCAGTAAATTGTGGAACTGGGACCTATCATTATTTTAGAAATGCATTATAGAAATGGCAGATCTATTGCAAGGTATAAATATGTATCAACTCCTGTATTGCTGAAGAAGGGGGAAAAGAAAGTTGAAATCACATTTCACAGTGACAGTAGTGGGGGGATGAACATGTATTTTATTACATGTTCTAAGGCATAGCAACAGTCCTTCCCACTCCTGAGAACTGCTAACTGCTGTAGGGAACTGCTTTCCATGCCTCTGCTGATCTTGGGACTCCTGTTAGCTACTTACTCTTGCAACATCACTTGCTGAGGAGACAACGAGGTCATCATTGGAGGTGACATTTGTTCAGGATAGAAGTCAGTCTTTGATGGTTCACTTCCTGGCTCTACTTTGATTGTTTTCTTCAGTGTGGGCTTCTCATAAGACTCAATGACAGGCACTGTATGGCAGAGGGTAGGAGAGGGAAGGCAACACATACAAATTATGAAGAGTTATGGAAATAAATAATACACAGAAAAAAACTATAGTGAAATCCATCAGTTCTACTGTGATAATTTACACTAAATACAACATCTTTCAGTTTTAGTTATCTCCTGATGAACTGTGACTCAAAACATTTCTATTAATTTTCATGAGTCCAATGTTATTATCAGTCCAAATCTCAGTAGATCAATAGTTTATGTAGACACAAACAAGAACAACGGAGCTGGTGAAGGAGAACAAGTCCTGTGAGGAGCAGCTGAGGGAGCTGGGATTGCTTATCCTGGAGAAAATGAGGCTCAGAGGAGCCTCACACTCTCTACAACTGCCTGAAAGGACAAGAGGAAATGGCTTCACGGTGCACCAGGAGAGGTTTAGTTTGGATATTAGTAAGAATTTCTTGCCAGAAAGGCTGATTGGGCATTGGAATGGGCAGCCCAGGGAGGTGGTAGTGTCACCGTCCCTGGAGGTGTTTAAGGCAAGCCTGGATGTGGCACTCAGTGCCGTGGTCTGGTTGAAAAGGTGGTGTTGGGTCACAGCTTGGACTCTGTGATCTCAGAGGTCTTTTCAACCTAATTGATTCTGTGATCCTGTGACCTTGGTAAGTCTGGTAAAATATTTACACAACAAATTCTATGCCTGTTTATTCTGGAAGAACAGAATTTATGTTCCACTTCCTAAAATATCAACAACCCACAGAAACTAAGTGCTTGGATATTTGTCTTATTTTGTGGGGATGAGACAGCATAAAAAGCAATTCTGACAACACCAACCTTGCATGCTACTTGGAGTTTCCATCTCATCTGCGAGAACTGTGGACACCATGATGGGCTGCTGGAGATGGGGAGCATACATGAAAGGAACTGGTTGGACCACAACAGGCTGTATAACCGGGAGTATCCCAGGGCTTCTCAGTCCATGGCGTGAAAGAGCAGCGGCCATGACAGGCGGGATTGTTATTGGCATGGAAAGAGGCTGTACTCCTGGGGGTGACGGTGTGAATTTACTGAGAGGTGAGCTGGGTGAGGACAGAGTCAATCCAGGTGAACTTCTCCTGTGCACAGTCTGAAATTTTAGTGGGGAAGGAGAACTTGCAGTTGAAGGCGGCGAGCTCCGTTTATTTACCGTAAGGTCTACTGGCTCCATCTGGATTCCATTTGATAGTCCTTCAGGGCTGGAGTAGAATTTATTGTGCAACATACTTGGTGTAGAATAAATGACGCTGTATTTGTTTGGCTTCATTTGGTCCATGTAATTGGATGGGTATGACTGTCAGAAGGAGTGGAAAAGAAATACAGAAAATCAAATAATAAATCAACACATGCAAGCAGCTACTGCTGGAAAAGAAAGGCAGCCAATAAAACAGGCAAAATGAAAAAGTTTCAAGACAGCAATTTGATGTAGTTTCTAAATAAAACAGAATTAAATAAAGCCTCAGATTCCCCACACAGGAAGTTAATCAAGTTCTGATTCACTAACTATTTGAGAAGCAATGTAAGACAGATTATTAACACAAATCTTCAAAACTTATTCAACTGCTTTTCTCCCTTTAAAATTGTCTGTCATATATTCATGCCTGTACATTTCTTAACTGACCTGGGAGATACATCTGCTATGCCAAGCATATAACTATGCACTGAGGATCATCAGTTCTGGAAAGAGGGGACCTCAGCTGGGCTTAGAATTGCAAGTGATGGGTCCCAACCAACTGCTAAAGTAATTGAAAAACAATGATCACTAAAGAAAGAAATTATGAATCTGAACCCTATAATCAGTACAAAATACTCAGCTGAACTATGTAAGTAATGGGTGAGTAACCCAAGAATGCAGAAGGTAAAATCTAAACTTTTCTAAATGATTTTTTGAGATATAAAGCAGCTACTTAGGCAGTGTAATTTTGGAAAAAAAGTACAAGGATAAACATTTGGTGTGTTGGAAGAATATTCCTGTTAGTGGTAGCTAGCAGCTCCCATTACATTAGAAACCTCAAAGCTAATCTTGACCTATGTGATGATCTCCACTATTTAGTAATAATTTATATATATTATATATATGTATGTACATGTGTATTATATAAGTAAAACACACATATCTAGGGATTTTTGTAAACAAAGAAGTATTGACATTAGCTGTAGGGTGCAGTATAATTCAACAACTATCCAGACCAATACTGTATTTAAAAACTGTTAAAAACTGATGTTGTTTACTAACAGCTAACTCACAATGGAAACTGATGTGATGCTCTAACACAAAAGTGAGACACAGAAAATGCAATGCACACCAATTTTTAGTTGTGTTGTCAACTTTTTGAAATAAAATGCTATTTTTGGATTTTAGCTGGATAAACTAATATTAAGAAACTAATTACTTCCTTGGCATCAAAAGTATTTTGATGAGTGATATAAAAAAAAAAGTTCAAAATGGTATAAAGTGAAACATCAGAAGAATAAAACTACTGTATTTTTATGAAATTATTTCCATAACACTTCAATTCTTTTTCTGCTGGGGTGAACACTTCTGTCAATACATCTTCCTGGTTTTCTACCTCTGTCTTCTCTGTGAGGGAGCACTTGGTTAATTTTAAATGTCAATGTTAACTGCAGGTATTTTTGCAAAATGACACAAATGTAATTTTCTTCTTTTCAGTTACTGTTTGAAACACTGAGTTTAGAAAATATTAAATTTTCCTCCTGCATTCATTGCACTGTGATAGAACAACAAAGCCGAGTCCCTCAGTCCATAAAACATTCAAATAAAGCAGCACACAAAATGGTGATTAATCTTGAGACAGTAAATATTAAATTAAAATCTCTGCAAGTTATATATTCACTTTATGACTATTCTTACAAATTCCATCTATAGAAATATTCATCTTTGATGGTAATTGGTTCATCAGAATTTTATTAAATGCCATTATTACAAGAAGTGCTGTCTGTAGTCTTGCCAGCACTGCTGAGCCAAGCAATGAAATTATTAGCATTCTAAGTGATGGAGACTACTAAACATTGATATAATTTAATATTCAGCAGCATTTCGTATCTATTAAATTGGATCAAATTATGGGCACAGCCAAAAAATCAAAATTTTAACAGGTAAGGAACATAAATACTTCTGTTAAAACTCCTGTTATTGGTTTACAGTTCAGAGTTCACCCAGCTTTAATGAACTGTAAACATTCCACCACTAAGCATCAGTGCATTTACAGAGCTGCACTTTGTCAGGGATGATCACAATGCCATTGCCTATAAACTTTTCTTCCATTGCAAGAATGCTAAAAAGGAAAAAGCCTGTGAAACTTAAATCTCCAGGTATGCTTTTGGCCAATGAGTCTATTAAAGAACAAGCATTCCTAGATGTAACCTTATCCTGAGAACACCCAGTGGGAATTCAAGGAATAACTGTCTGGATGTTCACATAGCTTCTGCATTCTTTGATGGGGGAGCGATGCTGATCGTGATTTATTTTGGTGCACAGCCTGCAAAAGGGTAGAAATGCTGCTGGAGACTGGGAAAACTGGTCTCCTGAGACTGTGGGAGCTTCCAGATAGATTCCTCCCCTCCCTGGAAGAATACACCCACAGTGAACACTCACTTTTGGATGGGTGAGTAAAAATGCCAAGATTCAGTCACATACAAAGATAAAACCCTGAAGTAATTCCACAGGTGCTTTGAGTTGTGCATTCTGCAAGGTCAAAGACAGTAAACATTGCAAGCTGAATCTGCTTTTTTTAGACCTCAGTATGTTATACACTACATTGGCAATACTGAGATACTGTATTATCAATAAATCTAATCATCATGACCGACATAGTCAGCGTCATACTTCTTAGCACCTGACCAAGTCTTTTCTCTGCTACACAGAAAAAAACTGTTTATTCCAATTCAAACAAAAAACCAACTTGTTTCACCAAATGGTAACTGGTCCAAATGTGTAAGAAGTCCTTTAAGAAGCCCTCACAGCAAACAGGTAGTCCTGTAGGTAGGACTCGGATGACTTTGTCAGTAGTTCATTAAGAACTATCATAATACATGTTCAATAATTCATTTCAATAAATGGCATGAGCTGTTGGTAGAGTGATGAAATAGTGTGGGTGCAAGCTTCAGTCACCTGAGAAGTATAGTTAATCCTTTCAGCCACACACCCTGAAATACAGTGGTGTCAAAACCATTATGAATTTCCTCCTTCCCCTCCAACTACTGTGATGTCTTAGAGACACACAGACTTTACACCTACAATGTAGAGTACACCTACATTCAGAGAGAAGAGCGAGTTATTCCTAAGGGGCTTAATTTAATCTGGCCTCTAATGATTCTATCAGAATGAAAGATGCAATACAAATAATCCTGATGTAGGTTATGTTAGCCCAGTCTGCTCTGCTTAGCACCTCTCAACATCACACTGACAGTTTCTCTCTCATTCCACCTCCTCAAAAGGTGGTCAAGAAAACTAACTCACTCAGTGGCTGCTATCCTTTCCTGTGCTCTCTCCATATCACAATACCTCCCTTTAGAGGTGTCTCCAGAGCAGTTTCTGTTGTGGCACCAGGGCTCCAAGGAAGCCACAAGACCAAGAAGAGCCGGGGAGCTCAAGGGCCTGGGGCTAAGCAGCTGATGTGTGTACAGAAGTTGAAACACACATGGTCCCCAGCCTGAAGGAAAACAAATTCCATCCAGTGATGGAAACTTCACTCAGAAACCATACTTTCCTCTGGACTTTGTGCTTTTTCTTTTCTGCTTTTTTTTCCCCTTATGCAATGGCAAAAAGAAAAACATACAGATGTGGTAAAATGCTCTGAGTCGTCTTTAATAGCTGGTCAGAGTGATTACACTGACTAATGAGAAGACTCCAAAGGTCCAACACATGGAAGGCAACACATCACTAGGAGAAAGATGTGGTACAGAATAACCAATATTTAGAACTCCAGTTTTGAAATGCACTTGGCTCATAAATGCTCCCGTGTTCTTCCCACTGCAGTCTTTCCTTCATCTGCTGGTCTGGGAAAGACTGCTCGCTCCTCTCCTGGTGAGCTTTCTGAGGGACTGACCCTGCCCATCTGGCAGAAGCACACAACTGTTTGGGGCACTTGTGTGTCTCGTGCAGAGCCCCAAACCACTGCACAACCTTCTTTGGGACATGAAGGCAGACGTGCACAAAAGGCAGCCCAAAAAACAGCAATGACTTCTTTTGTAAAACCAGCCTCTTTTCTGATTTTAACAAGACACCATTAGATAATCTTAGATTAGAGCCGATAATCATGACTAATCTTAATATAGCTACACAGTAACTGTGATTAAAGTGACAGACAGGCTGGCCAATACTAAAATTATTTCTTGACCCAAATATTGGAAATCTCATACTTATACCTCCAGTGACAGTTATTTTTCTATCATTACTCTGCAAATAAACCCCATGAAAGTCAAACTGTAATTTTAAAATGCATATAAACTTAACTCACAGAAGTGCTATTAATAGCACTGAAGAAATCAGACTGCTTAGAGATGTATTTAAATTTATGAAAATTACTCTTCATTTTAAATAAAACAGGAAACAAACTTTTCATTGAAAGATGCTATTCAGAGCACAAGTTTAATGCACTCTGAGTTATGTACACTGACTTCACCCTGTTAAAGGATCAGCCTTTCTAGGGGTGTAGTTTCACGTTACACTTAATCTGTTATTGCAGGCTAAAAACTGAAAGGGAAGGTCCTGTTCTCTCATCTTCCCCTGTCCCCTTGCTCTAATATTGAGCAGCTGCACAGAGTGAGTCAGATCAGCTTCCTGATCTGACCAAAAAATGAGTATTTTTGGTGGGTTAGCAATTCTGACCATTCAGGGTCAGAGATCCAAAGGTTCCAAATCATTCTAGAACCACACAATTCTTCTCCACACAAAGCGGACACAAAGCTGGTATGGAGGGAGCAAAGTCAAAACCTTTCCTTTCAGCAGCAACCTGTATCATCACAATTCTCACTGTACTGCTCCCAACTACATGTCCCACTGCTGTTGCTTATCAGACTCTTCTCTGAGATGACCCTATTCTCTGAGTTCATGGAAAATTAACCCAATTTTAAAGAAGTGTCTCCTCTTCCCCTTTTTTCCCCACTGTCCTAGTTCTCATTCCCTTGGTAAAGCAGTGCAACCAGTTTAGCCAGCAAAAAGCCATTGTTGGTTTGGGTTTTTGCAGGATTAATTTCCTGCTGCTTAGTGCAGAGCTAGCCACAGGCACCTGTTACCACAACCAAGAGAAAAACAAAAAAAGGCACAGCAAGAAGCTGTTCACTTAGTTCAAGGGTGTAACATTCAAACCACAGGCTATTGCCACTTCACCATGAAGCGTGGCAAGTTCATTTCAACCCACCTCCATCAGCAGCACGAGCTACAGAGATGATATTTACAGAGCAGTGGCTCAGGGATACATGGATGCTCTCTCCTCTCAGAGGCAACTGGTCAGGTCATTTAAGGCAATAAAAATTAATAAACTACAAAAAGTTTTCCTAGAACGTGAATCTGATTGCACTAAGAGCAAAATATAGCTTCACATGCTTTCCTAAGCTAGTCCAAATCTTAATTACATCTCATTATGAATTTAAAGGTGGAGAAACTAAAAAGTCATCTTTAGGGCAAATATATTTGAAAAGTCTTACCACTGAAACAGGCTCCATGGCTTCTTGCTTGATAGGGACGGGGTCAAACATTAGCATCTTTTTTATTCACCTGTTCTGATGCCTCTGAGGTTCTGTCCTGCTGGGGAAAGACAAGGTATTAGAAATCCACGGGAAATACCTGAATCAACTTTCTGAATCGTAGAGAATTTACTATTTTGTCAGATTAATGCAAATATTTATCCATCTCTAACACAGATTTTTAAATCTTTGACTGAATTTATTACAAGTTTTTTCTTTCCAAATTGCTATTGAAACAAAGGGACATCTGCTCACTTTAATGAAAGTCAAACTGAATTTTTGTTGTGCGTGTCAGCACACCAAGACCACAGAATTTTCACTTTCACTAGCTGTCAAGTGTTTTAACACATCACAGTTTAGACCACGCATTTCTCATCAGCATTACAACCTCAGAATAATCTTGTTTATACAAGTGAACTGATTCTGGAAAGGATCTCTCTTTCACAAGAGTCCCAACAGAAACACTCAGTAGATCACATACAGTGACACTGACATCAATGCAATAAAAAAGATTAAAATTAAAGACTAACTTGGACTACATTCAACATACTACGATGACTTAACAGAAAAAATGCATCAGTTATTATAAGATAATAGATTTACTGACAATTCAACAACTATTTGTGCTAACTGTGCAAAATAAAATCACTTTTAAAAAATCTGCTTGCATTCTGTGTAGCTTCAGGGTTTTTTTCCTATAGTGTTCAATCTTACTTGGCCAATCTCTAAACACCTGAAATAAAAGTATTTAGCATAAAGCATGTCATAGCTGTCATACTACACATTTGCCATGGTCATCTTGGAAAGATACTGGGAGGGAAAGGAGATACCCCTTCTGGGTAAAGCCATAAGGGTACACAGAGAAACCAAGGGGAAGCAAAGGGAATTTGCTCGCAATGACATTTAGATGTTGCCAAGCTGTTTATAAATCACTCGAGGTTATACATTATATGACCGATGTCAAAGGAGCAAGTTCTGACCGTACACCGCAGGCTTCACAGCCCAGCCTGGAGGCGGTACGACCTCTTTTAGGATGCGAGGACAAAGGCAAATGACACAAATTCATTTGGCCAGTAGATGGCACTGGAAAGAAGCGAATGCAGCCGGACTCCAGCACCGGCAATTCACCCGCAGGACAGGCTGAAGGCTCACCAACAGATTTCCCAAGGCTGGGAAATTCTCCCAGAAATGTAAACGAACATTTAAAGATGTACCTGTTCAAATTAAAACGCTTCTAATAAGCCTACGCTAATGAACAACTTTGCAGTTAACATGCGTTTATAGATCAAAATTTGTTAAGAGAGACAGCATGAGTTGTTGAAAGTCTACCATTAGTTATTCAGATTCATAAATAAAGTTTAAAGACTTTTGGAAATACATTACAACAGTGTGCACTTTGAATAATGGAAATAAACAAGCAGCAGAGTAAATTATAGTATCTGCATAATTCACCTCATAAAAGTTGAAGGCCTGACAAAAAAATTGCAAAACTAAAGTGAAACAAATGATGCAGCTTAATGAAATTTCCAGTTTAAACTCAGTATGTAGTTTTAGTTTGGGAGAAGCAGTGAGATAGCACCATGTGATGAAAGTTGTGGTAATTCCATAAATACCTTAAGCATGTCCGTGAGAAGGTTATTAATTATACTATTTTCTTTGAATGATTATCATTTAGATAACTGCTACCTAGTTATCTTTTTCAGGTTTCAACAAGCCACATAGCTAGAACTAACATTTCAGAATACTGACTTCCCAGAAATATATCCACAAATCTATGCATCACCCATATTCTCACACATTCATCTGCATTGTGAAAACAGAGAAGTTGTACTTTTAGACATGAAAAAAGTTAACAGTAAAATGGAACCACTCAGAGCTCCGATATAGGATTTTGGAACTAATTCCGTTCAGGTTTCCAGAAACTTTTGATTTTTAGCTTGTATGTGCATAGATAAAGTAACATGCCAATCTGTACTTCAGTGAAGGAAGAAAGGAGGAAAGGAAAGGAAAGGAAAGGAAAGGCAAGAGAAGGGAACGGAAGGGAAAGGAAAGGAAAGGAAAGGAAAGGCAAGAGAAGGGAACGGAAGGGAAAGGAAAGGAAAGGAAAGGAAAGGCAAGAGAAGGGAACGGAAGGGAAAGGAAAGGAAAGGAAAGGAAAGGCAAGAGAAGGGAACGGAAGGGAAAGGAAAGGAAAGGAAAGGAAAGGCAAGAGAAGGGAACGGAAGGGAAAGGAAAGGAAAGGAAAGGAAAGGCAAGAGAAGGGAACGGAAGGGAAAGGAAAGGAAAGGAAAGGAAAGGCAAGAGAAGGGAACGGAAGGGAAAGGAAAGGAAAGGAAAGGAAAGGGAGGAAGGAAGGAAGGAAGGAAGGTTATTCTAAGTAAATGGAATGATGCTCATCCTTTGTGTAATTTTTGTAATTATAAAACCGTATTTTCTTCAGTTTAAGAATTACTCCTTTTAATCTTTTGCTCCAAGAAAGTGTGTGAAAAGACACTTGATACACATTTCACATGTCATGCTCCAGATTTCAGTGTTTCCTGAGACAGCTCTAAATCACTGTGCAGGAATTAAACTGACATAGACAACAGGAAGTGTACTACCCTGAACAAAAGTGAAAAGTAATTCTCAATCTTTCCTAAGTGCAGTCATCTAAGAACAGCAGACGAAAACTTTACTTTTGTATAAGTTTACTATGCTGCACCAAAGTATCAAGCACTTCTTTAGCATGTTACTCTTAAGCAGGTTTCTTTTCCCCATTTTATAGTGACTGGAAACCAATTTTCAAGAATGGCAAATTAATTAAGATGCAACACTTGGTCCTGTAGGACTGCTACAGAGTCAATACAAGTCAGCTTTGGGCCTGGCATTTAAAATTTAGCTCAAAATTATGTATTTCTAAGGCTGTAAATAAAATCATAACAAGACTCCTCTTTGTATTTAAAAATAATGCTCCAAACTGATAGCTTGGACCACACTCATGGGCAAATATGTGCATGTACACTCACACAAATAAAGCATGGTACTTCTACTAAGAAGTAGGTAGAGTTTTTCCCAGTATATTTGTAAAATCATGCCTAATAACTCCAAACTTCTCAGTTTTTCTCTCCTAAACATTTGAGAAGGGGGCAATAGGGAAGGTAAACAGTCTTATCTGTTTCTATTACAGAGGAATGAAAAAACAGTCGGGTTCTACTTTACAGAGTGATTTCAGAATCTACTTGTTTGAAAGCCTGCAAATTGTTCAGCATATACAAATAATTTCTGGAAAATCAAAATACCATCTTCTCATTCCTGAGGGGCTCTGGAAAAACTGGTGAGGTGACAATATATTCATGTTAAATGTATTAAAAAATGAGAACTTTTGTCTCTGACTTTATTAGGTAAACTATTTTGCATTAAAGGGTTTTCTCATGCGAGGTAAAAGAATTTAATATGAATGTAATCTGAAACTAAACAATTAACTGCAATCCGGTAAGCAAACATTCCACCCTCTCTTTTTTTTTGCTCTGCCTCTTTTTTTCTGCTAACAAGCCACCCAGTTTTACTTTCTTGCCTCCTCCCTTTCACCCCACCCTGTGGATCTCTGCCAAGCCAGTCCAACTTGTCCAAACAGGACCCGGCTTTTGATAAGATTTTGCTCACGCCCTGTACTTCAGAAAGACAAATGAAGCAACTGGGTTTTGTATGCAAATAAGGACAGGTGCAAGGTAAAGTCCACGCAAAGTCCCTCAGTATTCCCCTACCTGAAGTCCAGTGAAGACTGCAAGCCAGAAACAACACAAACTCTGCCCTTATGATCCAATGTACAGCAAGGCATCCATTCCAGAAGAGAAGTTCATTATCATTAGAGCTCATCACCTTGTCAGGATTGAACACTTGTCAATATTAACTTCCTGACAGGTGTATGGTTTATTGTTTCAGAGACATAATTAAGATTAAATGAAAGCTGAAAGGTACTTAAACGTGTATTCTGACAACAAGGGCTTGTATGGATTATTTACCCTGGATGAAATGTGCAGAGTGGTTAAAGAATGCACTCAGACTACACATCTGCACTGCAGAGCAGCTGGAAAAGGGCAACCGCAGTGCAGCTACTCCCAGCAGCCCCGCGCATCTACCTTCAAGGTCCACCAACTCTGCAGACCTGTTATGAAAGGAAAGGGTGGGGTGGAGGGCCAGTTTTGACTGTGCACATCCAACAACAAAGGTTTATTCTAACATAAAGCTGGTGCTCACATTAAATACCTGGAAGAGCAGGTGACTGACTTTTGCTGCAGACAGGGGGGTGGTGACCATACATTCTACCCCCTCCACTCCGCCTGAGAACACATAAGGATTTATTTCCTCAATCTTTGTGCCCGGGGGAAGCAAAGGAATGCTGCCCCACGTACAGCAAGTCTTTATCTAGAAGCTTCAAGGTATGATTGTTATTGTCAGTATAATTACAGAATAATGTAATGGTATCTGCTAAATTAGCACTGCATGAGTGCCCTCTGCAAGGAACTGCAGCTCTTGCAGCACTGTTTGAATCTAGCAGCAAACATCATCATGTTGCAAAAGCTCTTCAGCCCAAGCACTTTGGGACTCAGACCTGTTGCTGTGAACCTCAAGTCAAACTTCTCTGATACAAGGGAGAAACAATAGTATCAGAGGATTCTTCACTGATGAAACCCAAAAGGGAAGGGAGGTTTTCTGAACCCCCAGGTGAAAAGTCATCTTCAGTGAAACCTCCAAAGAGTCTTACAGAAAGGAACCAGTTTTTGAGACAAACATTCCCTGAGGAAGGTAAAAAAGCTGTTTTCCAGAGCTCATAAGGTATTTGCACTTTACTGTACCAGCTGCTCAGCAAGACCTGAGTCAGCAAAGAAGTGTTTCTAATGTTCCATTAACTTTAACGGGAAGTAAGCAAGTGCTTAACTGCACTTGACCCCAAAATAGCAACAGGCAAAGAAGCTCTCCAGCTCAGCACAGCCGTCAGACTCAGCCAAAGCACCAAAAGGTCTAGACGTGGTGCTGTGGGAAGAGACCAGAGCAGCCAGATCATGAGGAACAGAGCAGAAGGAGAATCAGGAAGAACCAGCACGCCACAAAAATGTTCTTCTGATCAACAGCTTTCTGTGTTTATTTGCTGGATTCCCACTGGGTAACAATAATAAGTGTAGAAAAAGTTAGATTTTTTTGTAAAAGAAAATGGTACCTAGGGAAAAATTTTTTCCTCAAAGTTTCATTGATAGGCATTAAGAAAAAGAGGATTTCTAGAGAATTCTGGCATTTAGTATTTCAAACTTTTTTTTTTTTTTCTTAGCAAAGACTTGAAAATCTTTTATCTTCCTCCTTTTCAGGACTGCAAGCAGGCTGAAAAACTTGTGGTTTTGCACAACTTGTGCATCATAACTTTGTGGATGTCACCTTGTTTGACCTAGAACTGCTTTGACATGTAGCACACTAATCAGTACTTCAATTAAATTTCTGATAGTACTGTTGCAGGCTCTTTGAAGCCATGTGTGTGGAAATGGCTTTCTTGTATGTGAAAATCTTGGGGAAAAACGTTCTTGAAGTGCTTGTTAAGAAAGTGTCTTCTTTAGCAAGGAAAAACTGAGCCCATGTAAAGCCTCTTCAACCTTCAGTTCTATACTCACTAAACCTAAGAGGAGAACCTCTTGAGGCACCTCCATTAGACAATATTCTCCCTTATCAGGGCAGACTGCTGTCTGGTTTCCTGTCTCAGGCTACTTCTTAGAAGGAGAAACAGTCTAGTAAGGATAAAAGATCAGACTTTTGAAAACAAATGAAGTATGTGGAATGGTATGATAATCTTTCCCTTCCAAACTGAGCTCTGCTTTTCTTGCTGTGTTTTTCTCAAGAGGTTAATTTTTAAGATAATTTGAAAGAAGAAATATTAAACTTTTTAATTATGAGGGGAAAATGACAGAAAATACTGTTCTCTTATGTGAAGGGTTCTGCTGTTTCAGGAAATGTGAAAAAGAGATTCAACATTTTTATAGCATGGGAAAGGAGAAAGAAAATCTAATCCTAGGGAAAGGAAGTACGCATTTATGAGTAATGATAGATTTGAACAAGAATCTGAATACAGGGCAAATGCTGATGAACTTCTACGAATCTATGGAAACGAAAAAAAAAATAACTAGGGAAAAGATGTGGACAGTGTAGGGGGTACAAATGTGACACTGATCAAAGCAACTCAGACTCCTTAAAAGTGGAAACTCTGTCATGTCTTCATGGATCAAGTTGGTTGGAAACACACACGGACTGCATGACAGACAGACCATGCGTTTGGTTGGAGGCTTTTTCCCTTCTGAGTTAGTTTAGTATTTAAAACCTGCTGGAGCTTTGTCTTTCCATATGCTGATCTGCACTTACACTTCCTTCCCCTGGGAGATATCACCTACAGCCACAAAACCCTCAAAGGAAGCTTTGGCATCAAGTGAATGCTTTGCAGGGAAGAGTTAAATCTCTCCTAAAACCAGCTCTGCCAAACTTCATATTCTGGATTGGAAGCAACTAGCCTCGGAATGAAAACACAAAGATTGAATGCTGACAGCATAAAAGAACTCTAAAAGACCTCCTGTTAGCGGTGTTAATTAATATTTAAAAGTTGGTTTACAAAAATTATTGTAATTTTAACCTCAGTTCCCTACTTTACAGAACTTCTGGCTACAAAAAGGTGTGAACCACAAAATTTACTGCATTTATTATACAGCAGTTTCCAATATTAAACACAGTTAAATGCAACTCTTTTCCTCTGTCACTGGAAAAAAAAAAAGATTAACTGCTTGAAATCTTGGGCAAATTAACAGCACAAGAATTAAAATATATAATTGCATTCTAATGGGTAAACTCATCCATGGTGTTCTAAAACAAACAGAAAAAACAACACAAAAACAACTGAGAGCAACACATTAAAATAATCAATAAACAACTTACCAAAACTGTGTAGCCAGATACTTCTTTTTACCTGGATTTCTGAACAGACAAAAAACAGTTTACTGTTAATATGTGCACACAATGCAATAAAAGTTTTTTGCACATACAATTAAGCTCTGAAAGAAGTTTAAAGTGTGTACTTTAGCTACTTCCTAAAGATACCTTCAGTAATCTCAACCAGCTAATTTGTAGCATCCCGAAGAGCAAGAGCAGGAACTAAAAAGACTACTTTAAAAATGACTGGAGGGGAAAAAAAAAAGAGCAAAATGAAAGGGTGGAAGTATTTCTGTGTGTACAGTAACCATGCATATTTCAGCCTGTAAGAAACACACAAGAATAAATACTCCATCTTGCATTTTCATCTAGGGCACACTGAAATAAATGCAAGTTTTTCTCTTGATTTCAGTGAGCTTTGGCTTGGGTCCTTCAGCTCTTCTTCTGTCAGATTCAAAGTAACAGAAACACTTATGTTTTTCTCGATCTCCTCTCAATTTCTCACTGTTTGCCTGCAACAGGGTGAGGGGGAAAAATAAATATAAAAACAGGAGCATATATATATATATATATATATATATATATACAATTACTTTTATACCTTCAAAAACGCAAAATGTACTTATTAAGCAGTACATATTACAGCAGTACTTATTAACGCCAAAGAAAAGTTAAGACAGCAGTGCCTCATTTTCTGTATTACATCTGGAAGACAATGAACCTTCTACCCTGTATCAGGGGAAAATACCTACTTCTTTGGAAATACAAAATGCTTGTAGTGAGCCATTCAGGTTGAGTAAGGGCTGAAGTCAAAACCCTTTCACAACTACGAGCCTACAGAAGTGGGCTTTCTTCTCCCATATACTCTTTATAGATCAGTGCAACTCTGTGACTTTAATGGAGCTATTCCAGATCAGCTGATGAGCAAGTGAGAGCAGAAAACTGGCTCACGACTTTCTGGAGACCGGAGTTCAAGTTTTCAGCGAACAGAGCTAAAAACTCCAGTTCACCCCCAGAAGTGCATTGGAGTGGAAGGGGCGTGTTAAAGGTTAACTTGGAAACCTCGTTATGACATAACACAGGCATCTTAAGCAATCCTGAGTGTGTAGAGACATGATAACTCATCGGGTGGGGATTGGGAGTTGAGGGGCAGTGACAAGGGGCCTGGACGAGGCTACCGAACTGCCAGAAAACAGCCTGAAACAGGAAAGAGCACCACATATGCCACTTGGAATGTGTGACGCAAACCCCAGCCTTGAAACAAAGAACAGGAAACAGCTCTGCTGGCTGTGCTGGGGAGAAAGCACAGAGAAACATTTAGGCGGCCCTCCCTGACCCTATATTCATGAGCAGCTGGAGTCTTTTAAAACAACAACAGTGGGTGGAGGTGTTTGTTCATTGGGTGTGAATAAAAACACTGTCCTTATACAGGGGACCTGCCCTATTTACAAACAGGCTCCCTCAGCATGAGGGAACAGGAGATTTTAAGACACCACGGGTCAGGAGGATTTGCTGAAACCTTCCCTTAGACCAGTTGGTTTATTACTGTATTTATGCCAGTAGCTAAACAGAGCTCAGGCTTCATGACATCAGAGGCAGCACCCAGCCTGGCAAAGCACCTTCTTCCCAGACAGAGCTGGGGGATGAGAATTGCAGGAAGGATTTCTAAAGCTTGGGGCTGCTCCCGGACAGTGGCTCACTCATGCTCAATACTGCTCCACAGCTGAGAACCAACGTCACTCAGAGCACCCAAGAATATTTTTCTAAGCCATCACATGCTTAGCCTAACACATCTCTGTTTTCATATGCACTCAGAATATGCACTTTATTTCAGAATCTGATTTCCCATGAATTTACTAAGTTTATTTTTTAAGCATCCACATATAAAGCTGAATAAATGAAGTAAGCTGAAGCAGAGGAACAGCACAACTTGTCTGGATTTCATGCAGTAGAATAACTTCAACACTTGTTTTCCTTCAAAGCTGTGGTTTCGAATACTCTCGCTTTTCTTAGATACCTTACATCAGTTATTTATACACCATGGACATAAAATATTATCAAATGTGAGAATGTTACAGCAAATTACATGGATGAATACCACAGCAACACCAGTGAATGCTGCGGGGTTCCAAGGTTGGAGTTTAATAATGAACATGGGGTAAAAACTGGCTAGTGCAGCATCTACACATCAAGGTGTGGGTTTTATGCCAATAGTATCAGTTCCTGACTTCTTCATACTGAATAACTGCAAATATAGGTAATTTGGTGATTGTATAACATCTTTATTATCGCTGAGTCTTCAACTCATCTCACTCACACTGACATCTTTATTTATGTGAAGGCTTTTGCTTTTGGCTAAACAGATGTTGACTAGGTCAAATGTTCACAGTACCTAAGGGCTCCCTTGCAGCTCTGCAACTTAGAGGAAGTTCTGCTTGGATTCTTAGGACAGGGAAAGACCATTTAGCATTCTTTCCTGCCCCTACCCCTCATCCTTACCCCAAGTCTCTCTTGTGATCCTCTGTACCATAGCTATAACAGCGTGTGCAGGGAAAAAAACACCCAGGAACATTTGCCTGCTTGTGAAAAAAAGGCTAATCAAGTCAGTTTCGGGTTTTTTCTATTTTGATACTAGACAGTAACAATAAAGTCTTAAAAATACAAGGTAAAAGCTAATTTGAAATAGGAGTTTTCTGGGTCAGGTGTGATTATCAAATCCAGATGCAATTCCTCTCACACAAGCACCAGCTACTCACATGATTATCACATCAGTATCTTAAAAGTATTTGATGGAAAAGTCACTAGTCAGCAGCCATGTAAGTCTTTCTTTTCGATACAGGTAATATATGTTTATGAATATTAGTTTAAATGAAGTCAAGTCTTCAGAGCTCTCCTATCCGCCACTCAAATTCAGCTTTTCCCAACAATTAAACCTTTAGAGTTCAGTTCCACAAACAGTGACACTTCCTGAATTCTCAGAGGTGAGGAAGTGAATAAAACAGTGGACGATGCATGTACAGTACCTGAAGCAAAAGGGAAGTGCACAAAACATCTTTGAGACATTTTTTAATGTAACTCCGGAATGACCACTTAAGCTACCCTGACCTAGGTCTTTCTCCCAAGCTCCAGGTAGGTGCTGTGATCTCCCAGCGCAGGCTCGCGTTGCTGAGCCTTCCTTTGCCAGGGCTGCCCTAGCTGTGCCAGGCACTCACCTGACAGCAGTCCGAGGCAAGTAACTCCTATTCCCACTTCGGTTAAAAACAAACAAATAAACAAAAAAAATTTAAAAAAGAAACAAAAACCCCAAAACAAACAAAACAAAAAAACAAACCAAACAAACAAACAAGCAAAAACCCCAAAACAAACAAAGCAAAAAAAATTAAAAAAAAGAAGAAAAAAAACCCCACCAACAAAAGACATCTAGCAAAGGAAAGGTTATTTCTAACTCCACACTTCGCTGCTGTGCTGTCCCACGTTTTACCTTCTCCTGCATGGCGGCCAAGCGGTGCTAAGGTGACGTGACAATAAGACGGGCAGGCTTTCGGGAGCCGATTTCATCCTAGACTTCACCAGGAGTTAAACGGGGACATGGCGCTTGCCGAGCAGCTCCGCGCTACGGGAGGAACAGGGCCCGAACGCGAGCTCCTGCCCTGGCATCCAGCCCGTCGCCCGCGGAACCGAGCGAGCCCGCTATACTTTCCACCTCGGTTTGGCCGGGCACGGTATCCCGCCCGGGATCCGATGGCACTTCAGCCTCTACCCGAGGACGCGCCTGTCCCGCCCCGGAGAGAGGCCAGGGGCTGCGGCGGCGCTGGGCGGGAGAGCGGCCCCGAGGGGCGGGCGGCCCGCGGGCCCTCCCGCCGGGGCCAGGCGGGGGGAGGGCACGGGGGAAGGCGCCCCCCGAGCGGCCCCGCCGGCCACACAGGTGCGCTGCCCGCCCGGCGGGCGCGGCGGACAGCGGCGGCCCTCCGCCCCCGGCTGCCGCCGGCCGCACAGCGACATTCCCGGGCGCCACGGAGGGAACCCCCGCGGCGAGTTCTGTTCCCCCTTCCCCGCAACTGCGGCCTGACGGAGACCCGGTTCCCGCCACCCCCGGCGTGGCCGCGGCTCCCGCGGCATCACCTTGCCGCCTCGGGCTCCGCGCTGCTCGCAGCGCCAGGAAACTTTCCTCCTCCGGCACCTCCATCCCGCAGTCGGCACAGCCGGCCCCCGCATTACCCCCGCCCTCACACTTACGCTGGGCAGGCGGTGCGGAGCGCGCCGCGATTTTCCGTCGGCTCCCGCAGCGCGGTAGGGAGCGGGGGCGCTCCGGTGGGAGCGAGGTGCGAGGCCGGCGTGTCCCGCGTCCCCGCGGCTAAGGCGCCTCGGCGGTGTCTCCGGGTCTGTGTGCGAGGAGGAGCTGCCCGCTCCCGCCCTCCGCCCGCTCGCCTTCCCCCCGGGCTCCTGGCACCGGGCCGCGCTGTCACATGACGCCGGCGCCGCTCGCCCTGCCAGGCTCCCCGGGCCGGCGGGGTGAGTGGCGGTGGGAGGGTCACGGCAGGGAGCGCGGCCGGGCGGGTCCCCGCCCGCGGGGTGGAGGCTCCGCCGAGGGGCCGGGGCGAGTCACCGCTCACAAACAGCCGGGCACGCACTGACTGCGCGCCCGCCCTGCCTCCCGGGGGCAGACAGCCTCGCACAGACACTAATTATCCCCAGCAGCCCGGGGAGGAGAGGGGAGGGGAGCGGGGCCGCCCCACCGACAAACCTGCCCGTCCAGCTCCTCCTCCCCGCCCGTGTTTCAGGCAGAGGCGTGCACCTGGCAGCGGCCCTGCGGCGGGGCGCACCCCTCCCTGCTTCCCTCCCTGCGCGTCCACCCCGGCCGACCTGCGGCGGCAGCAAAACAACAGCAACACCCAGCGCTCGGGGGGAAGGAAGGGAGGTGCTCACGCTGGGCCGCTGCCGCCGAGCTGGCTTCGCCGGCGGGGGCTGGGAAAGGGCGCGGGGCGGCGCGGAGCCGGGCGGCGGCTCCCCGGCCCTGGGCGGGAGCGCGGCGGGCGTGGGGCAGAGGTGTCGGCCCGGCTCCGCCCCGGCTTGGCGGCTGGCCCGCCGGGACCGCCGGCTGCTGAGGCCCGTGCCGGGGTGGTTTTTATGGCTGCGCTCAGGCCGTCGTGCCTCAGGTGCGCTCCCGCCGGAGCGAAAAGAGGCTGGGGGGATAGGTGCTGCCAGCTTGCCTCGACTCGACCCCCGTCGCCAGAGGCGGTTCCCTCCCTCTCCCCCCACCCGTGCCGCCCCTGCCTGCCCAGCCTTGCGTCTGGCACCGCCCGGGGCAGGTGTGTGTGCTTGACCCAGCCCGCCCCTCCTGCGGGCTCCGCTCGCCGCGGGAGGGGCCGCGCTGCGGGGCCGCTCCCGCACGGGGCTGCGGGTACGGCGTTGGCTCTGCCCCGGGACTGCGCTTGCTGCTCCAGACAGCGTTCAGCGGAGCGCACTGCCCGCGCCCTCTGTAAAATGGGAGGCACAGCCACAGAAGGAGACCCAGGGGCTTCACTGAGAGCAGTACATTTAAAAAAAAATGTATCTTGGCTGACTGTATCAGTTCCACTGGTTAATGAAAAGTGCTGCCACTTATTCACTGGAATACAGTGTGCTTACAATGCCACATGAAATAATGTTCTCTCCTCACTGATGTACCTAACCACGAGACCAAGGAAGAGGCAACTGCAGTGCTTGGCAAGGCCCTGTCCAGTGCTAATGGCGTGGACAGATGAAAAGCCAATTATATTTATTGTGGATAGACAGGTTACCTGGCAGGTCTTCATTTCCATGCTTTGTTTTGTGGGTAAAGTCACTGGAAGGGGCCGAGTATTTCTGGCTCTGCAGGACCAGTCTGTATATAACTGTCTTAATAGGACCCTAGTGTAACATACCCATTTGGGTGTTTGGGTTGAAATTTCTGTTCACTTTGATTCTTGTTGACCCAATCGATAACGCTGTAAAAACAAAGCAAATAAGGAAGGGGGAAGGATGGGGAAAGTATTTTCACACACAAGGCTGTGCACACATGTTCAGACGATGTCTTTATTCCGAGGATGTTTTAATAAATCCCTTTACTTAGCTTGCTAGTCTCTATGGCTTTAAAAAAGCAAATTAAGACACCAATCTGAAGCCCTGAAGGGTATGACTCAGTGACATAACAATAAATTGTAATATCTCCTGCTAAGTAATTACACCATATCATGTCACAACAAGGTATTGTTGAAATACTATCATGTAGCTCATAAAATGTTGTTTCTTTATTATAAACCTATAAAATAAACAGAATGCTGTGTTACACACATGGGCACAAAATATTTCATTAGGGCTGTGAAAAGGAGCTGCTGTAGTTTTCTTGCAGGAACATGCTCAAGATAAAGTAGGGATGTCCCAGTTTGCATTCTTTTATCCTGGGAACTAGCAGAAGTTAAACAGCTAACTGAAACCCTTAGGTCAGAGGCAGAGCTGTTGTGATGTCAAATCGTGAGAAATGCCAGAATACTTAGTAGTAGCCAGCATGCTGCTCCTGGTGAAGTCACTGGCTTTTCTTGCTATTATCTAGTTTTGCCTCAGATGAACCTGTTTTAATCTGCTGTCATTTTACTGTCTTCTTGTGAAGTGGCAGAGGAGAGGGAGGATTGAGAATGTTGCTTTTGCACTGTCAAGACTGTATACCTTTCAGCATTTTGTTGCCTTCCTGTGTTTGTTTTTGGCAAGTCCAAGTTCTGAAGGGAGCAGAATCTGACTGATTTTAGTGGGAATTGAAAAACCATAAGGGAGAAGCTGGAAGCAGAGAGAGTCCTTGCCATCTGGTTAGCAGACCCAGCAGTTTTAACCATGTCTGGAAGTATTTCTAGATCAAAGGACTGGTTGATGGCAGCCCTTAACATCTTCCACACAATACCTCTTCCATCTCTGCTCTACCCATCATCCCCACAGAATGACTTCTGTCTCAAAACAGAAGGAAGAGGAATGGTATGTAAGTCCTTGGTATTGAAAAAAGAAAGAATGCTGCTTTGGTTTGTAGCACCTGCCATGAGCCCTTGCAGCAAGATGGAGCATTTCACATGATGGGTCCTGGAGGATCCATAATCCCAAGCATTAGGAAGAGTGTTGGCAACATGTTACAAGTTTCTGATAAAAGCAGACGGGAGGTGTTACCTAGAGTGTGTTGAGGGGAACGCATGGATCTCTGGTGTGAATAAGTATTGAAATGTTAAATGAATGGGTATAATATGTTCAGATGTCTGTTGAAAGACCAAATCCTGCCATTTGTTGAAATGAACCCTTGCTACGTTCAGCCAAATTGCCACTGTGATAAATGTGATTGTTCTGTCATGTTTCTGACATATTCTGCTTCCCAAAAATCAGTTAAAATATAAAGGAAATACTTAAGAATTCTGTGTACTTTTTCAGTCCTAAATTCAGCTTCAGGTTATGAGGCGAATTGGAAGTAGTCTGCTGGATCCAAGCGGTACAATTGTTAAGCTGGCATTTCTTCCAAGTTGGTCTGTGTTACAAAATGTACTCTATATATAGTCAGTGAGTGTTATTTATGCAGGGAAAATGTCCACTGGAACCAGTGGGTTTTTTCCTTAGTCTACAGATACATGTTTGAGGGGTTTGGATATCTGTGTATAAACTTATTGTGTTCTGCAGAGTTTCAGGTCAGATAGTCACCTCATACATCTCGTACTCATTGAACAGCTGCTGGAAGGAATGAGGGACAGATCATCACATAGCCAGCAATATTCATTACTTTTGTTAAACACAGTTCACATTTTGGAAGAACCATAAATTTTACAATTAAAATGCTATTAATTTATTGCACCCCAAATGTTTAATCTCCACTGTACAGCAAGGATGCATGCTATAAATCCAAGTTGTTAAAAGCATAGAAATTGAGGCAGTAAGAATTTGAATTGAAGGTTGAAGTACTTAAAAGCTTAGGTATGTTTATGCTGCAGTGATGTACATGCCTGAGCTGGTGTAAAACTAGTCAGCTGGGGAGCTGGTAGCAATCTGGCTGTGGCAGTGTGGACCCTGTAGCTATCTGGAAAACATGCCCAAAAAGCTGGGTAAATACTTGAGTGGTTAGGCTGGCCTGAGCTCAATGGCCAAACTACTACCAGTGCCCAAGACAAGTAATTTAAAGCTTGCCTGGCAGTGTGTCCACAGCATTGCAGTCACATCACTTGTGACTAGCACAGACATACCCTTCTGTGAATTCTGTGACTCAGCCTTGTCTTCTGGCAGATGATTCCCAAGCTCTTCTGGGAGTTCTGTGGCTAGTATCGATTCAGTGGTCCATGGGAAAGGCCTTTGCAGGTGTTAAAAACCCCACAGCACAGCATAAGATGCACCTTTATGGCACTGAAACGTGCTGTGTTGTAACGGTGGGCTCTCGTAGCCACGTGAGCAGCTTGTGAGTCAATCTATGTGTTTGCATAATTGGGTCCTTCTTGTTTGCTTGGGGCAAGGGCAAGGCAGTGAGTAGCCAGGCTTCCTGGCTCTGTCATGCAGGTGTGGACAAGAGGAAACCACTGGAGGAGCTTGGGCAGAGCTGGTATTGAGGTGCATGGGGCCTAGGGCAGAGGCTACTGGGTGAGCCCCTCCCTGCCTCTCTCCTGCCCACACAGGGATGACAAGTCTTGCTGCCTAACCTAGCCCATGTTCATCCTCCTGCCTGTCCCTTCCTGTGGCCCATGGACCAAGACAATTACTGAAGTTCCTCACCCCTGAAATGAATTAACATTTTGTGCAGAAACAAATTTCAAACACCACAAGGTTCTTCTGTGTTCACCACCTCACACAAGGAAAGGACGGATGGCTGCTCTTTCTAGTTAAAACCAACAAGTCACACATGACTGCTTTTAACAAAAATCAGCTCTCTGAGCGCCAGCCCTCAAGTCCATTGCAGCAATCAGAATTACAGAGGCAATTTGTGGGGACTGGGATGTGTGTGTGTTGAATTCCTTGTCATATGTTTATGTTTTTAAGAACAGGCATGATTTTGTCGCAGGTGTAATGACTACTGAAGGCTGCTAAGCTTGAATTTCATTATTTGAAGTGTAGAACGATGGTTGAATTTAGTAGTGATGCCCTTGATGCGGTTGAGGGACACTTGAAGTTTCCATAGCAGGAAGAATAACAAGAATTTTGGAAGCAAGGACAGATACATATGTGTGAAGATGGATTGGTTTGAGACCAAATCTTCATCAAGTATATGCTGATGTGAACTCATGACAATGTGTGGATGATGTTGTAATTGAGAATGACCTTGAGTAGGTGCCCTGTCTCTTAATACTGTTCTTGAGATTTCTATTTCTATAATGGTGTTTTCCTCAGTACTGGGGCTGCAATTTCTCTTCAGAATGCACAACAGGAAACAGAAAGATGACATGGTTCTCTCACACAAAAATATATGCAGTCAGTGGTTTTGTTATAAAAGGTCTGTTGCTTTCAGTCTATATTCACTGTTCCTTCCCAACAGAAAACAATGGAAAACACATGGATAAAAAGTGAGTTACTCTGTTGACTTTCACTGTATAAGGATTTGTTCTGTGCTCTGGAAGCCTTGAAATGATGGTATGTTGGGTTTGCATGGCCAGGTTTTGGTAGCAGGGGGCTAAAGCTGTGGCTTCTGTGAGAAGCTGCCAGAAGCTTCCCCTGTGTCCAGCAGAGCCAATGCCAGATGGCTCCAGGACAGCCGTGCTGCTGGCCAAGGCTGGGCCAGTTAGAAATGGTGGCAGTGACTCTGTGGTAACATATCTAAGAAGGAAGAAAGTTATTGTGCAGATTTAACTGTGGCCAGAGAACAGTGAGACAAGAATACATGAAAGGAACAACTCTGCAAACACCCAGGTCAGTGGAGAAGGAGGTGCAGGAGGTGCTCCCGGCACCAGCACTGAGATTCCCCTGCAGCTGTGAGGTGAAGCAGCTGTGGCCCTGCAGCCTGCGGAGGACCATGGTGATGCTGAGATCCACCTGCAGCCTGTGGAG